TCAAGCTAAACGCGACTCTGGGCTGCCCAGAATCGCTTTCCGAGGCGCCGCCGACCGAGACCTGGGGGCGAGGCCCGGTCGACGAGCTCCCGGAGCCACGCGCTGAGCTTGGCAGTGCAGCTCGGGTTTCCTGCCAGCCGCAATCCAGAACTTCTCCGGGCATAGCCTTGTTGAGCGCGCAAAATCGGTGTGCAACGTTCCAGCCATCGCATCTCAGGATTGAGGGTTGACGCGTTCTGCGCGCCGAGCCTGTGAAATCCACGCTGACACCGAAGGCAGGTGACCAGCTTTCCTGGAAAGTCGCTCTGGGCATTCTGGGCCCCATTCGGTGGTATGGCGTCGATTTCGGCCCTGGCGGCCAAGGCTCGCGCTGCCGGGATATGCGCCAGAATAGCCCCGCAACGCCCCTTGCTGGTGTCGCAGATCAACCGGCTTGCGCGCGGATTCAAATGGGACCGTTGCATCTCGACTGCGCGGCAGCAGCCTTGCTCTCGCGTTAGCACCGAGGCCGAGCGCCGCCGTGGAAACGCGGCATGCCGCCCCGCGTCCGCGAGGACGAACAAGCAGTGTAGAGCTGACCGCCTCCACTTTTTCAGGCGCAGCTTGAGTCGCCCTGGTGGCACTGGCGCCTCCTCCTCCCGTGGCCTGGTCCAGCGGCGCGAGCCTGGCCACGTTTGCCGCGGGCCCGGCGCGCGCGGAATCGCTTGCAGACGGCCCAGCGCACGTTCGGGCCGAAGGCTGCGTCGAACCGCAGGGGTCCTGGGCCTTCACCTTGGAGAGGAATTGACTGAGCGCGGCGGGGCCCACGGAGGAAGAAGCGGTAGACTTCGTCGCGGGGGAAGGGGGGGGGCGAGCAGGACAGGAAGGCTCAGGAGCGCGCGAAGACGGGGTGCGACCGCGAAGACGATGGGCGCGATGGGGATGGAGACGATGCTCCGGCTCCGAACTACATCGGCGCATTGGCCGCCCCCCTCTCGACGCGGGGGTCGCTGTCCACCGTGGCGCGCGGCGCCTTTTCGCCCTTCTGCAGCGAAGTCCGTCAGACTGTGCGACGCGCTGCCTGTGGGCAACCGCTTCAGAGCAGTGCCCTTGTTCAGGCGCCGCAGCCCCTTGGTCGAATCCGGCGGGTTTCACTGCGGCGCCAGGCGCGCGGGGAGTTGACCAGGGCGGCAGAACAGCGGGGTCGTCGATGATCGTCCGCTCGACGAAGCCGTTTCGCACCGCCAATGCCGCGCGACGCGCGCGCGCCCAACCTCCGACGCCGACGGCTGTGCCGCGCGTGGGGCTCACAGTGAGCCTCGAACCGTGTTCGTTAAACAACATTTTCTCGCGTTCACGGGGGCCCTTGATGCCGACGACGTCGTTCTGGGCAGCCGCGTCTGCCAAGCTCTCGCCGGGCGTCGCCTCGAGGCCCCTCCACGGCTCCTGGCTGCGCGCCCGGGCAGCTGGCGCCCGCGGCAGGAGCTCGCCGACGCGCGCCGCTGACCCCGGCGTTCGCCGCTGCAGCGCCGCTCGAAGCAGCGGGCGCGCACTCGACGCCGACGTCGTGGCTGCGCTGGCACTTGTCGCCGGAGTAGCGCGCCTCCCCTGCGCTGACCCATTTGCATGGCGTCTTGGCCTTCATTTTTCCCCGCTGGCGGCGAGGTTTCCCGGCCTTCGCCCGCGGGGCCAAAAACTTTCTTCGGCGTCTGCCACTTCCGCCGCGGCTCTCGGCGGTCGTAGAAGCCGGCAAGCGCGGGGTCGCGCCGCCGGCTGTCGGCCCGGAAGTCGTTCTTCTCTGCGCGGGTCATCTTGCGGCGCTCCACCTCGTCCGCGGTGGCGTCGCGGAGCGAGGGGGGGGCGACCTCGGCCTCCTTGCCGCGGCTGTCCAGCGCGACCTCGGAGGTGGCGAACCCCTCCCCGACGCGACCCTTGGGGCCGTCCTTCGGAACGTAGTCGCTCCCCCGCAGCACGGAGTCGCGTTTCTTGAGCCGCCTGCGCTCAAAGTTCAGCCTCTCTGCAGCTCTGGCCACTGCTGAAGCGCACCGCCCTGCCTCGGCACGCTTCCACCCGCGTAGTTTCGGGTGCGGAGCGCGCGTCTGCGCGCCCTCCTTGAAGTCGCGTCCAGTCCCAGCCTTTGAACGGAGGTTCGCCGCCTCCGGTCGCGGGGGCCAGGTGCTGTTCTCGCAGAGCTTCCAGTTTCTCGAGGTCGGCCGCGAGCTGTTCCTGGTCTCCCTCGCGCTTCTTCAAGAAGTCCTTCGTGCGCCGGATGTCGCTCGCGATGCCGCCCTCTGCGACGCGCTTGGCCATGCCCTGGAAGGCTGCGCGGCCGGTCTCGGCAGCGCTGTGCCGCTTCTTAGCAAGCCGCTCCCGGTCTTCGTCGTCCAGGCCGGGCGCCTCGGGCACCTCCTCTGGCGGCTGCTCGTCTACCGCTTCGAACCCGCCAGCGCTGTCTGCGCCGTCCCTCTGAGGGCTCCTCTGCTGAGGAGACCGCGCGCAGAGCTCAGCACTGCGGTCCTCTTCGTGGCCCACTCGCGACGAGGCAGCCACCGCGCCGCGGAACAGCGATTCTGGCTCGGTGGATGAGACGAGTGCTGCTCCGCCCACTGCCTCCTCCTTCTGCGGCTGCTGCTGGTTCGGGCACCGGCGCGACCAACGCCCCAACTGGTGGCGCGTTTTGCAGCGCGTGCGAGCCTCGAGGGCAGAGACTGGCTTCAGTCGGACGCCCCGCTTCGGCCGCGAGGCCAAGTGTGGCCGCGGCGGCGCCGGCGCTCTGTTGCCCATGCCGCGGCCTCTGGGCGGTCGCCCTGGAGCCTGCCGCGGCCCGCTCTGCGAGCTTCCTGCAGAGCCGCCGCGCCACCCGCGGGCGATCTGGCTCTGATGCAGATTCTGTCTGGCGAATCTGGCGGTAGCCCTGAGGTCTGCCCCTCTGGGAGGCGCCCTGGGCTTGGCGAAACTGAGACAACTCCCTCTGGACTGAGACAGCGCGTCTCGTCCTCGTCGCGCTCGCCCTACTGGTCGCTCTTGTCCAGGGGGATGAGCTCGCCACCCTCGCTGTCGTAGTCCACGAAGGCTTCGTCGCCATCCTGCTCCTCTCGGAGTCACGCTGATTGTCCACGTCCATGGAAGTTCCCGCCTGCGAAGCCGTCGGCCTTTGGGAAAGTGTTCTGATTGCATCCAGGATGTCTGTGAACCTCCGTGAGCCGCCAGTCTCGGACATGATGTGGTCCTCCCTGTGCCCAAGGCCCAAGGACCTTGGCACGCTTGAGGAAGATTATGTCGTTCTGGCGGTCTGGCAGCGGGTCACCGTGGGAATCTGCTGTGAGAAAAGCAGACCTGGCGATGTTGTCGTGTCGAAATCGTCTGAAACTTCGGAATCAGATGTGCTTGTGAACCTGCCCCAAGACGTTTCGGATCGTCATTCCAACTCCTGGGTCCGGCAGCTCCTCGTCTGTCAGGTGGTTGATCACCAAACGAGCCTTACCAGACAGCGCGTCCCAAAATAAATTCCCATGCTTCGTCGCCTGGATGTCCGCGTTTTGTAACCAATGGTTTAAGGAACGGCGATACGTTCTCCAAGTCTGCTCTGGAAACAGCCCGTCCCAAGCCGGAGGTGGATCCTTGTCCACGGAGCGGCTCTGGGGGCCTCTGCCAAGATCCAGTCCTCTCCTCGCCGCTCCCAGAGGCCGTGCTGCCAGTCCCACCAACCTGCGTACGTGTCTTCGGGACCGGACGCTGAGCTCAGCACTCCAGTCCTCGATGCTTCGGGACCAGGCGCCGAACTCGGCACTCCAGGCCTCATTGTTTCTTTCCGCCACTGCCGCAGCAGCGGCAGCAACGATCTGCTGACGAATCTCATATGGCACGCCATCGCGCGCTCCAGGGGACGCACTACAAGACATGCCGTGGATCTGTCAACTCACGCTCTAGTGACAACTGTGGAAAAAATTCTACGTAACATGAAATGCAATCTCGCCATTGTTCTGTACGCGGCGTGCAGCACAGTCAACCTGTATCATAAGGATGCGCGGTAAGGATGCAAGGGCTTTGGAAGGCCATTTCGAAACTTTGCGAGCGGGGCGCGGCCAGCGAAAACGGCCAAAGGTGGGCCGAAGGGGAAGGATGCAAGGGTAGCCTTGGGAAGGTGGCCCATCCTTATACTGTGCGGGTTGACTCAAGAGCCCCAAGCGGCAATGAAGGCATACGTACATGCAGGCATGGAGGCAACAGCAGGGGAGAGAAGAGAGCACAAGGCCACGAGGAAGACAAACACAATAATTGCATTGCTACTCCACAGAGGATATCCCGAAAGCCAATTTTTCATGTGACAATTCAGCGCTTCCTTGTTCCCTATATCCGCACGGGCAAAATCACTTGACATCTTCTGAAGCCTGCAACGGTCTCAGGCGAAATGAGCAGATGCCTGGACCGCACCGCTCGCACATGATAGCCTCCAGGAGTGCGTTGCTTCTCCAAATTACAATGGCATGACGATGCATTCCAACAAATACGGGTGTGCTTTGCAAAAACGGGTGGACGTGAATACCCTTGGCCCCGTAACATCTTCTTGTTGCTGTTGCGTTCGTGTCAGACGGTGCTCGTTAGCATCTTGATACTCAAAGAGTAGCGCCCCCTCCACGTATGAGAGTCCACCGCCGGTGAAGCCAGCCTAGCTTGCGCTGCAGGTTTCCTTAAGCGACACACAAATGAAGTAGTCAATGATCTGCGCGCTGCGGCTCCTATAGCTAATGTGGCTCATGCTGCTGCTGTCGTGGATGCGTCGACATTAGATCCCCGACTCCCCCGCACACGGCGATCCTGCGAGAGGCTTCCCCAAGAAGCGCAAACTCGAACGCCTCACCAAAACAGCCCTGAGTAGGATGAGGACCGCGGGATAGTGATAGTCCGTCTACGGCTGTGCCGGCTAGAATAAACACGTTTTCGAAAGAAACACTCCTCAGCCTCCTCGGCCAACCACGCGGCTATCATGATACCCGAACTCCTCCTCAGCGCCCTCCCGCCTTGAGCATATTCAGCGTGGGGATCGGGAACCCCTTCGCGCCGATGTCCAGGCAGAACTCCTCGTTAAACTGCGAACTGGGAGCAAGGAGCAAGAGGGCAACGACGAAAAACAGGACGAGGAGGAGGAGGAGCAGCAGCAGCAGCAACTCCTTCTTGAACTGTAACTGGGTGAGTAGGTTAAATTGAAGGAGGCGCTGGATAGGAGCATAAAAGAGGCGAGGAGGACGCGAACGAGAGAAGGAGAAGGGGGAGCATGAGGTCGAAGTGAAGGGATTCGATGATGACAACGAGGAAGGGGAGGAGACCACGAGGAATGGCGCAAGGGCAGGAGGGGGGTGAGGGAGGAGGAAGGGGGAGAGGATGACGATAATGATGATGCTGATGCCTATGGTGATGATGATGCTGATGATGATGATGCTGGTGAAGCTGATGCTGCTGCTGCTGCTGCTGCTGCTGATGATGATGCTGCCGAATATGTCGATCACGATGCGGATGATGATGCTGATGCTGATGACGATGATGCTGCTGATGATGCTGATGATGAGGAGGACGAGGATGATTATGATATTTCATGGTGGTAATACTGATGATGATGGTGATGTTGCTGAGATGACAATGATGCGAATGTTAGAGAGGAGGAGGAGGAGGAGGAGGAGGAGGAGGAGGAGGAGGAGGGAGGAGGGAGGAGAGGAGGAGGAGGAGGAGGAGGAGGAGGAGGAGGAGGAGGAGGAGGAGGAGGAGGAGGAGGAGGAGAGGAGGAGGAGGAGGAGGAGGAGGAGGAGGAGGGGGAGGGGGAGGACAAGTACGAAGACAAGGAGGAGGAGGAGGAGAAGGAGGAGGAGGAGATGGGGTGACCGTAGCTGTGTCAGAGGACGGCATGAACGAGGGCGATCATATCAGGACTGGGAGGACGAGGGCGAGCAGAGAGAGAAGAAAGATGAGGAGGACAAAAGAGAAAGGGTGCGAATGTGTGCGTGGGGCGTGGGGGAAGAACAAGACGAGACGACATGGTGGGAGGGGGGATGCATGAAAGGGGTAAGGGAGTAGGGGGGGAGGCAGGAGGGGGAGGAGGAAGAGGAGGGGGACGAGCACCGGGAAAAGAGAAGAGGCGAGCGCGAGGACCCCTCCGCCGCGAGACCTGCCGTAGCTCTCCCCGTCCTCGGAAATGCCGTCGTCGGAGAATCCGAGCTCCTCAGGCATCTCCTCATCCTCCTCCTCGACCTCGCCGCCTCCTGCGCCTCTTCGCCTTCCTCCTCACCGACTCCCTGCTCATCCTCGATCTCTTGCTGATCCTCGCCCTCCTTCCCTCCCTCCTCCCCTCCTGTCCCCCAGCACCCTTTTCCCCTCGCCTCCCTCCTCATCTCACATCCCCCTGAAGCTCCTCCTCCTCCTCCTCCTCCTCCTCGTCAGCGCCTCGGGCGTCTGGCGCCCGCCTCCAGAGGACGCGTCGCGCGATGGCGAGAAGCCGCCGCGCGACGGCGCCAGCTCGGCCACGTCGCCCGTCACGAGGCCGAGCACAGGGGCGCCGAGCAGCGCGAGGCCAGAGACGAGCACCGGGCGCACCACGGAGGCGGCCATTTCCACTGGAGTGACGAAAAGACGCGGGTCTTGCGCCAGATGGCATGGCGACCTTACGCGGTGGCTTACGCGGGCCTCCATCGTGGCACGCTGCACTGGAAACGAAGGCGCTTACGCGCGACCTTCTGCGGGCAGCGTGCGCGCGAATGTCGGCGCAATCGACCCCGTTTTGCGTCGCTCGCTTGCGGCCGCGGGTGGCCGATCGAAGTGAGGTGATGAAATCGGGGATCGGGCGTCGCTAGAAGCGGCCTTGGCCCAGGGCGACCCCGGCTTTCTCAGGGAGGCGCAGGTGGCTTCCAGAACACCCCCTCGCGAGGCCGAGAGGGCGTCAGAGGCCACATAATGGCTGGAGAAGCTGAGAACAGCTTGGGTCACAAGACCATTTCTAGCAACACCCGGTCAGGGAGGGTTGGGTTCACAACCGGATCTTGTTCTCGAACCGAAATGGCTAAGTACCGCGGAAGATGAGGCTGGGGGGAAGGAGGAGGAGGAGGCGGAGGAGGAGAAGGAGGAGGAGGAGGAGAAGAAGGGAGAGGGCAAGGCAGAGGGAGGTTGGAGGAGGGAGGGAGAAGAGGAGGGCGAGGAGGTAGCGGGAGGAAGAACGGGATGGAGGTGAAAAAGGGGGCATGAAGAAAGAAGAGGTGGAAGGAGGAGGCGGAGAGGGAGGGAGGCGGGAGGAGCAGGTGAAAGTGGAGGGAGACGTAGGACTAACTTCTTCCTCCTCCTCCTCCTCCTCCTCCTCCTCCTCCTCCTCCTCCCCGCTCTTCCTCCTACTCCCATCCATCCCGGTCCTGGGCCCGCCCGGAATCCCCAGATCCATCGGCTTCCCCGCTGGCCAACCTACGGTCGGGACTTTTACTCAGAGTGTCGCGGGTGCGGGCCCCGCGACTCGCCATGCTCTGCGAGCTGTTAGCCCGTCGCTCCGCTCCGCGGGGCGGGAGAATGGAAACGCTCGGGACATGCATGTTTTGGGGCGGGGACGTGGTTAGCGTGTCGGGCCGAAACGTGGGGGGCCAGAACCGGCGGCGCGACACGCGAAGTAAAAGTTCTGGACCGTACTTCCCTAGGCGGGGATTAACGTGCAGTTTCCGTCGGGTTTTGTGGCTCTGATGCCCGCCTGTAGGCGTTAGGCTGGCGGCGTCAAGGAACCCTCGCCCACCTGGGATGGGGATAGGTATAACGATGTTGTGGGACTTCCAGGGAGGCGGGGGCAGGGCCAACCAGCGTCGAGTTGGGGAATCGGATCGAATTAGAATGTGCGCCGGATCGGGCCACATCGGCAAGGAACCGAGATCGGATCGGATCGGCTGGGTACGCGGGAGGTGCACAACTGCGCCGTGCGAGAAGCTGGCCGCACTGGCACATGTAGAACGACGTTTGAATGAATTCAAACCAGCCATCTACGGTCGGGAACTTTTGCTTAGCGTGTCGCGGCGGCGGCCCCAGCGAAACGCTATCCTCTGCAAGCGGGTAGCGTGTCGCTCGCCACGTGGGAAAAACTCGGGACTTTGAGGCCAGGGGACTGGGATGAGGATCGCGTGTCGCGTGTGGGCCAGAACCGGCGGCGCGACGCGCTATCCAACAAAAATCCGGCCGTATGTAGATCGATCTTTGAATGAGTTCAATTTTCCCAACCGTCCTATGGTGTTGGGTCCTCGATTTGAAGGGACAGCGCTCCTCCTGCTCCCTCCTCACTCCATCATCTTCCCCTTGCCCTCCGCATGTCAACTTGTTCGGCACTCCCCTCACACGCTTCGCGGCCCCATAGGGAGCTTCACCGAAGGCCCCAGTACCAAAGTTCGCATGCGGTTCCCGCCCATTTCGGCACATCTCTCGTTTCGTGGCCCCATATGGAGCTCCACCGAAGGCCCCAGTGACAAAGTTCTCATGCGCTTCTCCGCCCATTTCGGCACATCCCTCACACGTTTCGCGGCCCCATATGGAGCTCTACCGAAGGCCCCAGTGGCAAACTCCATATGATCTTCCCGCCTATTTAGACATATCCCTCGCACTTTCCGCGGGACGATATGGGGCACGACCCAAGGTTCACTGGAAAAGTTCGCATGCGGTTCCTCTGCAATTCTCGCACACCCCTCACACGTTTCGTGGCGAGGGAGCTCCACCGAATGCGGTGGCACAGCGCGGCAATTACAACTGCTTATGGTCGGGTCCTTCTTGTGGTGTTGGGTCCTCGCCTTGAAGCGACAGCGCCCCGCGTTCCTCCTTCCTCCCCCCCCCTTCTCATATCCCTGCCTGTGGCCTTCGCATGTCGACCTGTTCGGCACACCCCTCACACGCTTAGTGGCTGTGGCTCCATGGGGAGCTCCACCGAAGGCCCCGCTTGCAAAGATCACATGCGGTTCTCCGTCCATGTCGGCATACCCCTCACACGCTCCCCGGCCCCATAGGGAACTCCACCGAAGGTCCCAGTGGCAGAATCCAAATGCGACCCCTCATTCGTTCCGTGGCCCCATAGAGGGCCCCACCGAAACCCCAATGGAAAAATCCACATGAGGTTTCCCGCACATTTCGGCACAACCCTCACGCGTTTCGCGGCCCCAAAAGAGGCCCAGTAGCCCAGGGGCCCAGCCCACATGCTGGTCCACTGGCCCCAGGCGCCCCAATGGCCATGCGGTTCCTCGCCAATTTCGACACGCCCGTCACACGCTTCGCGGCCCCAAGACAAGCTCCACCGACAGTCCCATTGGCAAAATCCACGTGCGTTCCCCCGCCCATTTCGGCACACAACTCACTCGTCTCGTGGCCCCATAGGGAGCTCCACCACAAGGGCCAATGGCGAAATTCGCATGCGGTTGCCCACCCACGCCGGCAACCCCGCACACGCTTCGCGGCCCCACTGGGGCACAACCCAAGACCCCTGTGGCAAACTTCGCATGCGGCTCCCCTGCAGTTCCGGCACACCCCTCACACGCTTCGCGGCCCCATAAGGAGCTCGACCGAAGGCCCCAATGGCAAAATCCACATGCGTTTCCCTGTCCATTTCGGCACACCCCTCACACGCTTCGCGGCCCCATGGGAAGTTCCACCGACGGCCCCAATGGCAGAAAGTCCACATGCGGTTGCCCGCCAGTATCGAGACACCCCTCATACGCTTCGTTGCCCCATGAAGAGCCCCACCAAAGGTCCCATTAGCAAAACTCGCATGCGGCTCCCTCCCGATTGGGGCACACCCCCTCACACGCTTCGTGGCCCATCAGGAACTTCACCGAAAGCCGTGGCCACCACGCGGTACCCACAACTGCATATGTTTTGGGTCCGTCGCCAGGATAAGTACAAGCCGTGTTTGAACGATTTCAAAAACGGTTACTGTTTCGCGAATTCAAGAAACGTGTTTCCTCTCATCTGCGAAAAACCGTTTTGAACGAATTCGAACATTGGTTTGTGACAGAATGCCCAGAAAGAAACTTTCAAGTATACTCCAGGAGCTGGCGCGTGCAACTCGTCCAATCACAACTTTCACTTCATCCAAACAGCGACCAGTTTTTGAGCTCACCCAGGACATGGTGTTTCGAATGTACCCAACAACCGTTCTGCATCCGATGGCGGAAAGAACCGATGAACGGAGCGGCCGAACCGGACGGGGCCCCTGCACCCCCTTCAGCGTGCTGGTCATCCTGGGCACGCCGAGCACGCGAACAAGGGAGGGGAAGGGTCGTTGGCGCGTCGGCACCTTCGATGCCACAGAGCAGGGGTTATCAAAGCCGCAGGCTCCAAGTTGTGGGCTCCAGCGAGCTCATCTCTGGACGGCTTCGCGGCAACGGTGGAGCGCCCCGCCGCCGTCCGCCCCACCCTCGGGCGCGCCGAAGAGGGGGGCCAGAGAGAGTGAAAGGGGGGGGGGGCGCACCGTGGCCCGAAGCGTGTGCGAGCGCGAGGGTTGCGTCGCACACTCGGGACGTTTTGCCTGTCCCGTCGCGCCGCGGTCCGCGTCGACTCCGCCTCGAAGCCACAGGAATCCGCTTCGTATCCACGTTGGACCAGCGTCGTATCACTCCGGTCACATGGTGAAGTCCGCGCCGACAGCGCGTCGCATGTAAATCCGCGAATCCCACTTTGTGGGCTTTTGTAAGCAGGCGCCTCACAAGCATTAGCTTCAGCTGGCACAGACAATGGCTCGCAACGGTTCTTGTCTTGTCTTGTCTTGTCCTCCTCCTCCTCCTCCTCCTCCTCCTCCTCCTCCTCCTCCCCCCTCCTCCTCCCCCCTCCTCCCCCCTCCCCCTCCTCCTCCTCCTCCTCCTCCTCCTCCTCCTCCTCCTCCTCCTCCCCGATCTTCCTCCCCGTTCTCCTCCTCCTCCGCCTCCTCCTCCGCCACGTCTTCATTTACCTCCGACGTCTTATCACGCATCCCGTCACCCTCGAGGGCCGAGGTATCCAAGGTCGGCGGCACTGGCCGTAAGGCCTTAGCAATAAGACGGCAACGTGCAAGTCAGGCGAAGTCCCCCGAATCTGCAATACAACGAGGGGGGCAGCGGATGTGTTGAAGGAAAAGTAAGATGGGGCCATGGCATCCAGAGAAACTTCGCGCCGTTGGCCGCGACAGGATCAACCAGTATCGAATCGGGAACCTGAATCGAATCGGATCGGCCGCGCCAAGATGCACAACTCCATGCAAACATCGGGCCGTACCGGACCGCTGGTATACCGAAACCGAACCGGCTCGGGCTGGTCGGAGCCGACATCGAAGCGGATCAATCGGATCGGCATGGACCCGCCCATGATGTCCAACCTCTAACCTCTAACCTTGTTTTTCCTACAGCCTTGGAAACACGCGTCGATGGTGTCCTTGACATGCAGCGGCGGTGCAAAGAAAGGCGGCAAGGCGAAAAAGGACAGAGAGGACAAGTGCGGTCAACTTCAGCCCTCGCCGAAAGGATCGAAACGCGCAAACAGATGGGCAACGTCGGACTCGACCCACGCATCTCCAAAGGGCATGTAGGCACAGCGTGATAACCTCTACTCCCCACCCTCCACTTGGAGGCCCCCGACGCCGTCCACCTCCCCTCCACACACACCACGAGCCCCGAGGCCGTCGTCTCAGGGAGGCCCAGGGGCCGCAAAGATCATCTGGCACCCCGAACAAGAACTCAAGGCGGTCTGTCTTGTGCCTCCACTCCCTGATGTCCGACGTCTCGAAACAAATTGAACATCGTGGACCATCACGACTGGAGTCCTAGAACCAACCATTCTGCCCCATCTTTCGACCTGGGTTGATCTGCGAGGGTCCCTGGGCCCGAATCTGGGAGGAAACGCCGGGCTCGAACAAAAAATCAACGCCCGGATCTCAAGGCTTTCGGCCTCCGGAGGCCGGTCACATTTCCGGCCCCGTGGCCGTCAAGAGCGACTGGGGGATGGGAAAGCGGAAAGCGGCACGGGGGGGCATCGGCCCGACAGGTCTGCGGGCCCACGTCTCGAGACCATCGGGCCGCCAGCTGTCCGAGCAACGCGGGATCTGTTCCCGCCGTCGTTCTCCTCCGCTGGCATGCATTCTGGGACGAAGTTTGGCGGCGCGCACAAGGGGGTGGAGGGAGGGGGGAGGGCTTCTTAGAGGGAGGCTGCTTCTTAGAAGGCGCCGGCCCTACATCTATAGATCAGGTCCGCGCCTTCTAGGAAGCAGGGGTGCTTCTCAGAAGCCCTCCCCCCTCCCCTCCACCCCCCTCTGCGCGTGGCCGAGAGGTATGGTCAGGAACTCTTGGTTAGCGTGTCGCGGTGGCGGCCCCCGTCGACACGCTGGGCCTCGCAAGCGGATATAGCGCGTCGCCCTGCCTCGCGGGGCAGAGGGCCGGGAAAGGCCAGGGACGCCGACGAGCAGGAACGGGAGAGTGGACAGCGTGTCGCGCCGAAGCGCGGTGGGCCAGAAGTGGCGGAACGATGCGCGGAGTCAAAGTTCCTGACCACAATTCGCAGGTGCGGCTTCTGGCGCCTGGTCCCTGCGCGACGCTGCTGCTTCGCTGCCGCCGAGTTCGTCACCGCGCTGTGAGCACTGAGTGGAGCGTCCTCAGGTCACTTTGACTTCTCGGGGTTGAGTAAGGTCGGTCCTCGCGATTCGATCGTTCTGAGGCTTTCTGGCCCTCTGCGGGCCTCTGGGGCCTCCAGAGATCTTCTCTTCCCCATCCTTCTTGCTTCCATTGCCCATCCTCCTTCCCCATCTACATCATCTTATCCTCATCGCTCGTCCTCCTCTGTTGTGCGGTGGTGTACGCGCGCAGGCGATGCGAACACATGAATGCAACTGCCACCGAACAAGATAGACGGGCAACAGCGAAGGCAGCTCAGTAATCCAACACATATTGATGTCGCGAGTAGGGGAGCCCATCTTCCCCCCTGTACCTTTCCCCGTTCTCCCCCTGCAGTAGAAGGCTTGCCAAACAGCTTCTTCAGTAAGAGGAGTGGATGCCCAAATCCCATCTGCTTTTCCCAATGAGCTTGGCGAATCGCTGTGGCCTCGTGGAGCATTGAGGCATCTGGCTCGCAAGCTGCTTCCTCTTCCCTGCGTCCTCCACGTGCCCCCCTATGGCTGAGCTCGACCCAGACACAGGAATGTGCTCTTGCACAATTCGTTGCTCACTGCATGGTCAACGCTTGTAGCAGTGGGGTGGGTCGCGCTGCCCGATGAGCAGCGCGGCAAGGAGCGCGAATCGTCTGATCCGTCTCATCACGAGATGCTGAGCGCGAAGCTGTGAGAAGCTGCCACGCTGGACGCGCAGCGTGCCGAATCCCTCACACCCGCCCCCTGCCAAATATCCTCTGGCCGTTCGCCAGTGGCCTGCATGCAGTACCTGCACCCGCACCGTGAACTCCCTTCATCTCGCCAAAACGCAGATCACTACACTTGCACCAAACAAGAGACAACGCAACATGTACGATTCTGTGGTAATCGAACCGCTCCGGCAATAAGTTCTGGCATGGGCTGCGCCACGCAACGACTCGCGATAGCTGGGAATGCAACGTGGATCGCTTCTCCCAGTTAAGCCTGGAGCTCCCCAAGCTACTTGGGTCTGGAAGGTTGTGGGTAATGCGGCAGGCGGCTTGCCCTTGCCCCGCAGACTGAGAAAACGCGAATCCTCTCATTCTCTCCCCTCCTCCCTCGACGGGCCCTGTCTCTTGCCGCTTTGTTGTTCCTTCGCTTCTCTGCCAATGGGCTTCCCTTGATCAAGAAGGGATGGTGCAGTGCGTGGTGCGATGTGGTGCGCTGTCCAGCCCAAGTAAGGGTAACGGGCGAAATCGATGACCCACTCGTCCTGGCAAAATGTTGGATCATCCATCACTGTGGGCATGCTGGCCTTCTCATCTCGCCTGATAGAGTGAGGGAAATTGGCATGAACAACATGCTTCTGATGGTCAACGGGTGTCGCACGGGCATAGTATAACACCCGCGTCGACTAAGTTGTCCCACCATTTGTCGGCCAAAACGAACGCTATGTGAATACGAAACGGACTATCATCGATGGCATTGATTTGGAGTAGTCTAACGCTGCCAAACACATGCATCGTTTGCAAACTTATCGCTGCACAACACTGATGGCACTTGCAATGCTGCGAGGACCAACTTCCTCCCGAGGTAATGCTACGTAGCGCACAGGCACATTATCACGACTCGCATGAACTAACAACTTCCTCGGCTCATCCATGACATTGGCTTCAAACTGAGCGCTGCGATTAGGACTACTGCAATCCACGAAATCCGAATATGTTCCATGCCCAACTTCCTCGCAGCCTGCAGACATGAGCAATCAGCAATCATCTAGGTGAGGCTCGTCAACACGCGCTGGCTTAACCTCACAGTCCTATCTCTCTCGCCTGCAACCCAACCCTTCCCACCAATCGAGCATGCCGCCTTCGACGACATATCTTCCACTCTGCACCGACCTTCCCGGCCACCACGCCCAGTTCCAAAATTACAACTCGCGATTCCGAGCATGGGTTCTTCAACTCCTTCGCCTCTTGATAGCAAGCGGCACCAACGTACATCAATATCAATACGTTCTGGTCATGGCCTACCTTGCACTGCTCCAGTCACCACCCAATGACCGCAGCGCGAATACGATGCCAAGGCTCCCGTCATCAGGCACCTGGGCAGCACTACAAAACAACAACTACTGGTCGCATCCGCCCAGGCAATACAACGCATTTCGTGCAAGTATGAAGATAAAGAAGATCTGCAGTAGGTTCCAAGATGCTACTCAATACGCACATGGGAAAAGTTTGGCAGGCTTCCGAATGCATGCGAGTCTTTTGATAGCATCGTGCCTCATCTCGAGCTCAAGCAATATGGCGACCATTGCATTGCAGATTGCAGAAGCCTTCGAGGTAGAAGGAAATGTGCATGCGCGCGCTGGTCATGATGAGTGCCCCGGCGAATCAGAAGCAACCTGCTAAAGCCAGAACACTTGCATGCGCATGCAACCACACACCGTTGTGACGGGTGCAGGCCAAGAGCAGCACGGTGAGGAGCTTCTGCTCAGCGCGTCGCAGCGGCGGCTCCTGAGGCACGCTATGCCTTGCAAACCGATAACGTGTCGATCCGCTTCGTGGGAACGGGAGGCCTGGAACAACTCGAAATGTTGATAGCTGGGGACTAGGGCGCGCTCAGCGTGTCGCCCCGAAGCGTGGTGGACCAGAAGCGGCGCCGCGGCACGCTGAGCAGAAGCTCCCGGCTGTCTCCGGCAGGCAGCGCTGCAGCACAAGGCTGGGCCGCGCCAAGGCCTGGTCGGACGGCATTCTCTGCGAGCCGCTCTGGCGCTCCGCTCGCCTGTCCCGATCCACTCTCCTCTGCTCCGCCCGCCCCACGCCACCCCACTCACACCCCCTGAGCGGTAACGAGAGGGGGGGGGACCGCGGCTCCGGGGGGGCGGGGGGGAAACATCGGACCAGACTCGACGATACATCGCCGATAGGTCTGCGATGCAGCCATCGTGCTACAGTAGGGGTCGCTGAAGAAGGAGCGAAGGTGCTTCTCTGGCCACGCCGAGCAGTGGCCACGAATACGCTCCCCGACCAACAGAGGAACGACCGAAGCTGCAATGTCATGTGCGGGATGGGCCATCGGGCCCCTGCCGGCGATGAATGGGCGGTGGGGGGATCGATGCGTTCCCTCCGGGGGCTCTCCCCCCCTGAGGTTGCCCTGGCGCTCCTGTCCTGGGAAGGCACCGCCTGGCCAAGGGCACCAGACACTGGCGCAGGATCACGCCGTGCAGCCAGAGTGACATGACCAGCGAGGTGGAGTGGGTATCGCTGGCATGCGAGGAGGCGCGCGCGCGCACGAAGGCCACGAGATCCGCAAGACCGCCCCCGCAGGGGCAGCGCAGGGACGACAGCCCTTCCCGCCAACGCCGCGACCCTTTACGTACCCGGCGAGTCTCCCGCAGGGGTGGCCAGTGGGCTCGCCGCTCTCGCCGAGGGTCTCTCGATCCGAGCGGGCTCTCACCGAGAGAAACCCGATGGACCCTCGCCCGGGAACTGCGGCCTCTCTTGCGCCAGGAGGGGCGCAAGTGAAGCGACAGATGGCGGGCGAGAGGAAGGAGGAGGAGGAGGAGGAGGAGGAGGAGGAGGAGGAGGAGGAGGAGGAGGAGGAGGAGGAGGAGGAGGAGGAGGAGGAGGAGGAGGAGGAGGAGGAGGAGCGACGACGAGGAAGAAGGCGAGGCAGAGAGCGACGCCGCACCACTGGCACGGCTCATCGTGTGCTCCGGCTCGGCCTGGCGAGGACCGGCGCGCGAGCGTCTGTGCGGAGGCCGCTCCAGACATGGCCCGCCTTCGGTGCACGTCGCCCCCGGCGGAAGCGGCAGAAGTAGATCGGCGGCGGCTCCGCTGGCGGAGGGCAACTGAAGCAACAACGAGACGTCACCATAATTTGTGCATTCAGGGTCTCCAGAGTCGGCCTTAGCATGTCGCAGGGGTAGGCCTCCCCCCGACACGGATCTGGAGCAGACGTGCCGCCGAGAGACACAGCGAACAAATGAAGCAGACGTGCCGCCGAGAGACACGGCGCAAAAAGGAACGGAGGGCCTGACGCAGCGGGGAGCGGCGCGGTAGTCATGGCGAGGGTCGACGCTCTGACTGTGCCCGGCCTCCTAGCTCCAGCGGGAAGGAGGGAGAGTACGTAGTAGCAGGAGGGAGGAGGAGGAGGAGGAGGAGGAGGAGGAGGAGGAGGAGGAGGAGGAGGAGGAGGAGGAGGAGGAGGAGGAGGAGGAGGAGGAGTAGGAGTAGGAGGAGGAGGAGGGGGAGGAATAATATAATGAACCCGAGATGTATCTACGATGCTGCAATACTCCACTGATCCCTCGGCGAGGAGCCGTCGTGGGGCGCAGCCGTCGTCGGCTACTCGGCGATCAAGGATGTGCTCATGTGTACGATGGACGAGGAACTCCACACCAAGCTCAAGATGACTCATGGGATCGCGTTATCATATACCCCTAGTGTTTACGACACTATAGAATGGATTACCCTTGTCAAGTGTGCGATCAAGTACGGCTTTCCAGCGGCTAGGCTGGGCCTCGAGCTTCAGATTTTCACGAGTCCCAGGATAGTGGATAAGGGTGATGCGGTGCCTCTTCCCTTTCAAGCTACGATGGGGATCATTCAAGGTTTGAGGAGTGGGACAATCTTTGCAAGACGTAGAGTCAGCCTGGTTATGGAACGTCTCACGGTCATGTACCCAAATCTCAACGAACTATTATGGATCGACGGCTTGTCTCGATCAGCTGTGGGATCCAGTGGACATGTGCAGAGCGCCCTTATCGAGGATATCGCTGCAACTCACGACCTCCTGGACGATGAGCGCTTGCAGCTTGCGAGTAACCGTGTAGTTTCATGTACGAGGGTGCAGGATGCTAGAGCGATTGCTGCAGCCTTGAAGAAGCGCGGTCTAGTCAATCGGCGCGCACAGCAGGTCTCGTATCTATGTGTGCGATATTGAATGTGGTAGGAGGCTCGCGTGAGCCACAAGACTCTGGATGATTTCGCATACGAGGAGGCAGCACCTGTCTCTTAAGAAGGTTGCTCTCTGATCTAGGAGTGTGCATATTTCAAAGAAAGTGGAGATGCTGGGCCCCAGGCTGGATCGACGTTCGGCCATCAGATCCAAGGATTGCCAGTGCCCACTTTGCAGTTGCTGCGTAGGCGTGTTGGGGCCGTCTCAGGGAATCGTCGGGGGAAGTGCCTGACCACCCGCCTGGACCTTCGGGCCCCAGGGTCCGTTCCTGGGCACGTGCTGCCGAAGCAATGTCTTGAACTGTTGTTTAGGCGATGGTTGGATGTTCCTCGCATCAAGGAGCCAATTTCCAGAGTCTGGGAGGCCACCTTAGAGCACGTTCAAAGCCTCGCCCCACAACGGAGGGCTAGGCATGTGCGAGGTCCTCTCACAGCCGTCAATTACAATTTAATATGCGCTGGATGGGGGGCCCCCTTCACCCACTGAGTGGTACCCCGCCGCATGACAGAGATGGCAGGCGAGAGGGGTGGTCCTTCCAGAACGCTAGCTTCAGATCTTTTGAGCAATCTAATGAATTGACCGATGCCTTCTGCACCACCATCCGTCAACTGCAATGGCGGGAAGCGGCACTGGGGTGTTGTGGCAGTGGCATGGAAGCAGACACAACTAGCTCTAGCCTCAGGAGATACCCGTCCCGGCCCGAACAGATCCCCGAGATAGGCAACCAACCTTCCTAGCTAATGGTGCTTTCTCGGTTAGGGATGCTTGGCCTGCGGCCCGAAAGGCTGCAATCGCACCTCCTGGATTAAAAAATCCCGATCGCCGCTTCGAGGCGCCCTGCATCCACGCTCTTCGATCGGGCCCAAAGCTTCGACTATCGATCGATCTTGGAGCCTCCATCCTAGATCTCTGGCTCCATCGATCTCGATCATCGATCTTCGAATTCTGGTCGACCCTGGATGTTCGATCGCCGATCGGCCCTGGATCCTGGATCCTGGAGCCTCCATCTTCAGTAGATCCAATATCCTCGGACGCCGATGGACCCCGGATCGTGAATCCTGGATCGTCGAACGTCCATCGTTCCTCGATCTTCGAATGGCCCTGCACCCCGTACCTTGGATTTTCGATTTTTGTACGACGTTGGGTCGTCGATCGGTTCACCTCGGATTGGGGATCGTTGATCCACGCTCGATCCTGGAACCTCGGTCCTCGGCCCCCCCAGAGACCCCAACGCGACCTCAAGATGATCTCAAGATGGCCACGAGATGACCCTCGCGGCCTCAACGTGACCTCAAAATGACCTCGAGACCCTACAGAGGAATGTGCGACCCGAGCCTGATCTCAGGGCAGCCCGATGCTAGTTCCGCAATGATCCCGAGAGCTGCGGACAGCTGAATGGGCAAATCCCAGACCGGCTGGGCGAGGCAGCGGCATCTGGAGTGGGCATGTCGGGACAACGTGCAATGCGAGACACATGCAAGTTGAGGTGTGAGAACAGAAATTGAGACGGAAGAGGTAGAAGAAGAGGAAGCCAGTCACGACCGTGCGCTCGCGAATTGAACGCGACGTTTCAAATTTCGGAGAGGGTCCAGATCAACCCATGTACGCAATGCGACCTAACATGCAGGTGTCCCAGGATGACCTGAAGACGCGTTGCGAAGGAAGTCTCACGCGCAATGCGCAATCGCCGCTGTCTTTCGGGATGGCGCGGGGCAGAAAACGCGGCCGTGAGAAAGCCTCAACCGAAATCGCCACGTACTGGCGGCATGACATGTGGCCAGAAACGTAGTTGAGGGAAATTATCATGGCAAATGTACACTCTCTGGCGACATGACGTGGCGGCAAGAAACTCGGTTGTGAGGAAGTCCCACGCGAAAGTTTCACTTTCTGGCGGCATGCAAAGGGTCCAGAAACATTGCTTTGAGGAAGTGCCAAGCAAAATCGCCACCGTCTAGTGGCGTAAGCAAGGACCATCTAGTTTTTAGTGAGTGGGTCCTAAGCGAAAATCGCCCAAATCGGGTTCCCTCTGAAATCGTCCAGTTGCCTGGAAAGGGGGCCAGACAAATTTTCTGTCGGAAGAAGCATGGGCTGGAATGCGACATTCCGGTCCTTTCTACAGGAGAAGATAGATGGACAAGACGGTCGCCAAACTTGTCTCTGCAACATTGTACTGGGGACCCTCGGCCTAACTGAAACCGAAAAATGCTAATTCCGCGACCTCTGCGGTCCGGCCTTTTGAATCCAGGGGGTTGTAGGTCTCAGCGCACCCCCAGACTGTCAGAATTGTAGGCAGGACCATCGCGAGACCCCCAAGCACAAGTTTTGGCAGTGCCCTCGCAATTTACGTGCACCGGCTCTCGAGGCATCCGAAGGCCTGGTGCACCGAGCACTCACCCAGGGGGCAGCCTCGAACGTTTTGGACGAGAGGGCTTATACCTGAGCACATGACGGAGATGGACCCTCCCACCACTCATGAGACTTGGACCAACCGCCACCCCAATGAGGAGTCGGATTCAGTTTTTTCGGTAAATGGCGATCATTTACTAGGCCTGGCGGACAAGCTGTTCCGCGCCCCCGAGGCCCATACCAGAGTCCTCCAGACGGAGGCTGAGGTCAAGCTGACTCGGGAACGTGTTCCGACAGCCACTGAAGAGGCCATCCATGCGGAAGGGAAAAAGGTTTCAAGCGCTGCTGCTGCTGCTGCTGCCGCTCCTGTCCTCCTCCCCCTGCCTGGGCGAAACGGCCCCCTCCCACCTCCCCCCCGAAAGACGAGCGCCCCAGGGGACTGCGATTCGGGCGGGAGCCTCGTTTGAAAGAAGTTGACCTCCATCCCTCGAACTATGCAGAATGTGGCCAGGAGGGGTCAAAAGGTCCCATGGGAGGGCCCAGCGACAACTCCGTTCTGAAAAAAGAACCGCCCTCCATATGTATAACTGCTGCAGTGTTCCTTTTCTGGTCATCAGCGGGTGCAGTCGGACCTAGGCCAGAATAAGATCCTCCAAGAACATGGGACACTCCGCCGGCCAAGACACACAGAACATCCAAGGGTACCCACCCCAGGACGCACAAGAACATCCAGCAAGCACGAAAAACACGAGGGTACCCTCCCCGAACGGACCTCGATCTTGTACCTCGGTCCAACTGTAGGGCTCCCAACCGATATGTCCATGTTGCAACTGAGCTGAGCGGCCCTCCATCCGCGCAGCTGCCGCACAATTCTGTACCTGTGGTCATGGAGATGGACGAGGTTCTGGATGATACCCTCTTCTGAAAAGAGCCGCTCTCCACCCACGAAGAGCGTGGACACTTCGACGAAAGCGCGCGGCGAGAAGGCGAGAACCGACTTTGAAACATCTTCGGCCTCCATGCGTGCAGGAAAACCACAATTCGAAAACCAACCGCCCTCCGACCTTGTAACTGATGGAAGCTTCAGGCCTCACTGGTCTCAGGCCAAACGCAGGGCCCGCCCGAACGGCACCTGTGGTGGTACGGCAAGGAGGAATTCTTTGTGAGAGGGAGGGATGAAGGAGCGACCCGCAAATTCCTCCCCATGGCGGCACTGGGGGCCGACGCAGCCTCGGCCTGCTCGCGGAACCTCCTGGTGTCGCCGCACTCCCCCCAGATGCCTGGAGCCCCACGAGACTGCCGCGGGACCTTTCAGAGATCTGGCTGATGCTCCAGGAAGGGGGCCGGTGCTCCGGGCAGGCTGCAGCACCAATCAACGACGTGCTGTGTACCACACCTCGCAGGAGGGGCCCTTGCCCAAATCTGTGCTCCCGTGCGGATCGTTAGCGCGCCTCGTCGTCGTCGTCGTCGTCGTCGTCGTCTTCGTCGTCGTCGTCGTCGTCGTCGTCGTCGTCGTCGTCGTCGTCGTCGTCGTGGTGCGTCTTGCTCGTTCCTGGTTTCGTTTCTCTCGCAACTTGACCACCACCACCCTTGTCGAAATCACCGTCCCCGTCCTCACCACTCCCACCCTCCTCCCTGCTCCCTCCTGGCGCTGGGGCTGGCGCTGCGGACTGTCCTGGCGATGCCTGCAGCCTTTGTGCTCCATGTGGGGACACGAAACGTGTGAGTGGTTTACCGATGTGGACACGCGGAGGAGGAAGTGGATGAGGAGGAGGAGGAGGATAAGTGTAAACCCAAAGCGCGTCAACGATGTTGCAATGATAACTCCCTCCGAATCTATGTTTCATAGGCCTCTACAAGAATTTGCTTTCGGCGCGGAAATGCCCCATTGGAAGACAAGCGTGTGAGAGTCCTCACTCGTGTCAAACCGCTAGTCCTGGGACTTCAGCGCCGCTCAACGAGACGGTTGCGTCCTGAAGTCCTCGACCGCGCCAAAACACAATTCCTGGTACTTCAACAAGGATAGTGAACGTGACCGCTGCGTCCTGACAATCCTAAACCGTGCCAGACAATGATTCTTGAACAAACGACCATACGAATCCTTGAAACCACTGCAACATGTTAAAACGAAGGTGCGCGGCGCTAACGCGAGAAACAAATTTCAAAAAGGAGCTGCCCCCCATTCTTGAGACGGTTGGAAATGTTGAAACAAGTGTGAGCGGCGCTAACGCGAAAACCGCACGTTGAAAACGGTCAGCTCTCCATCCGTGAAGCTGCTGCAAACTTTGAAACCGAATGTGCGCGGCGCTAACCCGAGAACAACATTTTGAAGATGACCTGCCCTCCATCCGTTAAGCTGCCACCGAGTTCAAAAAGAATGTGCGCGTCGCTTACGCGAGAGCCACAATTTGAGGACGAGCTACCCTTCCTCCGTGAAATTGTTGCAAATGTTGAAGACCAACGTGCGTGGCGATATTGCGTTAACCACATTTTGAAAACGGTAAGCTCTCGATCCTTGAAGCTGCTGCAAACAAGTAAAACGACTGTGCGCGGCGCTAACGCGAGAGCCACATTTTGAAAACGGCCCGCTTCCATGAGCGAAACTGCTGCAGATATCCAACTTTATGATCATGCGTGGTGATATCAAGTCTCAGGCGAAACGCCCGGACCGCCCCACATACACGCCCTGGGGTGCGGCAAGGAAGAGTTACATATAACGGAAAGGGTGGAGTTCTCCTGCCACCAAACGCAGCAAGAAGGAAAAGCTGGACAGCGCGACCATACTGGCCCCAAACAGCCGACACACGCTCTTCTCATCGCTTGGGGTCGATGCCGTTCTTCTCGAAGTACCCCTCCTTGCCGAGCTCCTTGCCATAGCGGCACGTCATATCGTAGGGCTCCCCGTAGCAGTCCGACAGCTTCCGCCCGACGTACCACATGCACTGCTGACAGTCCTCCCAGCACCAATGGGAGCCGTCCCTCCTCGACGGGCGGCCTTTGCACAAGTTGTAGCAGTTCTCCGACATGTTGTACTTGGCCATGTTGTAGACACTGCCAATGCAAGTGGCGCACGGCGTGGAGACGTTGTAGAACTCCTGGTAGCACGACACCCACTGCGAGATCCCGAACCACCAGTCAGTCGTAAACGTCTTGTAGCAGGACCCCGTCTTGAAGTCCCCCGTGCGGGCGGCCTGCGGGAGCGTCTTCTTCGCCTGCTTCAGCGCCCAGTAGTTGATGACCGTCATGTCGTCGGCGGAGCACTGCGGCGTGTCGAACAACGGCCAGTTCGCCTTCCCTGGGTAGGTTTCGTTCGACCGAAGTGGCGCGTGCCACGACCCCACTGGCCAGGCCTCGGCGCTCTTGCGGTCGTGCCCGACGAGCTGCTGCTGCGCCACCTGCTCGCGAGGTGCAGGAGCATCGCTCACCTGCCCGACGAATTCGAAGAAACCTCCGAACTCATACACAACAGAATCCATCTTGTCATCGGCACCCGCACCGTCTCCGTCCAAGCGCACACTCAGCTGGGTAGTCAGAGTCAGGAAAGAAAAAATGAACACGCGAAGCAAACTCATCGCGTTGTATCAGTAAAGTGAAGATGGCCTTGTTGGCGCCACAGGCCGATTACGAGTTCGGTGTGCAACCCCTCTGACAAGGACTAGAATCTTGAACCAAAATGGCTTCAACCAAAATCGATACGGACATAACGGAAATGATGAAGAGCAGGAGGAGACAGAGAAGAAAGAAGAGCAGGAGGAGGAGGAGAAGAAGAAGGGGGTAGCTGAAGAGAAGGAAGGTGGAGCGCGGCGCTGTGGATTCAAAACGAGGAAACAACGTCACAGTATGGTTGGGGGAAACACGACAAGCGCAACGATGGGTCCCTCATCTCCCTCTCTAAGAGGCCGCACACCTCTCGGAGGCCTCTGGAGGTCTTACAGAAGGTCGCTGGAAACCCATGGACGCTTCAAGGGCCTCGAGGGCCCCACGCCCTCACATTGGTTGAGCAACGACGTGAGGGTGAACACCACGATGTAACAATCGATGCTGCTCTTCCACTGTTGCCGCGACAAACCCGTGCCTAAGTGCCGGGGCGGAGATCGTCCCGCTCTTCGCCGGAACTTCATTGAGATTTAGACGACGGAGGAGTGTTAACCGTCGAGGGTCGACCGGGTGCTTCTTGTGGGAGGGGGGATTCGTCGCTCCTGTGCCCGATCCCGCTCCCCTCCCCCACTGGAAGCCCCCGATCGACGAGTGTCGAGCGTCGAGCGTCGAGCGTCGAGGATCGAGGGCCGAGGCTCCAGGGCCGGGGGTCGAGAGTCGAGGGTCGAAGATCGAGGATCGAGCCTGGATCGTCGGCCCCCTCCTCGCCGAGGCCTCGGGCCACCCCCGAGGAGGAGCCCGGCCGGCACCAGCACGCTCCCGCGGCTCCCCACGGCTCCCCGACTGCGCGCCTCTCCACGATGAAGGCCATGGAGCGCCGGTAGCCTGGGGGGCGGTGCGTCGTCGGTGGCGGCGTCGGCCCCGTCGTCGTCGAACTCTCGGTCCTGAAGAACAGGTGTAGTCGATTCCCCGTCAAAGTCGCAACGATTGGCCCTCGAGGGGCGAGGGTATTTCCCCAAACGGTGTTTGCACTTAGGGGTTCTAGTTCTTTTCAGAAGAACAGGGCCTGTCTGTCAATCTGGCGGCTATGTTGTGGCCGTCGCCGCCGCGTCGCCGCCTCGCCGCCGCCGTCAACAATGGTGATGAGCGCCGTGGTAACATTTCCCCTCTATTTCAGCAAGACCTCTTCGGTGAAAGCTGAGTTGACTTCGTCGAATGGTGCCAATGGTATTCGATGTTGCGGGCGAACGCGTCGTGTTCGACGCTGTAATGAGCCGGCTGCTTGGCGAATAGCTTGTTCTGCGCGTTCGTGGTGAACAGAGCGGCGATTCCTGATTCCTTTCTTCCTCTTTGGACTCAATATCGGTACCGTTCCCATCTATCAATCATGACCATGACTTGGCTGGAAGACTCGTCCTTCCGGTCTCGGGAAGCGAGCTAGTGACATTGGTGGGCCGCGTGCAACGGCCACGAACAATTGAGGACTGACAAACTCTTCTGGACCCCGATTGTCACCGCGCACATGGCACGACGCTGCGACGTTGCGGGGGTCGCCCTCGCACTGGAAGACGAGGTCGTCACAGTCGGGCCGCATGGCGCGGTGCACGTGCTGCCTGGACTCTTTCTTGTTGCGCTGGGGCCACCAATTCATGAGCATGACGGGGGCCTTCTTGGGAACGGCCGTGGTCGCCCGCCGGATCTGACTGGGCAGCGCTTGGCTGGAAGTCCGCATCTCGGATGCGGCCATCGCGGCGGAACGCGGCGGCTGGACGCGGGTGCCCAAGAGCGCCCGTGGCAACCGTTGGGCTTGATGCACACCAAGTGATGACGGTGATGACGCTGAGTATGAAGACGCCGATGCTGAAAGTGATGACACTGATGACAGTGTGGGTGATGACGGTGATGACAGTGACGACGATGCTGACGGTGATGACAGTGATGACGCTGCTGACGGTGATGACAGTGATGACGATGCGGACGGTGATCAGGGAAACCCACTGATGGCGATGATAATGAAGATGGCGATGATGACGGTGATGACGGCAACGAAGATGACGATGATGACGGTGAGGGCGAGGATCGAAACAAGTGTGAAGATGAGAAAAGGGGGAGGGGTCCGACCTGCATGCATGCAGGTCTGTTCATGGGGGGGAGACTTAATCTGCACGAATGCAAAACAATCTTGGGACTATCCTGCGACAGTTGGATTATCATGTAACGTACCCCCCTTCTTCCGACCTGAGAGGAGCGGCGGGAGAGGGAGGATCAGGCAACGAGCATCGGGCACATGCTAAAATGGACTAGGGGTCCGTGGGTATGGCGCGTGGGCGCCAGATCCATGGATTGGGGGAAACACCCCCAGAACATGGCGCCAATGACGCCTGATGTGGCGATGGACCGCGCAAATTTCGTACGGAAACGAGACCCGTGACTAGTCCGCGCGCCTTCATCCATGGTTCCGCTTCCTCGAGAGCAGATGGTGGCCACGGCAGACAAGTTTCTTGACCCGCCCGCACCATCCAGGCGACGATGAATGCCCTAATTACCCGCGAGCAGCGCTTGGCAACACAGTGGTGTTGCTTCGCGGAGTGCAAGAGAGAAGCGCCTGGCCACCGAAGAGTGCTACCCAAAGGAAGGGAGCAGAAGAGGGAATCGACCAAGCATTGGCGTGAAGCTGGTGCCGGCGTAAACCACCTCTGACTTCGCTGGGGGCGCCATGGCAAGAAAGGGGATGCTGAAATTGCAAAAGAATTCGCTCGTCAGCTTCCCTCGTCCAGACACCGATCCTGGGCCAAGGGCCGCCAAGACCAGCTCGGGACGAAGGGCTCTGGGAAAGTGGTGGGGAGGCGCAGGGTCTGGCAACTCGAACAGTCGAGACGTCGGAGGTCTGAGGCAGATTCATGGACAATCGTTGGTCTACGCACAAGAGAGATCAGTCCGCATCGAACCAGGAAACCGGACAGAATCGGAGCATGTATCAGAACGGGCCGCACCAGCACGGGGCCAAAATTGGGCGAGATCGGCCGCGCCGGGACGTACACATGAGCAGTGTATGCAAGCGTGGGTTCTCAGAACGTGTGTTAACGCACGCGTGTGTCCGAAGAAACCCTTCAGGTCGACGTGGGCTACATAACCAAGGCCGACACATGTTGGGTGCTTCCGGTGGAGTTTCACATGGTAGACACATGTTTTGCCCCGACGGCGATGCAACACCACAGTCGCGTCAAGATCCAAATCTAAGACGGGAGACGTCGCGACAACTTGCAAACCTGCGTTGAGGTCGGCGATCGAGAGCTGGTGCAGAGGAAGCGAGCCGCGAGGTAAACACAGACGCACGTAGGGCCAACTCACGTGCTGGGAAGCATCCAAGGGAGCGCACCGCGCCTGCCTCTATGAGACGTCCCCTCCTCCTGCCCTCCCCGACTTCCACTCCTCGGCAGCACGCAGCAGCGACCCTGGGCAAGAGTGACCTTTGGCGCGCGACCTCACGGGGGGCGCGTGGGGACCCGCGGGCCTGCACCGGAGGTCACTCCGGCGAAAGGTCACCCTTGCGCGTAGCCGGGCCCCATCTCCGCCCCCACAGTGGCCTCGCGAGCGGGGCATCCAGTGCTGCCACATGAGGTTGCGGCCCTTCCCGTCCACCTGGGGGGCGAGGCGGAGCCGCGGGCGGAGGGTATAAGCCCAAGATCTCTGAAGTTGTGGCCACGCAACTTGCCATTGCTCGGACGTCCATTCCCCGTGCATTTTTCGGTTCAGGATGCTCCTCGATCCTCGCCGAGAAAATTGCACGCGTCCGAGCGATGCCAAGGCAATTCTTTAGCCTGTCTGGATACGAATCTCGGCGGCCACGGAACGCGCAACAGACACACGCTGGCAGGCACACGCCTGTCTGCAGCAGATCCTGCGACGACGCACTCGCCCTCGCGCGCTGTGCGACGTGGCCGCGGGGCGGCCCTGCGACCAGAGGCCTCCTCAATGGGGTCCGAGCGGAGAGGGTCAGAGGATCGCGCCGCATCGCCGATACATCTGCGCTGCCTGCGTGCAGAAAATTGGGCTCCACATCTAGCCGCATCGCCGATGCATCGGCGTTTCGGCGCGACCTCCCGACCCCGTCTACTCTGGCCAGATTTTCATCCCAGGTCGTTTTTGACGGTCTTGGGGTCCGAGAGCATCCTTCAGAGGATGAGCAAAGCAGAGCATAGCAGCTGTCCATACCCAGGAGGGCGGCCCGAAGACAAGCGACTGGCGTGCTTCGCACGCTAGCCCTTCGAAAAGGACCGGTGAAACTGCTGCGAAGGACAACGAGCGGGAAGCAAGCGACTCGATTTGCGGCAGCTCTCATTGGCAAGATACAGCCGCACGCTGCTGCGAAGAGGCCAGCCTGCATTTTTCGAGCCGCCAGACGTCTGGGTCGGCATGAGGTCTGCCGGTCTGGGCTGCCTGGCCCCCTCCTCTTCTGCGGTGGGGGGCCCGCGAGGGGAGGGCCTGGAGGAGGGAAGCACCAGCCTCAAGCTGGGCTCGCTCCCCATGCCAAATTGGGGTGCCCCCCCCCACCTTGGGGTGCTCCCCCCCCGCCTTGGGGTGCCCGCCGCCCTTGCGGGGGGCAACGGTGCACAGGACTGGCTCACGGGGGGGGGGGGGCCGACTTCGAGCTGCAATCGTCGACACATCGCCAATCTATCGGCGATGTGGCCCCGACAGCGAGCCCGCACGCTCCTGTCGGCGATGAGTGGGCGATTGGGGATCGATGCATACATCCCCTCCCGAGCATATCCCCCTAATGTTGCGACTGATATGGTCAGGAACTTTTGCTGATTGTGTCGCGGCGGCGGCCCTGGCGACACGCCATGCCTTGCAAGCGGATGTAGCGTGTCGCTCCGCACCGCGGGGCGGGAGGCTGGGAAAGGCGCGAGAAGTCGACGCTTGGGAATGTGAAAGCGGATAGCGTGTCGCGCCGAGTCGTGGTGGGCCAGAAGCGGCGGCGCGACACGCCAAGACAAAGTTCCTGACCGTGCGTGCCCTCGATGACGGTCTGGGCTGCCTGGGCCCCTCGTCTCCGGCGGCGGGGACGACGCCGCCGAGGGGCGCCCCCGTGCGCACGGGGCGCCGCGCCGCGAGCGGCAGGGCCCGCCAGCAGGACGTTGGGCCCGAGCTTGATGTGCACCTCGGACCCGCTCCTGCCGCGCTCTGGGCTTGAAGGAAACGACGGCGACGAGGTGCGCGACGACGACGACGACGACGACGACGACGCGCGCGGCGACGACGACGCCGACGACGCGCGCGGCGACGACGACGCCGACGACGAGGAGGATGACGACGACGAGGGCGACGACGATGACGACGATGTCGATGAGGACGCGGACGGTGACGACAACGACGAAGATGACGACGACGAGGAGGACGATGACGACGACGAGGACGACAAGAACGAAGTACGCAAGGAGGACTACGTCGGGGGGCCGGGACGGGGACGACAAAGAGGATGAGATGCGCGGCGATGACAACGTCGGGAGAGAGGGGGGCCGATTACGAGGTGTACGACGGGAGTGGGGGGGGGCAGGCCTGCGCTGGATCAGATCGCAAAATCGGATCGAATCGAAATCGGACCCCCGCGCCGGGATCTGGCTTGCCACGGCCCATGCCCGTGAATCAAACCGAATCGCATCGAATTGGAATCGCGGACTAAGCCGTCGAACCGAATCACATCGAGTCGAATCGTAGGCGGCCCTTGCCCGATCGGAGCTCAAATTCCACCAGCCCTCTGGGCAGAGGTGGTTTAGCGATTTTCCTCTTCCAATAGGGGGGCTCACTGGTCCTGATGAATACGCACCCCCTCCTCAACCCGACTGGCGACAAACCTGGGACTATGCCGACACCCGCCAACAGTACCTGGTATAAAACCACATGCGCTTTGTATTAGAATCTGGACAGTGCGTCGACGCCCCGCGATCACTCTGCATGGGTTTTTGACAAGGTCGGCAGGGTGCAGTCATATTGCCTGCTGTGCGCAACACCAACACACACACACCCTCCAACATACCATGCAACAAACAATACGTCCACTTTGCGCCAACATCTGGATCATGCGCGGGCGCCCCGCGATCACGTTGCGTTGGTTTTTGACAGGGACAGCAGGGGGGCAGCATACTGGTTGCTGTGTGCAATGACAACACCCCACACCATGCCTTGCAAAAAACAATAAAAACTGCACATTGCCCCCACATCGGGATCATGCGCGGACGCCCCGCGCTCACATTGCATTGGCTTCCGGCCGTGATGGCGGGGGTGCTGGCATACTTCTTGCTGCGTGCAGGCCCAGCATCCCTTTCAACAAAAACAAATCTTCATTTTGCCAGGGACGGCGGGGGGGGCGGCATCATGCCTGCGGTGCCAATGCCCACCGTCCATGTAAAAAACAAATTCGACGTGATCGTGAGTGCACACCCGAACACTATACACAATGCTCGCAACCACGACGTCACCTCGCGTTGGCTTTTGGCAGGGACGGTGGGAGAGTCGCCATGTTGTCCAATGTGGTGCACCTGATGCGCGTGGCGCAGCTGGCATGTGCGGCGCACCTCACGGGCTTCGCGCACCTTGCTCGCGTCTGCACTGAATCCCGATGGTTGTCGATGGCGGGCGGTCCCTGTCCATGCTGAGACTCGGGTGCTACATATGCGTTGGGAGGACAGGTGGGAGTGAGCGACACAAATTGTCGCTGATGGGTAGATTGGTCACTGCTCCATGTTAACATACACCCCCTCCCCCATCCGATCGGCGACAAACACGGGACCATGCGCTCCTCCTCCGCAATCCCTGCCAAAAACAATGCGACGTGCTATTGGGTCATGCTTGGGGGGGGGGGCGCGAATACTTTGCTTTGTTTTTGACAGGGACGGCTGGAGTGCCAGCATGTGGCCGGCCGTGCGTAGGGCCATCATCCTTCCCCCAAAGAACAATACGAGTTGTACGTCGCGGCTAAATCTGGATCGTGCGCGGGAGCCCCGTGATTACGTTACTCAAGGGGCCCTGGGACACACAAAAAAGTACGCACATATGACAGGATTCCCCATATTTTCTCATATCTTCTGGGTTTTTGTCTTCCCCCCCACTTCCCATATTTTCCCCTATTTCCGGGGAAAATCGACGATTAATTGTGTCTGTGTGTTTCTTTCCCTCCTGAGTTACAGTCGTGTTTGCTAGGGGCGACCGGGGTGCGGGCACGTCGCCTTCTGTGTGCAGGCCACCCGACACAATGATGGCCAACCCCCGCCGCGATTGCGCATGGTCTTCGACAAGGATGGTGGGGGTTGGCATGTTTCCCGATGTGTGCTGTTCCGTGCGCGGGCGCACCTGGCACACTCGACGCGTGACCCGAGCGTGGCGCACATGGTGCGGCCGGGGCCTGCGGCGCGCATGGCGCGCGTGGAGCACGGGGCGCATCTGGCGCACCAGGCGTGCCTGGCATGCTTGGGCACCAGAGGCGCCTGGCGCACTTGGCGCGCATGGCGCGCGTGGCGCACCACGCCCCGGCGTCGCGCACATGGGGTCTGATGTGGTTCCTATTAGCTGTCCATCCAACGACGGCCGCTGAAAATGCTGAGGCTCGGGTGCTACTGATGTGTTGGGAAGGCGGGTGGGAGTGAGCGAGAAGGCGTGCGGCTTGTAGGTAGCTTGACCCTTCTCCCTGCTCCCTCCTCTGGGGCTGGAGAGGGGGTGTCGAATGTTCGCGGATCGTGGAAGCGTCGAAGACGACCCAAGATGACTCCAAGAGGGCCTCAGAGAGCTAACGCTAGCATACAAGATGGCTTGATCGCTCAAGATGGCAAACACCAAACGAAAGTCAATGAGTTGTGTTTTCTCACACTTCGCTCCAGATGGCCCTCCGAGGCCTCAGTGCCGCTCCAAGAGGGCGGGCGAACGCCCCAAGAACGGCCCAAGAGTGTCCCATAACTGCTCCACGAGCGCCCAAAGGCGATCTAAGAGCGCCCCAAGAGGGTCCCACGATGCGAGTTGAATGGCTTCAGAGTGGTGCCCTCATGCCACCAACGCCTGGGCGTACCTGCTCTAACGAGCTCTTTCTTTCCGCGCCCACAGACCCTTTTGTCCCACTCGGGGGACGGCTTACTATCGTTTCCTGTGAATGAGCGCACGCTTTCCCCCCACGGTCGAAAGCCAACCCGGATCCGTGCTGACACCCCGCCCCCCTGCAATCCCACCCCAAAACATGTTTGATCTGCGGGGCGGGAGCGAACCTCTCCCGCGAAAAGCCAGGCGGGCGACGCACAGCTCCAGTCCACCCCAAAACATACAGCACACAGTGTGCCTCCAATCCGGAGCACGCGCGGGCGCCCCGCGACCGCTTCACGTTTGCTGTTGATGGGGGCGGCGGAGGGGGGCCCGCATCTTCCTTGCCGCGCACAGGCCGGCCTTCCCTGCCCGAAGGCCAGCACAAGCTACACGTTGCCTCCAAACCTGGAGCGTGCGCGGGTGCCCTGCGACCGCTTTGCTCGGCTTTCGACAAGGACGAGGGGGGGCCTCAAATCATTTACTCGCGCAGGCAAGCCATTCCTGCCACGAACACAGCACACAAAACACTTTGCCACCAAAGCTGGCGCATGCGCGGGCGCCGTGCGACCACTTTGGGCTGGTTTTTGGCAAGACGGGCGGGGGTGCCGTCATTTTGCTTGCTGCGCGCAAGCGAACCACCCCTGTCAACGTACAACGCAAAATGCAGGTTGCCTCCAAATCTGGAGCATGCGCGGGCGCCCCGCGACCACTTTGCATAGGTTGTTGAAAGGGATCGCCGGGTGCTACTTCTGTGTTGGGAAGGCGGGTGGGAATGAGCGAGACGGCTTGCGCCTTGAGGGCAGGATGTGCCCCCACTGCTGGGGTGCCAGGTAGCGGCCGCGGCCGCGCCTGTCTGCACTGCTTGCTGCTGCTGCTGCCTCTCGTCTTGTTCTTCCCCCCCCTGCTGCTGTCCTCTCCTCTCCTCAGCCACGGGGCGCCCACTCGAGCTTGTAAAAAAGTGTCCCCACTTCCCCTACTCCCTCCAAGGGGTCTGCATGGGAGGGGGACGGAGGTATCAGGGGGTCCTTCTTCGCCCAAGATGGCTCCAAGAGCGCCTCCGATGCTCCAAGATGGCCTCCAATATAGCCGAATACGGTTCAAGATCGCTTCCGACATACCTCCAAGATGCCCCAAGATGGCCACGAGACGGCTCCAAGAGCTCTGGGAGGTGCTCATGGACCCCCTAAAAGCTGCTGCTCTTATGGAGAAACAAACAATGCAACAACCGAAGAACATCAATGAATGTTGCCTTCTCGCCTTTTCGCGTGCGCTTAAGCTTCTGAGGCCTCAAATTGACCCAAGAGAGCCCCAAAAGTGGCACAATAGGCCCTTATGCCCCCCAAAACGGCCCCACGAGTTCCCGAGAGCGCTGCAAGAACCCCCCCAGAGGGCCTCAAGAGACGGTTTCACAGGCTCCTGAGAGGAGGCCTAGAAAACATATCCCCCTTGGTCTTCAAGATGACCCCACGAGGCCCTCAGGGCTCCCAAGGAGGCCACCAAGAGGGGCTCAAGAGGGCACCAAGGGTTTTCAAACGAGCCCCAAAGGGCCCCACGAGGGCCCCGAGCGAGCCCCACGAGGACCCCAAGAGGGCCTCGAGAAAATCTAATCTCATCGGCAACGTGCCTGAATAGGCTGGTGGGGATACGCGAAACGTGAAGAATTGAGTGCCGCCCCCTTCTTCTCCGATTGAACTCCTCCACTAGGGCCACGAGATGGCCCCCAGAGCTCCCAATGGTGCCCCAAGGGCCCAAGCAGCCCCAAGGCCCCCCGAAGCATCCAAGGCGCTCCAAGAAAGAGGCACCCAGGACCGCCACGAGGCCCCCGAGACGCCACAAGAGGATCCCAAGAAGCATTCAAGAGACATCCGAAGAACCTCCGAGGGGCATTCACGAGGCCTCTGGCCTTTCTGCTCGCCCTCCTCCTCCTCCCACGCCCTTTGATTCCTCCTCCATCCTCCCCCTCCTCTTAGGGTATGGCGGCTTCCCCAGCCCTTTATTACACTGCATGCTCCTCCACATTCCTGATCAAGGCAACTCGCCTGGACATATTTTCTGGATGGGCTGGTAGGGTTACACGACGCGCCCAGAATTTCTAAAGAGCGTTCGAGACCGTGGTGCGGTGCTCGAAACATCAGGAACTCAAACAGGGGCAGCCGAAGCCCGCGACACCTCCGCGACGAGAGGAGGAAGACGGGGGGAGAAGAGTTGAGAAGAACGGGAACACTAGCAAGCGCCAGTGTCGCCCGAAGGGTGTCCTGTGAAGAGAGCAGCGGGTGAGCAGGACGCCTCAGCCGACTCTGCGAATGTGAAGGAGTCCATCGGCTCCCGCAGTCCGCGACTGCGAGCCGCTGCTTCTGGGCACCAACCTTTGCGATTGTTTCGCGCTGTCAGGTACATGCCTACAGATGATGCCCGTTTGGCCCACCAGCCTTTTGAGATAAGGTGGTCGGACGAGTGTTGTTTTCCTCGTCCCTAACCGTCTTCCCGTCGGGGAGGGGTCGCCTCCCCATCCCCTCCCTGAGGTGATTTCTTGGGGCGGGCCGCGATCGCTTAGAGCGTCCAAGATGGCCTAAGACGGCTCGAAAAGAGCCCCCGATGCTGCAAAACTGCCTCCAAGATAAGATACCCGACGATGATTCCAGATAGCTTTCGGCATACCTCCAAGAGGCCCGACGAGGGCCACAAGCTGGTTCCAAGTGCTCTCGGAGCTCCCTCAGGACCCCCCAAGATGCCAAAATGCTTCAAACGCCACGAGTAAATCAATGAGTTGTGCCTTCTCGCCTTTTCGCTTCCGAGGCGCTTTTGAGGCCTCAGGATGACTCAAGAGAGGCCCAAGAGGGGCGCAAGAGGCCCCCCAAACGGCGCCAAGAGCGCCTAAGGTCGGCGCCAGGAGCGCCCCAGCAGCGCCCCAAGAGGCGATTTTGATGGCCCCAGGGGGAGGAGGCAAATCGAAGACCCCCCTCCTTTGATCGATAGTCTCCAAGATGGCCCCAAGAGGCCCCCCCGGCCCCCAAGAGGGACCACGCACCCCTTTTTCTTCCCTCGCCCCCGCGCGGGCCCCAAGGATGGGCCGAAGAGGCCCTCCAAGGCCACCCACTTGCTCCCGGAGATCTCTCTGTTCACCTTAATTGCCCGCTTTGTTTCACTAGATGTGTCTCTTCGTCCCCTTCCCGTCAACTCTCATGGGCGGGGCTTCTGAATGGGCTGGTGGGGATACTTTTTGATCGTGACCACGGCGAGAAGGTCGGGCTCGCCTTCGCAATGTGCACCTCGCGCAAATTGAACGGGCTTCGGATGCTACTACTCGCGTGTACGCCCTTCGGGTAGTAACGCATCTGGAAAAAAGGGTATCTTGTGCTGCCACATATCGCGCCAAGTACATCAACGCGCTAAGGACATTCCACAACATACTATAAGTAGCTGGCGCATTGAAGCTAGAATCGCACAGGCAAGTGAAGATAGAACAGTCACATGGGACTAAACGATATTACGAGATTACGCTATTACGGTCAGGAACTTGTGCTTAGCGTGTCGAAAAAGCGACCCCTGCGACACGCTTTATCTTGCGAGCTGGCGGCGTGTCGCTCCGCTTCGCGGGACGGTCGACTGGGCAAAGCTCGGGAGGTTGACGCTCGGGGACTGGGACGTAGTAAGCGTGTCGCGCCGAAGCGTGGTGGGCCAGAACTGGCGGAGCGAGACGCTAAGCGGAAATTCCTGACCGTGTCATCCGGGAGACCGAGATCCCACGGTGATCTGCGTGAACAGAAGCATGCGACACGCTAAACCGCAACTCCTGAAGGTAAGCGATGTAATACTCGGACTCGCAAAACCACGCACATATCCGAACGCAACCCAGGGCGACACAGCACGAGCATGCCCAGTGCGCGAGGCGCTGGCGATGCTCGGTGCCCAGGCGATGCTTCCTGGACCGTCCGTGGGACGATGGATGCAATAAAATCAACTGGCCCTGTGCGCCTTGCCCAGCCCCGCCTTCTCTGTCGCCCTGGCCCTCACCACCTCTTTCCTGGGGGTAACCATAGGGAGGAATAGGCACAGTGGGGGCTGCATCGACTGCGACTGGCCGATACAACGCCCATGCATCGTGAATACATCGTCGGTGCAGACCGCCCCACGTATCGTGGATGCATCGTCGATACATCACCCATGTATGCCGTTGGGCAGCGTGCCTGGATATCAACGATGCATCGCCGATGTATCTCCCATTCGAAACCGATGCGTCCCCCCTTGCGCCTATCCCCCCTGTCGTTCCCCCCGATCCCCCCGCGCTCCCGGCGCCGTTCCCACTCCCAGCCTCCCCAACCAGCCAGGGGGCCAAACCCTGGCGGGGCACCCGCGGACCTCACACGAAGCTCAGGCCCGCGGGCCTCCCGGCGCCGTCCGCGCCCACGAACGCACCGCCCTCGGGCCGGCCGGCCTCGGCCCACGCCGCGCGCAGCGTCGCCCGCGCCTCCTTGCCGAGCGGGTTGGCGCCGAGGCGAAGCGCCTGCAGCCGCGGGAGGGCCCCGGGCGCCCGGAGCGCATTGGCCAGGGCTGCCGCGCCCTCGTCCCCCACGAGGTTCCTGCCGGCTGCTCGCAAAAAGCAGTTCGCCCGAGGCAAACATGACCTTTGTTGGTGCGCGGCGTTCCTGTCGTGGCGTGCGGTGTGACAATGGCGGCCTTCGTGCCTGGAGTTGGCACCGCGCGCCCCCCGAGAGCAGCGACCCGAGGGCCTCCTTTTTGGGGCAGGGTCCACTCTTCCCGGACATGCGATGTCTTGATTGATTCCATGCACGACCCCGGAAAGCCCCGACACTTTCCCCAGGTCCCGCTTTTCGTCCCGAAGCGTTTTCTGACAGTCATCTGGGTGACTGCTGTATTTGCTATGGCTTATGGTGCTTGGCCAAGATTTTAGCTAACACATGCAGCTTAGCGAATGTGGCCAATATTCAGTTCATAAGATTTACAATGATTTAGCGAATTTAAAACGAAAGCTTGACACACAATACATAAGCTCGAATGCGCACTGTTATGCGTAATGGTGATATAGCGCTGACGCGCGTTTCGATCTATTGGCGCGATGCATCGCCGAGCTTGTGCTGATTACTACGAACCATGCAACACAGACATCTCATGCATGCCCGTTTCACCGCGCATCTCGGCGATCTCCGCGCTGCTGGCGGGCCGCACTGTTGGGTCTCTCTTGGGCTGTCTTGGGGCTCCTCGGGGGCATCTGGGGCACTGTGATGACGAAGGAGACGAGTATGCTGCAAATGTACGTTTTACGACAGGAATGGGCAGATTGTTGCCTCTTGAAGGCCCTCTTCGGCCATCTTCAAGCCATCTCGGGACGTCTGGGGCCTCGCTGAGGCTGTCTTGTGGGCCTCTTGGGCGTCCTCGGAACCTGGAAATCATGTTCCCGGAGAGGCTTCGGGGAATCTGATTTCGAACGAGGCCCTCTCAGGCCTCCCTGAGGCCGTCTTGGGGGCCTCCTGGGCCGGCTTTGGGGCTTCTTGGGCCGTCTCGGGGGGTTCCGTGAGACCCACAGGACGACCCTTTTGGGCCGTCTTGGGCCCTCTTGGGGCTCTCTTGGGCTGTCTTGGGGCTCCTCGGGGGCGTCTGGGGCACTGTGAAGACGAAGCAAGCGAGTATGCTGAAAACGTACGCTTTACGGAAGGAGTAAGCACATGTTTGCCTCTTGAAGGCCCTCTTGGGGCCATCGTCGGCCTTCTTCAAGCCATCTCGGGCCCTACTGGGGCGCTCTTGGGCGTCTTCGGGGCCTCTTGAGGCTTTCTTGTTCATCTGTACGGCCCGCGTGGCCTGTCGTGGGCAATTTGGAAGCGGCCCGGGGCAGTCCTGGGGGGTCTGTGACCCCCCAAAGGTCCCGGGGGGCGCCCATGGAGGAGGGTGGCACCGGCCGGGCCCCACCCCCGGGCCTACTCCGACATACATATATATAAATATATATATATATATACACATACATACAGACCTAGTTTTCTATGATACGCGTACCATGTCCTTACCACGTCGCTACAGCACGTCTGTATTCCAGCAAACGCACGAGTCATCTCAGTAGGAGGCCCGATTGGGGCCCCCAGAGGCCGAACACGGTAAAAACAGTCTGGCGTTCGGATCATAGCTCGGGCCTCTGGCGGCCGATCGGGGCGATCCGAACACCCCCAGAACGCCTTCCGCAGGGCGAGCTCCCGGAACGCATCTCGAGGCTGGAAGGCCGCCAAGAACCAACGAGAAAGTGTCCGACAACCTCGGGCCCCGACCTCGAACCTCGAGCACGACGAGCAGCAGCGGCGGCAGGGCCAGCCACGCGCAGCCGACTCCTCCGCAGGTCGACCGAGGTCAGCGCCGGCAGGGCGCCCAGGGTGCGGAGCGCCCCCGCCAGGCGCGCGGCGCCCTCGTCGCCCACGCGGTTAGAGTGAAGCAGGAGGTCCCGTAGCCGGGGCGCGGCGCCCGAGGAGAGGACGGCGCTCAGCTGCCGCATCTCCTGGGGGTCCGGACCCAGACATGTTGGCGCCGTGAAAGACCGCGAAGGGATACTTTGTGGCAATCCTCGGCCTCTGGGAGCCCTCGTCCGGCCGCGGGACCGTCAACAAACGACTCGGGATGAAAAACCTGCCCTGGGGAAAGGGACGGGACTTCTGGGGACCGCGCACTGAAAAAATCAAGACGTCGCATCGCTGGGGTGCGGTGACCTCGAGGCCCCCACAGACCTCACCGCAGCTTCGGGGCCCTGGAGGCCCAGGCAGCCCGAGGAGTCCTCGGAGAACAGACGGCCCGAGTCCCGGAGGCCGTGCGGCCATCCCAGATCCCCCCTGATTCACAACACGGTGAGGTCACCGCACCGTTTGGGGGGCCCCGGGTCTCCTCGTCCCCCCACTCCAGGCCCGCGTACGCCAGCGCCTCCGCGGACCCAAAGCGGCGCGCGAACGACGAGCGGTACAGCCCAACGACCAGCGGACGGTCGTCCCTGGCGTTCGCGAAGCCCTTGCGCTGGAGCTCCGCCTCGAATGCGTCGGGCAGGAGGGGCGCTCTCCGACCAGCTGCGCAGGCGCGCACCAGCGAGCCTTCGCGGCCATGATCGCCGAAGAAACACGTTTCTGCTCCGGAAAATCGACCAAGGTCCACGAGGCGGGTGGAGCTCTTCGTCAACATCGCCCAGGACGACTCGCAGAAACACCAGCCTCGATTGAGGTAGGGCTCCGTGTTGCCAGATCGGTCGTACCTCGCAGGATCGTCGTAATCATCGGGAAATCGCGTCAGCATTAATACGAGTGTGGCAGGATGTGAAAAGAAACTCCCCAGGCTCTCCAAGGCCTCTTGAAAAAGTGTATGTTCGCGCTCGAAGCGGCCGACCGCGTCTTCCTCAAAACGATCTGACTCTTCGAGCCGCGCATATGTATTCAGCTGAGGAACGCCCTCGCGGTCCCTGCAGCTTTGGTGGATGCTACAAAAATCCACAAAAACTGCCCAGCGATCCCAGCGGAATCCCCTCTCGTGCACCGAATGCCGCTCACCCATGCACTCAGACCCAGAAGACATGATGCTTTTCCTTCCGTGGCCAGGAGGCTTATCCAATTTCAAGTTCGAGAAAGGATCTGTCGACAACAGCTTAAGTGCCCGGCCCAGGATGCGGAAGTTGTGCCCGCGTGGGTCCGGATGGTGAGCCTGAAGCCAACAATGCGAAACGCAAGCGATCTGCAGCAGCGGCACCTGGCCCACATCAGTGCCAGCCGTGGCGGCCCTGACCCCACTGTGGGACATGAAGGCAGTCGACGGTAATGCCTGGCGCGGCTCGAGGGTGCCGCCAGAGCCCGCTCGCTTCATCATCCACCTTGCGTCCACCAGGGCCACCGCCCCGCTGTGCAGCGCGGGGTCGAGCTCCGCACCGCCGAACGCTTCCCACAAATCATGCGTGCTCTTCACCTCTGCATCCCCGGACTCTGGCAGGTACTGCTGCCGCCTGTTCACTGATCCACCGCAGCCCATGGCCACCAGTTGGCAGGAGGAGCCCTGAGGGAAGGTCAGCGCTGCGCATGGCGAACAAACAGCACCGGGCAGACAGACCTGCTCGGGGCAGCGACGGCTTGAGCCAGGGCAGGGAGAGCCCAGAATCGAATCGAGAAGTCGAATCGGCGATGGAAATGAATCGGATCGGCGGAATCGGCGGCCGAGTCGGGAGAAGTCGAACCGGCAGAACTCGGCAGGCCAGTAGGTCTCCATTGAGAAATCGGAATCCACATCGGAATCTGAAATAGAATCGAATCGGAATCGGAAGCCATCGAACTCGAATCGAACCGAATCGGAGGAGTCGAGATGAGCCCTGCCAAGGGGGAGCCTGGGGGTCGCCGCGAATATCGGGTCGGGCGAGAGGTGGGCGAGTCAGGGAGGAGTCAGCGAGCCAACTCGCGTGGCTGATTTCCCCGGAGCCGCCAGCTGCCGAAGGCGCCAAAGCATCGAGGAGAGCGCCCGGCGGCGAGGCCGACACACACACACACAGCGAATTTCGCATGATTTCGTGACCTGTCCTTTCGTAATCCCTCCCCTGGCGCAGAAATATATTCCCTACGAAAGCAACAAAGAAATGCACATCGGAAAATCTTCCCCGCCGCGAAAGAGCTATCCCAATCGCACGAGTCACGCACAAACGAACATACTGAGTCACGTGAACAGCTAATCGGAAACAAAAACAACTCATCGCAATGGAAATAACTGAATGGCAATGTAAGCAGTCGCACGTCCGACCCGAGAAGATAGGACGAGGAGTTCTGCGGCAACCTGAAGTCGTGGTCCGAACTGCGGAACAGAACCGTCGTGGGACCCAGGCCTCCCACGGCCGCGGCCGCCGCGAGCCTGAGCGGGGAGGCAACTCCTGGGAGGCATGCAGGCCTCGCTGGGCGAGAGACGCGATCGGGGGCCAGCTGAGGCCCAGACAGCTTCAGCATGATCACCAGCAGGGCGAGGAGGAGAGGACGACCAGGGCGAGGGCGACGAGAGTGAGGATCTCGAGCGATCATGAAGCATATATAATGAAAACTGCACAATCAGCATAAGCTTGTGAGGGTCTGCGCGGATTTCTTGGATCTGCGCTGCACCCCCGTGGCGCCGCCCCAAGCCGACCCTGGCGCGCGAAGCGCGCCTATGAGGGGGTCCAACGCAGATCCAAGCGATCCGCGCGGACCCTCCAAAGTTCATGTTCAAGCCATTGGGCCTTCTTCGAACGGAGCAGCACGAGAAGGTTGAGGAAACGCGCGGCTTCTCTGAGCGCGTGCTCGGACAGTGAACGGCGCTCGGAGGGTGGCGCACCAGGTGCGAGACCATAAAACTGACTCGGAAGCCGGGCAAAGGCTGCTAAATCCGTGGCTGCTAAAATCGACCTCCGGGAAGTTGTCTTCGTCCTTCCGGGAAGAAGTCCGTTGACTGCTTCGCGTGCCGTGCCTCATTCCGGGAAGTTGTTTTTTCCATTCCGGGAGGGCCGTTTTAGCAGCCACGGTTTTAGCAGCCCTCGCCCAGCTTCCTACTGACGCCGCCGCCGAGAGCCGCGCTCGGGGGGAAACAAAGGGCAGCCGCGGCAACGACCGGGACCGCGGCAGCGACAGCCTGCCCCGATCGGGAGGCAATCCCTCGCCCTCCGCCGAGCGCGCGCCGCCCGCGATTGCGATTAATTTCGGCTTTGCAGGGCTGGCGCTTCCACCATACAGTCGGGGCGTTGACCTAAGGAACCCTAAAGAAGGAACGAGGCCCCTTTCTTCCATAAGCTAGCCTTCGATTTCCTGCCGAAGACATGAGGAGAGCCTGAGGCAGGCTGTGAAACACTGAAGGAACGCGGAGCCCCTCCCCAACGAACAGGGTTCCTTCTTCAGGGCCCCGACTGTGCCCCCGAAAACGCCCTTGCGGCAGAGCGCCCGGAGCAGCTTCACACTGTCCGCGGTGGGGGGCCACGCTGGGTGGCCACGAGGGGCCAACGGTGTCGGTAGCCCGGCATCCCCCACAAGGCATTGGATGAGGGTTAGCCAGCGTGGACCCCAAGCAGTGCGTTTCTCGCAACTCATGCCTGCGCACGTGGTGCAACCACTGTCGCGGTGCAACCACTGTCGGGGTGCACTTCTGTGAAGCAGCATATTTGCTGCGTGGTGCAGCATTGTCGTGCAGTCTACGTTGCGTACTCTATGTCGTGCACTCTTCTTGGAGCAAGCAATGTGGTACAACATGTGGTGCAATCTACGTTGTGCAACATGTGTTGTACAATCTAGATTGTGCAATAGATGTGGTGCACTCTGTGTGGTGCAATCCAGGCGGTGGGCAACCTATGATGTGCAAGCTAGGTAGTGCAATATACGTGATGCAATATGGTTTGCGCAATCGATGTGGTGCAGTCCATGTTGTGCAACCCATATCGTGCAATGGATGTGGTGCCACATAGGCGGTATATTCTATGTGGTGCAACCAAGGTTGTAAACTCGATGTTGCGCAATAGATATTCACATAGTGCAACATAGGTTGTGTAATCTGGGTCGTGCAGTCCAGGTTGTGCAATCTATGTGATTGTGCTATGTTTTGTGTGCAATATATGTTGTGCAATCTATTGTGCAACATACTTATGCGGTGGAAACAATGTTGTGGGCATCAAAAGAAGCGTCGCGGGCGCGATTATCCCGTGCAGTCTACGTGGTGCATTCCAACGGCGGCGACGGGGCGGCGACGGCGGCTACATCGCCGCCAAATCGAAAACTCGGCCAAACGACCGGCGGCGACGAGGCGGCGATGGGTGCGGCGACGGCGGGAACATAGCCCCCCGACCCAAGACACGACCCAGTTCCGTGGAGGAGATGCAGGACCCCCTAAGATCAAACACTGTTTGGATAATTCTCCAAATAGGCTTGCCCTATAGGAGTCCTAGCTCAAACCCTACTAATTGGTCCGCTCCCCCCCCCTAATTCCCATGCCCCCCCCTCATTCCTATGGCTATGGCTATGCCTATGCCTATCCCCCCTTTGTCCAATGGCACCCCCCTTTCTGTATGCTTGCTTGCTTGCTTGCGCGCTTACACACTTGCTTGCTTGTTTCGTTGCTTGCTTGCTTGCGCGCTTGCTGAGTTACGGATTCCAAGCATGCCCTATTCCTATGACTCCTTGATTTGAATCGTCCAATCTATTTGGGGTCAACGCTGGCTGACATGATATATGGATGCATGGGGGATCGACTTTTGGAGAATCAGCATACACATGCCTTTGCTTTGAAAAACCACCGCCAACGATCTTCAATCTATGAAAGAGCATTTTCTCAAGGACTGTCGATGATGTCTGGTATCCGTGCATGGTATACCAACTATCAGAAATATGGGGTTCTTGCTATTGTTTACGCCTCCGCGTCCATCTTTCCTTCCCGGTTTCTCCCACCCTCTCATCGCACTCAATCCCAGATCACTGAACTGAGACTCGCACTCGCAGATACGTAGAACCGATCACACCCAGACCCAGCTATACTCAGGCTCACTCTTTTCTAGATCCACTGGTATTCAGACTTGCTAAACTCGGGCCTACGTATACACACGCCCCTTCCACTCAGATCCGAACGTGCCCAGCCACATCATACCCATATTCCTACACGCATACCGCGCACAGCAGGATCATGCACAATCACATTATGCACCACTTGGGCACCCCAAGGGGGAGCCACGAGGGGGTATGACATTCGCCCGTTCGCACCGAAGCGGTGGGGATGTCCTAAGTGGGTTGTTTGGTTTCCCCCTAGACTCCTTTCTGTTGAAAGCCTCAGCATCACCGCGACATAGCAAGCGTGGCATTTGGGACTCGCCCGTTCGCGCCCAGATTGTGGGAATGAGTCAGGTGGTCCCACCCCCCCGAGACTCCCTGAAAAAACCAGTGGCCATCGACAGAGCAGGCGTGACACTCGGGCACCCCAAGAGTTGGGAGCCCACAAAGGACGTACGCACCCAACTATGTGCATGGACACGGCCCCTCGATCTGCGAGACCGGCCGCGTGATACGAACTTTCGGGCAAAGCGTACTCTCGAAACCAGCGTGGATTCATGTACATGTACGTCCCTCTTTCGCTCCTGAAAGAGGGAGCCGCCAGGGGATATGACATTCGCCCGTTTGCGTCAAGATTGTCAGGATGCCTCAGGCGGTTTGTCCGTTTCTGCCCCCCCCCCCCCCCACCACCACCACCACCACCACACTCCTCTCGTTTGCAAATGTTGTGGCCACCGCGACAACATAGGCGTGGGGAGCCGCCAGGGAGGGGGACAGTCGCCGCAGTCTAAGACGCGACAGACGGGGGGGGCCAAGAACTGAGCTGCACATGTGGGGGCCGCCGCGTCACATGTCCCATGCATGTTAATGGCGTGCGGCCTTAACACATGTTATTGACGTCTGGCCTTCATCACCGTTCCTGGTGTCCGGCCTTGATGTACGCTTCCGGTGTAGATCGATCATGCGTGTTCTGTGCGTCTGTTATTGCTCTGTAGTAGTTATCGGTATGCGTTGGTGGTGGTTGTTCATGATGTATGCTTTTGGTGTATATATATTCTTGATCCGCGTCAAAAATGTATGCCGTTGGCAGGGGACCGAACGCGAAACGACGATCGAGAACGAACACTTCGAGTCCAGAGGCTTCTGCCCAGCAGACCAACGCCAAAACTCCATCGCAAGCGACAAGCCTGTCGAGCCAGAATGACTCCTCCTCGCTCCTCTCTTTTTCCTCCTCCGCATCCTTGCCCACTCACTCACTCGCACACTCACCCACGCTGGCGCAGTCAGCTGGGGCTGGGGCACATTGTGGCCGAGACCTGGAGCAAAGGGTGGGCGCGGTGGCACCAAAATGAGGCTTCTGGCAGTGGTGCAAGTGCACCTCCCTCCCCGCGTCTCCTTCCGCTCATCCTCCTCATCGATTCCCGTCTCCTCCTCCTCCTTCCTGCTCCTCCTCCTCCTCCCTCCTCCTCCTCCTCCTCCTCCTCCATCCCTTTCTTTGTACGTAACTCCTCCCTGTCGCGCCTCCCTGGCGTATTGGTAGGTCAGGCCGGGCGTTCCGCCTGAGATCTCCACACCATCCATACTCCTGAAACTTGAAGTGTGCAACAGTTTCCAAGGTGGAGCGCATGACGTTTTTTTAATGGAGCTCTGGCCTCTGCGTCGCACACATTCGTCTCAGCAGAAGTTCCAAAGGTGGAGGGGGGCGGTTTTCAAAATGTGGCTCTCACCTTAGCGCCGCGAGCATTCACCGTAAAGGCTTGTAGCAGCTTCAAAGATGGACGGTGTCGTTTTCAAAATGGTGATCTCGCCTCAGCGCCGCGCACAGAGGTCTTAAAGGCTAAGGCTCGCAACAACGTCAAGGATGGAGGGTGGTTTCTTTTTAAAATGGGGCTCTCGCTGTAGCGCCGCGCACACTCTTCATCAGTTTGCAAGTCTCTTTAGTGATAAAAGGGCAGTTCCTTTTCAACGTTGGGTTCTCGCCGCAGTAATGCTCCCTAACGCTTGCAACAACTTCCAGGATTGTGGGCGGTTCCTTTTCAAATCGGGGCTTTTGCTCGAGACTTCTTAATCTTGAGGCACCAGGGCCTCTAACATATTAAACATCTGTATGGGTGATCGGCAATTCTTTTTCATCACTGTGTTCGCTTGAGACCTCTTCAAATTAAGGCACCAGGCGCTCGAACATATGGTACATCTGCACAGATGGAAGGCGGCTGCTGTGTAGAATAGGGCTTTCGCTTGAAACGTCCTCGGCACTCATGGCCAGACTTGAAAACTTTTGCAGGAGGTACACAAGTGCTGGCGGTCCTGTGTCACAACGGGGATCTCGATGGGCACCTTGTTGAACTGTACGATCATACTTTTGCGCGTGCCTTACTACCCGCTGGAAGGATGCAAAGCAGCTAAGTACTGTTCAAAGCGGGGCTCTCTATTGAATGACAGGCCCATAGGGTGCTGGTCTTTTAAGGGAGCGCTGCTTGAAGTGTGAAGGAAGGCGTGTATGGGACTTCTGAGGAGGGGGCTTGGGTTGCAGCATCTTTGATGCATCTTGGGTTTACCCTGGCCCTCCCTCCTCCACTCCCGACTCGAGCGTCGAGTTCGCCGAGGAGAGGGGCCAGGAAGAAGGGGCCCCGCGCACCATGGCCGACGCGTGCGCGCGGGCCAGAGGGGCCAAAGATCACATCTAGGATGCTCCACGGCCCCGGCCATGAGACCTCCCTGCCCCTGGTCCTCGGCCCCCTCTTGGACGCCCTCAAAGCCGGCGCCGCGGCAACCTGCGAGAGGGAACGAGAGAGATGGGGGGGGGAGGGCGACGGGGCCGCTCCTGAGCAGCGGGATGCCGGAGCAGGGCACGTCCTCTCTGGGGACGGGCGGCGTGGGCTCGTGGCGGGAGGAAGAGGCGGAGGAGCGAGGAGCGAGGAGGGGCAGGAGGGAGAGGGAGGGAGAGACGAGCGAGGGGAAGGAGCGAGGACGGCGGGAGGGGGACAGGGAGGGAGGGAGGGACGAGAGGAGGAGTACCAATTCGACTATCAAAGCAATTGAACGCCCCGCCGCAGCTGTGCCCGCCCCGCCGCGTGAAGCGCCCCAGCCCCGCCCCCCGGAAGGGCCTGTGGGCCAATGCGGCCAGGGTCAGAGAGCCAGCGCGATCCAGGGTTTGCGCCCGTCTGCACGTCACCCCGAGAGGGAGGGAGGGATCAGGGAGGAGTGAGGGAGAGAGTAGGACGCCGAGGCGAGGAGGAGGAGGAGGAGGAGGAGGGTCAGAAAGCGATGACATATGATGATGAGTACGAGGACGAAGACAACGGTGAGGAGGGCGAGATGAGGAGGGAGGGATGTGAGCGCTTTAGCGAAGACGAGGAGAACTAGCTAAGCATGAGGATGACGAACAGCATAAACAGCAGCAGGATAAGAGCGTTTAGGAGGACGACGGTGACGAGGGGGAAGCCAAGATGAGGAGGAGGAGGAGGCGCAGGCTGCACGGTAGGTGGGCAACACGGCGTGCAAGACAACGAGAGCACGGAAACGCAGATCCGACTCCCATGCCGAAACGTTTGCCGCGCAAGACTGACCGCCCATGTGGCTCTGGAGCCACAACGCCTCCCCTGCGCTCGATAGCACCTGCCGTCGCCACCAGCGCACCAACGCCCATCGCAAGGCCAGCTTTGACCGCAGGGCTGCAAGAGCGCGAGGCGATCAACGAGTGCGAGATGACTCTCCGGCGAGCGCCGGACGGGGCTCGTGTGAGATGCGCAACGGCCCGAAGCGTCGCGCAATGCGGGGCGCGACGTGATGACTCTTCTTGGCCAGGGCATCGGCCGATCGCCACAGTGTTAGGGAGTGCTGTGCATGGCGTTCGGGGGAACGCGCCCCGCTTCGGCCAGGTTCGGAGCCCCCGGGGGCTCCGGGCCCTCGTGCTCCGTGTTTTTTTTGTCCTTCACGATTCGGGTCGGTGCGCCTGGTGGGCGCCCCGTCCCACTGCATCTCTGCAGCGCTGCAACTACGAGCGTCAGCTACAAGCAAACCCAGGACGCTCCCAGCGCCTACTCCAGTGCCAGCGTCTGGATAAAAACAAAAACTCTGATCTCCAAAGCTCTCCCTGGCACTGTGCAGTGCCCCTTTGTGTGCACGTCAATCACCAGGCCCCGGCTGCCTTGCCGCTTCTGCGCAAAGCATCGACGCACATGCGCCGGTTAATGACGGCGTTGTTCACGACGGAGTTGTATTTCCGTTCGTTGTTTTCATAGACGACAATGCGTTCCGTCTCGGAAACACCCCCGCGCGGAGCCTTTGCATCAACCGTCTACCAAGACGAACGCGAACTTGACGCGTGCACTGGCATGATTCCTCAGACCATCTGGCAAAAATCTGCTACTCCATCTGGTTGCCATCTTGAATCCACAAACGCCGTGCTCAGCCGTTCCAGATACCCTCCCCCTCCTCCTCCTCCTCCTCCTCCTCCTCCTCCTCCTCTTCCTATGCCTCCTCCTCCTCCTCTTCCTATGCCTCCCTCCTCTTCCTCGTCCATCCCCTTTTCCTCATACATAACTCCTCCCTGTCGCACCCCGCACCCCCAGGCGTGCCTGTGGGTCGTGTTCAAGATGTTGCTCTCGCCTGTGCGCTGCGCGCATCCGTCTCAAGAGTTTTACGCAGCTTCAGAGGTGGAGGGCGGGCCGTTCAAAGCGTGTGGCTCTCACCATGGCGCCGCGCACTTTCGTTTGAAAGTTTGGAGCATGTTCACAGATGGAGCGCGGACCCTTCTCAGAATGCGGCTCTCGCCCTAGTGACACGCACCTTCGTCTTCAAAACTTGTATCAGCTTCAATCAAGGGGCCCAAGGACACACAAACAAATACACACAAATAACAAGATTCCCCATATTCTTCTATATTTTCTGGCTTTTTGTCTTCCCGCCCAATTCCCATATTTTCCAATATTTTCTTTGGGATCGACGATTAATTGTGTCTGTGTGTTTTTTCCCCTCCTGATTCAAGGATGAAGGGCAGGCTGGTTTCACATTGCGGTTCTCGCTCCGCGCCGCGCACATTCGTTTCGGACATCAGCTCCAAAAACGGAGGGTGGTGCCGATGTTGTGCCCCGCGCCTGAGAGCCGCGCACATTCGCTCTAAACGTTTGCAGCTGTTTCAAGGTTTCGTGTGGCTGAAGTCCCAAGCATGGTGCTCTGACACGGTTTTTAAGGTTGTCCGGACGCATCAGTATCGTTGATTCGGGGTGTTGAAGTCCCAGGCCTGGCGTTCTGGTTCGATCGCGGATTGCCAAGCAGTCACGTTCATCCGCGACATTAAATTCCGAGGAATGGTGCTTCTGCACAACAGAGGATCCTCAAACTGTTTTCAAATAGGGGTCTTCCCGCAATGAACACACGCTCTGGTACGGACATGTAGCAAAGGGAACTTGGAGGCAGGGTTTATTTCGTTGATGCGTCTTGGACTGGCCTCCTCCTCCTCCTCCTCCTCCATCCCCCCTCCTTCCTCCCTCGCCCCCGCAGGAGGAGGCGGAGGGGGAGGAGGAGGAGGAGCAGGAGGAAGAAGAGGAGGAAAAGAAGGAGGAGGAGGAGGAGGAGGAAAAGGAGGAGGAGGGAAACGACCTCGTCGACATTGTCATCGCCGCTGCTGTCGCCGGCTGCCGCCGTCGGCCGCTCCTCCCAGAAGTCCGACAGGGGCGGGTACAGGTAGAGCCCGCCTAAGAGGGGGGGGGGGACGCCACACACCGGACCTCCCCGCGGATCCTGGCCGCGCCCACCCCCGGGCCCCTCGAGGGGCAAGCAATGCGCTCCTGGACTGGCCAGGGAGCGAGCATGCTGTCCTGCAGGGGCCCCGCCAAGCGGGGGCACGTGACCAGGAGGGAGGAATGGGAGAAAATGGGCCAATCGCAGTAGGAGAACTGGAGGGATAGGGGAGATAGAGGAATACGAGAGATAGGAGAATTGGAAAAATAGAGGAGGGAGGGGAGTGAGGGGAATCGGACGAGGAAGAGGAAGAGGATGAGGAGGAGGAGAAACTATGGGGAGGAGGCGGGAGGAGGAGCGAGGAGGAGGGACGGGAGGGGAGGGGGCATGAAGAGGAGAAGTGGGAAGATGAGCAGGCGGAGGAGAATGAACCACTTACTTTCTCGCTCGCTGGAGCCTCTGGTGGACGGCACTGTGTCACATCCAGGACGGCGCACGCGCTGATCCTGGGGCGCAGCAGACCCCCGACGTCTTGGCTCTTTCTGACTACCTACCAGACCACCCCAACCCAACCCAAAGATCCAAATTTCGGGTTTGAGGGTGCTACGGGTTCCACATGTGTTCTTTTCCAATATTCCCCGACGCCCCCCCACTGGAGCCTTCGAGTTGGATTGGGGTGGCTTGGTGAGTGGTGACTCTTGCTGCATGGATATCCCCCGAATCCTTGGCCCCCGCCCTGGAGACCGATTCTGCAACCAAGGGTTTCTTCCAACAACCCCGGGGCCAGGCATGGGCGCGCAGAATCCGAAGATTGCCCCTAAAAACGTGTGCCACGATATTTCCGCACAACCCAAGCCTCACTTTCTCGTTATGAGCACGATGCCTCCACAAACTCACTCACCTCTTCCGCCTCCTCCGCCCATCCTCTCATACTCAGGCTCACTCACGCGCAGACGCAGATCTAGACTTACTCATTTGAGGGAATCCCACCAGCCCTTTGGGCGTGAGTGGTTTAGGGAGCCCTCTCTGTTCTCAACCCCCCTTCTTCCCCTTCGGGGAGGGGTTTACCCCTCCCCCTACCCCCTCCCCCTGGACCTGGAGAGGGGGTTTCGCGGGTCGGTGGAGGGGTCTTTTTCGACTCCTGGGAGGGCTAAAAAATGACACCCCTCGCGAGGATTCTGGCCCCGACGGGGGGAGGGAGAAAAAACCCTCTCCTCTTCTTTGAAACCAAAATGCCCCCAAGAGGCCCTAAGAGGCCCCAAGAGGCCCCCAAGAGGCCCCCAAGAGGCCCCCAAGAGGCCCCCAAGAGGCCCCAAGAGGCTCCAAGAGGCCCCCAAGAAGCCCCACGAGGAGCCCGAACGACTCACACCAGGACGAGGGGCCCGAACGACTCACACCACGAAGAGCCCGAACGACTCACACCACAAGGAGGGGCCCCAACGACTTACACCAGGACGAGGCGCCCGATCGACTCACACCACGAGGAGCCCGAACGACTCACACCACGACGCGGGCCCCGAACGACTCACACCACGAGGAGCCCGAACGAGTCACACCAGGAGGAGGGGCCCGAACGACTCACACCAGGATGAGGGGCCCGAACAACTCACACCACGAGAAGCCCGAACGACTCACACCAGGACGAAGAGCCCGAACGACTCACACCACGAAGAGCCCGAACGACTCACACCAGGAAGAAGGGCCCGAACGACTCACACCAGGACGAGAAACCCCAAACGACTCAAATCACGAGGAGCGCTTTCTCTCCCTCCTCCTCCGCCTCGTCCTTCTCCCGCTCCCCCCACAAGGAGGATGTACAAGGAGGCGGGAGGAAGGAGGAACAGGGGAGATATGCGGGGCCAAGCGGACACACGCCTGAAAAACACGACTGTCGGCATGCTTCGCAAGAGTTGCTGCTGTGAGATGGGCTGGTGGGGATACGCGAAGCGTAAAGAATTCGTCTTGAGAACTCATGTCGTCCTGACCCCGGCGCGCGCGCGAATGGGCGCTCCGTTTTCAGGAAATCTGGGAAATCTGGGAAATCTGGCGACGAATTCCAAACCGGCGCACTCGCGTGGGACATCCTCACAAAAGCGGCCAGGGAGGCCCTCCAGAGGCCCCCTTGTTCCGTTTCCAGGATATCCAAGAAATCCTGCGACGAATACCAAACTGGCGTGTCCCAGTCCAGGGCTCTCGCTCGAGACATCCTCCCAAAGTCGGGCGCACTCCTCACCCGCCGCACCACCGCCTCCCACTTTTTCTCCTCTCGCCCGCAGGCACACACCCCTTCTTCTATGTACTGAAACTCCCGATCAACCATAGAGCGGCCAGCTAGCACACAGGCCTGGAGCCCAACCTTCGGATTTTCTGGGGCTTCCAACGAAACCGCACGTGTTCCCGCTAGACCTTTCCGGATCCAAGACGGCCCCAAGACGGGCCAAGAGGGCCCCAAGAGGCCTCCGAGGCGGTCCGAGAGAGCCCCGAGTCGGCCCAAGAGCGCTACAACATGCCCAAGATGGCTCAAGACGGCCCAAGCGGGCCACGAGGGGCCAACATCATTGATTTACAATGGTTTTGGACGGACTTTCGCGTTGTCGCCCTTCCGAGATCGCCCCCGGACAGCCCAATGAGGCTCCCATGAGTGCCCTCAGACGGCACAAGAGAGCCCCAAGACGGCCCAAGAAGCCACCAAGACGTCCAAAGATGGCTGCAGAAAGAGCCCCAAAAGAACGGGAACGCGAACCGACATTTCGAGCCCTCCGCCCCAAAATGACCCCCGAGACCGCCAGGGTTTCCCCGCGTCAGACACTTTCACGACGGATGGGAGCCGCACTCGGCGTTCCAAAATCGAACCCCGGACCTGCCCTGGTATGCTTTCTGGCCGGACTGTCGAAGCGGATCCGCCCGTGGCGACGAGGAGTCGCCTTGGAGCACTGGAGGTAACCAAAAACACCCAAAGTGCACATCAATCTCTAACCTGGACGCTCGAGGACCGAGGGGCCCAGGATAAACGCGACCAAGATCGGCGCGGCGTCAAAAGCGGCGACGTGTCGGGTCGGACGGAAGGAGGGGAGGATAACATCAATGGAAGGTTTGCGAACTACCTCGCGCAGCGGTCTTTCCTGGCGCCTCCCGGCGCTGGAGACGGCCATGTATCGAGGAAAGTGCCTGGGCGATGTAGAAGTCGCAAACTCCCCCTTTTCCTATAATCCACCCTTGCACATCCGATATCTTGATGTTTTACATGCGGGGTCTACGGAAGGCCAACTCTTTCCCAAGGGCCAGCTGTTCATCCTGAGGGATTTTTGGGCAGTCCCGGGGCCCGAAACCGGCTCACTAGTGCCGCACACAGCGACAACGAAGTTGGAGATCTGGGAAGCCAGGTGCAAGTAGCAGGTTTCATGACTCCCCCGTTCCCAATCCCCCTTCTTTCGACTCAAGCTCCAAGGCAGTCAGGAAGCCTCCTAACCCCGAGGGGGAGGAGGGGGAGGAGGAAAGAGAAGGGAGGGAGGGAGGGAGGCATGACTGGGGAAGAAGGAGGAAGTGTGGGATGGAGGGGGAGCGACCCCCAGACGACCCCCGCGACTGCACTGGAGCCACCCGTTTGTCGCCCCACCCCGAGAGGAGCGGCCCGCCGTCGCGGGCCCGCACCCAGGAGGCGCACGAGTCCTCGGGCTCGCCGCGGGTCCTGCCAGGCCGGGCCCCTCCCCCCCAAGAGGAGGGAGGACGGAGGAAGAAGATCGGCGGCGCGCAAGGGAGGGAAGGGAGAAGGGAAAGGCCTTTTTCAGAACTCGGCGGGACATCTCAGGAGCCCCCACGCCTTCCGAAAAGTGTGCTGTGTCTTCGGGGAAGGCCGAGAACACTTCTCAGACGGCCGGGGGACATCCGAGCCGTCTGAGAAGGCCTTGTCCTTATCACTTCCCCCCGTCGCTCACCGCCGAAAGGGAGGAAGCACGGCGCCCTGCAGTCCGATGCCCCAAAGCGGGCACTGGCTGGAACCAAAAATCAGAAACATATACCATCTTACACTAAAAACGGAACGAACGGAAGCCGACCATTCTGGACGGGAAAACTCGACGAGAGCGCCAGAGGAAAACCCGTTCAGCGAGCACGCAAGCATGTACAGCATAGATGATGCGCGAGACCGCCTGCAACTGTTGCTGCTTCTGGCGCACGGCCAAGAGTGCGGCCAAAACACGATCGCACGACAGCCATTATGCAATGGGAGCTTCAATCCTGGTGTGAAGCCCGCTCTGGACCTTGTCAACTTTCCGTCGAGTAGCGGCCACGGTCCGAGGCTCGGGGCCCAACGCAATCAATGCTGACATCGCTCCGCCCCGCCCACCCAAAGTCTCTCGTGCAGGAGGCCCCACGCGTTGTGCAAATCACGACATAGTGGTGCGCGAAAGGCTCGTACCCTTTCGCGCGGAAATGCCCGAACGCGGAATTCTGGCTATTCTTGAGGGGGAGGGGGGAAGGGGGAGGGAGGAGGCGGAGGAAGAGGGAGGAGGGAGGAGGAGGAGGAGAAGGAGGGGGAGGAGGAGGAGGAGGGAGATGGAGGGATGATGATGCTGATGCTGATGCTGATGATGCTGATGCTGATGATGATGATGATGATGATGATGATGATGATGATGATGATGATGATGATGATGATGATGATGATGATGATGATGATGATTATGATGGTGATGATGATGAGGAGGAGGAGGGGGGAGGAGGAGGAGAGGGGGAGGAGGAGGAGGAGGGGGAGGAGGAGGAGGAGGAGGAGGAAGAGGAGGAGGCGGAGAAGGAGGAGGAAGGAGGAGGAGGAGGGAGCAGGAAGGAGGGAGGAGGAAGGAGGAGGAGGGAGGCCCCGCCGCTGACGGAACACGCGCCCGAGGTCGGGCGGGCAGACGGCCGGCCAGTCTTCGCAGCGGCGAGGATCCACGCCGCGTTCGAAGGCAGCCGAAGGCCACTACGGGGCCGAATCGAGCACAACAGGCCTGGGAGGAGAACGGGCGCGCGGAAGGGAAGCACATAATAGAACAATCGGCGAAGGCCATGCCCCCCTGGCTCCCCATGGGGCTCTTTATGAGGACACGAAAAATCTGAGGGTTGTGCCAACATTGGCGAGGTGGCGCCATGCGGGCCCGGCCACTTGGACCCTCGGTCGAGGGTGTTGCTGGTGAAGAAGACGAGCGAACTTCAACTGGAGGGCGACGTCTGTTTCTACATCTAGGCTGCGCGCGGCCCCGCGCCGCTCACGAGACTGTGAGGCAGCTTCAGGACGCGGCTGGCGGCGGCGACAGCAGCGCCAATCTTTCTGTTGGAGGTGGCGATACTTTTTCTTCATCATCACCATCTGGTGAAATTGCTCCTCCGAACCCTCCCAAACTTCCTCTCCAAACGCATATTGGATAAACGGGTCCAGGACCTGGAACTTGTCATCTGAAACTGAACATTCACGACCAATGCCGCCCTTGCAAGAACAAACGCGCAAAACATCAGGAGATGTGAGACAGGTACCACTTTTGTTAGTGATTGAATGGAGGACGAGCTTCCAATAGCTGGGGGACTGAGCATTAGCCAGCTCGCATAGCCTTGCCATATTAATCTTTGTTCGGACAGGATGAGCGCCCGCGTCAACTGCGACAACCCCTTCTTCACGCTGAAGATAGTTACCAGTCATAATGAAGAAATCGCGATGCAACCTGCTGAGGTCATGCTCATGCATGCAAGAGGGGTATCAGACTCGAGCAACTAGGGGAAAACACGACACACCCGATCCGCAACACATGAGTTCTCGTACCTGTGAGCCTCGTTGGAGGCGAACATATATGCACACTTCTCCTCCGAAGACGATGGCCCAATCAACGAAATCGAACACTCCGAGCAGCTTAAGACATTCTGCCTTTCTGGTCCAGCGCCCTCTGCAATGGGTCAGAATTAGCGTGATGCTCATCCTCAAGCTTGGCAAGCTCAGAGGCAAAACGGTGCGACTTGGTACTCCACCTTGGAATGTTTGTCGGGATGACTAGGTTTCAGGATCAGAGAGACGCACACAAGCAGCCGAATGATCACTCGGGACCATGTCGCTGAAATCGCTCCAGGCAAACCCCGTGATCGGTTTAAAATTAGTCAAGTCCATGCTGGGAGTGCGTAGCACGCCGCAGTTGCGGGTAAGAGTGAGGGGGCGGCGGGGACGTTGGCAGTCTGCGAGGTTCTGCAGAATCCCGCCGCAGGAGCATATTTTTTTCAAGAATTACAGCGAGCCCGCCGCACGCACCGAATTTTTGTTAACACAATGTGAGTGGGTCACGGGTTGGGGCGCGGGTGGGTCGACGGTTGGTCGCGGGTGGGTCGCGGGCCGTGTCGCGGGTGGGTCGGGGGTGGGTCGCGGGCGGGTCGCAAGCGGGTCGCGGGGTGGGTCGCGGGTGGGTCGCGGGTGGGTCGCAGGGTGGGTCGTGGGTTCATCGCGGGGCGGGTCGCGGGGAGGGTCGCGGGCCAAGTCGCGGGGGGGACGACGCAACAAAACAAGCAGAATATTCGCCGTGGATCCCCACTTCAGCCACGCACCCAGGGACAATGAATGACCGTTCGGCCTCCTCACCCTGGTTGTTAGGGTCTGGGGCGGATCGCTGGTGGGACGCGGGAAGTGCTCGCGAGGGCGATGCCCCCCACAACAATGCAAGCCAGCCCGCCGCAAGCTTGGATTGGGGTCGCGGGCGCTCTCCTAAACCGATGCAAGGCAGCCCGCCGCAGGCGCCGAGTTGCATATTTGGGCACGACTTCGCATTTTGTCATCTGAACGGGTCGCGGGGTGCGTCGAGGGATGGGTTGCGTGTGGGTCGCGGGGTGGGTCGCGGGGTGGGTCGCGGGGTGGGTCGCGGGTGGGTCGGGGTGGGTCGAGGGGTGGGTCGCGGGGTGGGGCGCTGGTGGGTCGCGGGGTGGGTCGCGGGTTGGGTCGCGGGTTGGGTCGCGGGTTGGGATGTGGGTGGGTCGCAGGGTGGGTCGCGGGGTTGGTCGCGGGTTGGGTCGCGGGTAAGACGGCGACAACAAACAGACAACAACAACGCAACAAACAGAATCCTCACAACGGACCCCCACTTCAGCCACGCACCCAGGGACAATGAATGACCGTTCGGCCCCCTCACTCTGACACAGATAGGCCAATCCATCCTCCCGGTTGAAATAACCATATCATCATGAACTACCTTGTGAGTGTGATCATCTTGCTGGACCTCCGCAAGCCCAACGGGCCAGGGCGTGCTAAGATCTCCGGTAACTGGTTAACAGTATTAACAGTATTTCTAGTTCGCGCGCGCGGGGCGGCCCCTGGGGGTCCCCCGGCGAAAAGTACCCCGACCAACGCCCGGTCGCCGCCCGGTCGCCGCCCGACCGCCGCCCGACCGCCGCCCGACCAAGTCTACTCAGAGATGGTTTTCCTTCTGGGTGCGGCCTCTCAGGCTCCCCAGAGCGCGCTCAGAGTGCCCCAAGAGGCCCCCAAGACTGCCCAAGAGGCCCCCGAGACGCCCAAAGAGCGCTCGAAGACGCCGAAGATGACCCCAAGACGGCCCAAAAGGCCCCCAAGACAGCCCAAGAGGCCTCCAAGACGCCCCAAGAGCCTTCCAAGAGGCCTCCGAAGAGAGCCCCAAGAGGCCAAAATCGTTGATTTTCATTGGTTTTTTCGATGTTTTTTGTGTTCTGGCTTTTTCGGCTTCCGGACGCTCCAAGACGGCCCAAGAGGCCCCCAAGACCGCTCCAAGACGGCCCACGAAGCTCCCAAGACGGCGCCGAAACGACCCAAGAGAGCCCTCAAGACGGCCCAAGTGCCGCCCAAGACGGACCAAGAGGCCCCAAGACGGGCCCAAGAGGGACTCAGGAGGGATACCGAGAACTCAAAAATGGAGCCCTCCGTCCCAGAAGGCGCCCAGGAGGTCCCAAAGAGGCCCCAAGAGGCCTCCAAGAGGCCCCAAGATGTCGCCAAGAGGCCCCAGGAGACTCCCAGGAGGCCCAAAAGAAGCCCCAGAAGGCTTCAAACATGTCTCCCAGGCGCCCCCGAACGGCCTCTCAACAGACCCCAAGAGGCCCCCCAAAGAAGCATCTTGACGACGACTCTATTTCGCCCCATCGAGAGACGACCCCCAGGGAACTGCTTCACCATCAAAACTCCCCACGCAACGCGTCCGAACGACACCCGCCCCCAAGAGCGCAACATGGGCAACGAACACACAGACAAAAACCAGCGATGCCATATCACGGGCCGGCGGAATGAGCGAAGCGATTCAATAACCATATCATCATGAACTACCTTGTGAGTGTGATCATCTTGCTGGACCTCCGCAAGGTTCGCGCACTGGGGCTAGAAGTAGCGAGCAAGATGGCCTGGAGCGAAACGGACCTGACCAGACCCAGCGTCAAGTCTAGCCTCCACTTCCTCACAGGAGGAGGAGGAGGAGGAGGAGGAGGAGGAGGAGGAGGAGGCAGGAGGAGGAGGCAGGAGGAGGAGGAGGCAGGAGGCAGGAGGCAGGAGGAGGAGGAGGAGGAGGAGGCAGGAGGAGGAGGCAGGAGGCAGTAGGCAGGAGGCAAGATGGGGAGCGGTCCCGCCCGCAGCAGCGTCCGCGCCGTCGCCACCCGGGCCCCCGCGGCGGGCGAGGCTCGCCTGGGAGGGGGGGGGGCTTTCGGCCTGCCCTCGGCGAGCCTCTAGACCAGCTCATACCCAGACATGCTCGCTCGCAAAATAAACACACGCACACGCACGCGCACACGCACACGCACACGCACACGCGCACGCACATACACACACGCACACGCACACACACACACACGCACACGCACACGCACACACACACGCACACACACACACACGCACACACGCGCATGCATACATACATACATACATACATACATACATACATACATACATACATACATACATACATACACACATACAAACAAACAAACAAACAAACAAACAAACAAACATGCATACATACATACATACATACGTACGTACGTACGTACATACGTACCTACCTACCTACCTACCTACCTACCTACCTACATACATCCATGCATGCATGCATGCATGCATGCATACATACATACAGACATACACACGCGCACACTCACACGCACACGCACACGCACACGCACACACACACACACACATTCACACATATTCACACACACACACACGCACGACGAACGTTTTTGTTGCCACTTTCGGCCGCCGGGAGCTTTCGCCAGGCCTCGAAACCGTGAAAAAAAACGGGATGAAAAACGAGCCCTGGGGAAAGGGTCGGGACTTCCGGGGGCCGCGCGTGGAAACAGTCAAAACACCGCAGGCCTGGGTGGGCAGCTCCGTGGCCAGCTTCTGGCCCAGCTTCTCTGTGCTGGTGGGAACCTCTGCAGGCCTGCCTGACAGAACGCCCCTGCCCCGGGAGCTCGCCCCACCTGGGGTCGGGCGCACGCTAACACTTTTTTGGTCTGCGGGTCGAGAGCGAGCCTCTTCCGGTGAAGAGCCAGGCGGGCCGCGCGAAGCACTCCTTGGGGAGCCAGAGCGCAGGCGAGGCGCACGCTGACACGGATCCACGGATCGGAGAGGGCACTCCCAGAAGGTGCGGCCAGTGAGCACCGCCCGACCTGGCGACGGAGCGCGCCGACTCTGCGCGGCAGCGGGAAGCGCCGATGATCCACGCTCCATGCTCCCTGAAATCCGACGGCGCGAAGCAGTGATGCATAGTAAGAAATCACCGCCGGAGCCGTAGACCCAATCTTTCTGCGTCACTCGTCGACGCGGATCGATTTGTGAAGGTCCCAGGCCGGAAAACTGGCGAAATTGGTCGGCTCGACAGAGTTCAAGCGCCAGGATCTGAGCGTTCTCGCTTCCTCGACCATGGAGCGCGCCGAGGGATCCGCCCCTGGAGCCTTCATTCGGGCACCTGCCAGAGGGCCTGCCCAGGAGTCCTCCCGGGAGAGCTGTCTGGGAGCCAGCTCGGATTGGGGAGCGGTCCCTCCCCCCCGGAGCCCCTTCCGGCGCGCACCCCAGAAACAGCCTGCCCCCGAACGAGCTCGGAAAGGCGCCCATCCACCACCAGGCATCCGGCGCCTGGATTTTCTCGAGACGCAACCCCCCGGGTCCTGCTGTTCATCCCGAGCTGTTGTTTGACGGCCCCAGGCCCCGGGACCAACCTCTTGCAGAGGCCGAAAACGGTGAAACAACTGCCGTCTCGATCTTGCGAGACGCCAGATGACTGGGCCCCGTGGACGCCCCTCTGCCAGAACGCCTGCCCAGGAGAACTCTCAAAAGGAAGCTGCCCTGTTTGCCTCGCCAGGGATGTGTGCCAGGAGTGGGCCTCCGTGGGAGCCCACCGCGTGAGAGCCCCCCCTGCAGAATCCGCACTGTACGAGCACACCGCTGCAGCAGAATGCGCCAGCCAGGCATCTGTCGGGCCGATGACATCGGGACGCCAATGGTTGACTGTGCTTGGGTCTGCGGAGGCCGGCTTCGGGCCCCCGGCCTGTCAAAAGCAGACCGGGATACAAAGCCGTCCCCAGGGGAGGGGATCGCGAGGTCGAGGGCTCGTGCCTCGAAAAGCAAGACGCCGGATGTCTGGGCACGTGGTCTCTCGTCGCGCAAGCCCGCGGCAGGGTGAGGGCATGAGGCCAACAACGCGAGGGCTAATCACGAACGACCGAGGGATCACTCAGGGCGGACGTCGAGGAGCAACCACTGGAATGAACATCCACTTTCGGCGGTCCACGCGGGTTTCTTGGATCGACGCTGGCGCCCCCCTGGCGGTGCCTCGGGCACCTTCCTTGGCGCGCTCCGCGCGCCGGGGAGAGGGGGGGGGCCGGCACCGACCCAAGGAATCCACACAGACCTCTAAAAAAGGTCACGCTCATGCAGTTCTCTTGGTTCCTCGCGGAGCAGTCCAGGGAGTGCGCGCGTGGCGGTCGCCTGCCTCTCCGCCCCGCCTCCCTGCCATGGAGCTTGCCGACGGCGCGCTCCACTGGGTCAGAAACCAAACGACGCCACCCCACCTGCGACCCAGCGATGATGAAGGCCTAGGCGCTTGCCCACCTGCGACCACCTTGCGACCCACCTGAGGCACCACCCCGCCTCGCGACCCACCTGCGGCCCTCCTGGGGCGCCCCGAAGGCGCCCCGAGAGCCCCTGGAGCGAGCCGTGCATGCCCGGAGGCTGCTGCACGGCGGAGGCAAAGGCCAGGTGGTGGAGCCGGAGCGGCGGCACGTGCGCTCAAGTGAAGGGGCACAGGGAGACACCCATCAAGAGACACATGTTCAGGACTCCCTACATGTTCAGATAGGCTCCTGGATTCTCGCCTTCCCGCCCATCTGCTATATTTCCATACATTTTTTAAAAAGACGATTACAGTCGGGGCGTTGACCTAAGGAATCCAAAATAAGGAACGAAGCCCCTTTTTCCCATAAGTGAAACTTCGATTTCCCATGGACAACCCAAGCCACACTGTAAAACAATCAAGGAACACCGAGCCCCTCGCCAACGAAAAGGGTTCCTTCTTCAGCGCCCCGACGACTATTTGTCTGTGCCTACTTTTCCCTCCAGGTCCAGATGCGCGGCGGGGCCACGATGACCACAGCATGAGGCACACGCCCAGCCCAGCAAGCTAACAATTGGTCGTCTCGGGGTGCCGTCGCGGCGGCGATGGGCCCAACTAAGGCTTTAAAAACCCGCTGACCGCCTGCCCTGGCGGCTCCAGAGCCCCTGACTCCAGACATGTTGCCATCTCGTCTGGGCGCATCATTTGCTTCCGCCGGCTCCCGCCGGCGGAGGCGGCCTCGTTTTACTTCCGCCGCCCTCCGCCGAGGAAGAGATGACAGCTCCTTCGATCCTCATCAGCTTGTTCTGTTCCCACGGGCCACCCCAGAGCCCCAAGAGGGCCCGTCCAGGTCTTGCGGCCTCTGGGCACACCGGACGCTCCTCGGGGCTCCCGTGTGGTACAATTCTGCAGCAGCTGGCGGCCACATGGAGGGAAGCCAGATTTCTCTAGCCTGCCGAGCGACTCCCGACTGCCAAAGCGCCGACCCGGCCCGACACTTCTTCCTCCATCCTTCGCCTGGCGCAGGACATGGCATGAGCAAGCGCGCGCATGGAACGCGTTCGGAGCTTCGCTTGCCCGAATTGCGGACGCCACGACGGAAGAGAGGGCGAGGTAGGAACGACACTGCAGCACGAAAGACAGCGCGAGAAATCAGACGCTGAACTTTCGAATTTCGTGCGGGTCGCTGGTTGGACTTCCCTCTTCACCAAGGTCTCGACCCGCAGGTGTTTTGCAAGAAATGAGAGAGCGTGATCCACCGCCGCTTTACTGTGGAAAATTTCCCCCCCTCTTCCTCCGGAAACCGAGGGTCCCCCCCCCTCCGAAAATCCCCCCCCTGCTGGACCCCCCCCCCCTTCTCCCTCCCGGCAAACCCCCCCCCCCTCCCCTACCCCTCCCCCCCTCCCTTCCAAAAAACCAGGGGGGGTCAAATTCGACCCCCCCCTCCTCGGAAAACCGGGGGGGGTCACTACTGGTTCGAACCCCCCCCCCCCCCCTCCCAGAAAACCAAAGGAATGTCACTACCGGTTCGAACCCCCCCCTCCAGAAAACCCGGGGAGGGTCACTACCGGTTCGAACCCCCCCCGAAAACCGGGGGGGGTCACTCCCTTCGAACCCCCCCCCCTCCCCGAAAACTGGGGGGGGTCACTACCGGTTCGAACTCCCCCCGGAAAACCGGGGGGGGGTCACTACCGGTTCGAACCCCCCCCCCCCCCTCACCGCCAGCAAACGACTCCCGGTCCCGCACCGTCCGCACCACATCCCCCATGCACTGCTGTTCCCAGCGCCACTGTCCTCACCACCACTGTCCCCACTTGTTCCACCACCGTCCCTACTGTCCCCACCAGTGCCCCCACCACTGTCGCACTGTCCCCACTGTCCCCACCACTGTTCCCACCACGGTTCCACTCTCCCCACTTTCTCTACGCACTGTCCTCACCACCACTGTACTCTCCACTGTCCCACTGTTTCCACCACATTCCCACTGTCCCCACAACAGTCCCCACCACCACCGTCCCCACCACTGTCCCACTGTCCCCACTGTTCCCACCTTGGTCCCCGCTGTCCCCACCAGTGCCCCCACCAGTGTGTCAATGTCCCCACTCTCCCCACCATTGTCCCACCACGGTCCCACTCTCCCCACTTTCCCCACGGTCCCCACCACTGTCCCACTGTCCCCACTGTACCCACTACTGTCCCACTGTCCCCGCCGCTGTCCCACTGTGCTGTCCCAGCGTCCCCACTGTCCCCATCACTGTCCCACTGTCCCCACTGTCCCCACCACTTTCCCCACTGTGCTACTTTCCCACCGCTGTCCTCACCACCGCCTTCACCACTGTCCCCACCACTAATTACCGTCCCCACAACTGTCCCAATGTCCCCACCACTGTCCCGCTGTCCCCTCACCACTGTCCCCACCACCACCGTCCCCACCACTGTCCGCACCCCCCGCCGGTTTTCGAGGGGGGGGGGGGGGGGCGTTCGAACCGATAATGACCCCCCTCGGTTTTCGAGGGGGGGGGGTTCGAACCGGCAGTGACCCCCCCCCCCCCTTCATGATGGACTGGGGTGGGTGGGGGGAGGGGTTCGAACCCGCCGTGACCCCCCCCGGGTTTTCCGGTGGGGGGGGGGGGGGTTCGAATCGGTAGTGACCCCCCCCCGGTTTTCCGCCAGCATCGGTAGAACACGCTCTTTCCAAGAAATCCAAACTCCAGCCTGAAAAGCAGGACCTCATTCAATTGGGTGAGCTGTAGACCGCATGCTGCGACGGAGGCAGGGCGACGTAGCAACATGAAGCATGATCAAGACAAGCAGCCACAGCCTGAACGCATGCCCCCACAGCTGACAGCATGCTCGACCAACGGTGACCAACAAGAACAATCACAGAAAGAGGTCAGCCGACCGCTCCCGGGCTGCTGCCGCGCTGCAGTGCTGCCGCGTGTCGGTCTGGACCCTGTTGCGGCGGGACGCTCGCACAGAAAAACAGCCACAGCAGACACACACGAAGAGAAGCTCTGCTATACGATATCTTGGGGCACATAATCTTGTGATCCCCATAGCTCTGTGAGTCCCTGGGACCATCAGGGGATGAGACAGTTCCGTTGGGCACCTGCTGGCAGCCCGAATTCTTTTTCGATATGCCTACCGTAGCAGCGATATGCCCAAATCCCACCAGATCTCCGGGCAGGGGATGTTTAGAGCAATTCCTCTTCCAGCCCCCATCCTCCCTTCGGGGAGGGGAAGGACTTAGCCCATCCCCCCATCCCCTCCCCCCGGTCTGGAAAGGGGGAGGGCCCAAGGTGTCAGAGAGTCCTGCTCGGCCCACGGTGGCTACGATGTGACCTAGGATAGCCCTGGATTGTCTCCAGTAGAAGAAGAGAAACCACGATGGCTCAAGAAGGCCTCCATCGCGCCACCACGAAGCCCCCAGCCCGCTCCAAGCGATCACGGAGCCTCCCAAAGAGGCCACCGAGAGACCCAAACCCGATAAACGAACATGTTGTGTCGCACTCTCGCCCGTTCGCGCCCGAAGATTTTGTTGGGCCTGAAAATGCCCCCTGCGATTACCCAGGAGAGCCCCAAGAGGGGCCCAGCAGGGCTTCAAGGCGGCCCGAAGAGCGCCCAAGAGCGCCCCAAGAGTGTCCTAGATTGCTCCGAGAAGCTATTCGTCGGGCAAATAGGGGCGATGCTACTTGGCGCCGCCTCGTTCGTTCAAACCTGAAATCACTTGTAACACGCAAGCGTCTGAACGACTTTGGCATCTCGGGGACATCCTTGGAAGGCGCCTGGGCCAAGATGGCTCTCCTATGCACTCAAACAGCTCAAGGCGGCCTTCAAGACTGTGCGAGATAATCCAAAGTGACTCAATCTGTCCTCCAGCATGCATCCAATAAGACACAGGACCGCCTCAGCACGGGTCGAAGTGGCCGAGGGGCGTCCCAAGGATAACCCCGAACTGGCAAGTTAAGTCAAACGCGTCGGCCCAAACCCCAAACCCGTCGAGCCCCTGAATAAACGAATATGTTGTTTCGCACGTTCGTACGTTCGCGCCCGAAGATCTTGTTCGGGCTGAAGATGCCTCCACGATTGCCCAAGAGGGGCCCACCAGGGCCCAAGATAAGTCAAACGCATTGTGCGCTTCAATGAATGTGGGCGTCTCGCCTTTTTCGCTTCCGATGGGCCTCCGAGGCCTCACGACTGCCCCCAGGATCGCCCCAACAGAGCCCTGCGAGGGGCCAATGAGAGGCCCCGAGACAGCCAGGAGAGCGCCCCAGGAGCGTTCACAAGAAGGGCTCCACGAGGCGATCGTTCGGGCTCGAGAGGGGCGACGCGACTCGGTGTCGCCCCCTCTTGCTTCGACTGCCTCCGATACAACACGAAGAGGGCCCGAAAGGCCTCCGAAGAGGGCCCTCAACAGAGAACCGCACTGGAACTTAAACGGCTAACCCAAAGGCCTCAACAGCGCTCCGAAATGGCTTCAAGAGGCTCCAAAAGGTCTCTAAGTTCTCTACAGTCGGCGTCTTAGTTTCGCATGTGCTTATCTACTCCCCTTCCCCCGCCGGCTCGCCTGGGCATCGTTTCTGGACGGTCTGGTAAGGATACGCGAAGCCTCAAGAATCCCATCTGCCCTCTGGGCTGAGGTGGTCTAGGAAATGTCCTCTTCCATCTCCCCTGTTCCCCTTCGGGGCGGCGCTTATTTCTGCTCCAAATTGATAAACCCCCTCTCACCCACCCATGCTGACGGGGCAGCCCAGACCCAAAAAGCACGCGGCCAGAGGAGGGGGATGCTGGGAAATGCTAGGCAGAGGAGAGGGTACCGTACCCGTCCCTCCGGCGCTCTCCAGAGCACAATCCTCCGTCCTCATCTCGGAGGGCCAAAACAATATCAATGTCAACCCGGTCGGACGACCCCATCAGTGCGACACTGATGAAGAACGACACATTGCTTTTCACGAAACGCAGAACCGGTATGTAACATGCACAGTCTGAAGATGCGACCCGCGTGTCACTGGTACTCTGCGCCGCTCCCGATCTGGAGCCCAAGCCTGTGGCCGCGGGACACGGTTCGCCTTCGACTTTAAAAAGCGCTGCGCAGAGGCCTGGCCAAGGTCAGGAAGCAAATCCTGGGGGGTCCTCTTGGGAACGGCTGCCTGGCTACCAAGTCCGACACAGAAACCACTAAGCCAAGGTAAGCCCAAAATTATGAACGGACTAGGCTGGCTGAAGCCGGATTGCGCCGGATGCGATCGGATTGCGTAGTACCCACTGGACCCACACGTCCGACGATATGTTTTGCTCCCCATCGGCAGTTTTTCGTCCCGGGTTCGTCTTTGACGGCCACGGGGCCCGACTGCGGGCCCCGAAGGCCGAGGTCGAGCGAAAGTACGCCAGCGGATTGACAACACCAAATCGTCGGAGATCTGGGGAAGTCCATCGCCGATGATGAAGTTTAGCTCCTGCAGGAGCTGCAGCCAGAGCCAAGGCACCCGTGGGCGGCCCCGTGGGCCCACTGGAGGGAAGGAGGGCGAGGAGGAGGAGGAGGAGGAGGAGGAGGAGGAGGAGGAGGAGGAAGAGGAGGAAAGGAGAAGGAAAGCAGGGGAAGGAGGAGGAAAGGAGGAGGAACTGAGGAAGAGGAGGGGGAGGAGGAGGAGGAGGAGGAGGAGGAGGAGGAGGAGGAGGAGGAGGAGGAGGAGGAGGAGGAGGAGGGGGGAGAAGGAGGAGGAGGATGAAAGGAGGAGGAGGAGGATGAGGAGGAGGAGGAGGGGGAGGAGAAGGAGGAGGAGGAGGAGGAGGAGGAGGAGGGAGGAGGAGGAGGAGAGGAGGAGGAAGAAGGAGGAGGAGGAGGAACGGAGGAGGAGGGGAAAGGAGGAGGAGGAGGAGGAGGAGGAGGAGGGGGAGGAGGAGGAGGAGGAGAGGAGGAGGAGGAGGAGGAGGAGGAGGAGGAGGAAGAGGAGGAGGAGGAGTAGGACGAGGAGGAGAGAAGGAGGAGGAAAGGAGGAGGCGGAGGAGGAGGAGGCGGAACCGATGTCGAAATCGAGCCCCCAGGAACTGCAATAGGGGACCAGGCAACCGAGGAACGGCGGCCGCGTCGCTGAACCCCGCGGCGCATCGGTGGCCTGCGCCTGCACGCTGGCGCTCGCGGGAGCGTGGCGACGGCGGAGGAGGGCGGACAGGGTCGCGGTGGAGGGGGAGGAGGAGGGGGAGGAGGAGGCGGAGGAGGAGGAGGAGGAGGACGAGGCGGAGGAGGAGGAGAAGGAGGAGGTAAAAAACGCTAAAGGCGCTTAGGGAGCGGGTTTCCAGTCCAAATGCTCAAGACTGAGATGCCCCTGCGGGGTGATGTGTAGGCTAAGGGTCCAGGCCTTGCTGCCGCTGATCTCTGCCAGCGCGTGAAGCAGGGAGGAGCCCTCCTGCAAACATCGGCACCGAACGAGTTTGGGCCGAAGCGGCCAAATCACCGCATCGGACGGTGGAGGAGTCTCCATTTGAGTCTCGTGGCTCTTTACCGCCTTCGGGGACAATGTCCACCCAGTTGCGTGCGCCTGCGCCCCGCAAGACCTTCGGGCCATCGCAGCTGGGGTGGACGAGAAGGCGGAGGAGGAGGGGGAGGAGGGGCGGAGGAGGAGGAGGCAGAGGAGGAGGAGGAGGAGAAGGAGGAGGGATGGGGGGAGGGAGGAGGAGGAGGAGGGAGGAGGAGGAGGAGGAGGAGGAGGAGGAGGAGGAGGAGGAGGATGGCGGCGGAGGAGGAGGAGGACGAGGCGGAGGAGGAGGAGGAGGAGGAGAAGGAGGAGGAGGAGGAGGCAGAGGCAGAGGCAGAGGAGGAGGAGGAGGAGGAGGAGGAGGAGGAGGAGGAGGAGGAGGAGGAGACAGAGGAGAAGAGGAGGAAGGCGACAAAATGCCGAGGGGCGGTCCTGTGGGGCGCGCCGGACGGCCGTGGGGTCAGCGGGTGCTGCTCTGTCGTCGGCTGCCGGCTGCCTCTGAGGGTCACGGCGCGGCGCCGCTCCGGTGCCACTCCGCTTCGACGCACGCGCTCGGCCCCCATCCGTCGAAGTCGTCATCTTCGTCGTCATCGTCGGCGGCGGCGTCGTCATCTTCGTCGCCGTCGTCATCCTTGTCGTTGCCCTCGCCCTCGTCGGCGTCGTCATGGTCTTCATCGGCGTCGTTGTCGTCGCTGTCGTCGTCGTCGTCGCCCTCGGGCCAGGCCATTCAACGTCTTGAATAAATCAGGGCGGAATTTTCCAGCCGTTTGTCTGGCCTGCCGGGGCCAGGCTCGGGGCCCTGGGGGCGTCAAGAAACGGCTCGGGACGAGAAGCTGGCCCGGGACCACCGGGGCCCCTGGTTGAAAGAAGTACGGCATGTTCGTGATGCTATGACGTCGGCGTTGGTCTCTGACGCCGCATGGATTGTTCAACCTTGTGATGTTTCGCTTGGATCCGCTCTACTTTACCCGATGTGCAACCGATTCCAGAACGCATGGCCGCCAGCTGAGGCTGCGTCAAGGCATCCGCCACACGCAGAGCCGTCCGCCGCTGGTGTCTGGTGATCTCGCTGATCGAGAGCCGGGGCGCGTGTGCACGCAGGTCAGCAACCAGATGCCCGAGGAGGCGAGCCGCGTCCCGACCCGACACTGTGGAAGAGGAGGAGAAATGTTCTTTGACTTTCCGGGCGCACACACAACGTCAATGGCGGGGGAAGAGGAGGAGGAGGAGGAGGAGGAGGAGGAGGAGGAGGATGAGGAGGAGGAGAAGGAGGAGGAGGAGGAAGAGGAGGAAGAGGAGGAGGAGGAGGAGCGAACGTCCCCTGGCGGACGTTGTCTTCTTACGCCACGCCCGCGGCGGGCGCACGGGCGGCCGCGCCCTCGACGCACGGGGCCTCCCCACGGATGCTGTCGTAGATGTTCCGGTTGGAGGCCGTCATCTCGAACGTGGCGAGCCCGTTCTGGTTGGAGCCCTGCGCCTCGCGGTTGGGGCTCTGCACCTCGTAGACGTTCTGGCTGGAGCCTTGCACCTAGTGCGTGGCGACCTCATTCCAGTTGGAACCCTGCACCTCGCGGCTGGAACCCTGCACCTCGTAGCCGTTCTGGCTGGAGCCCTGCACCTCGTTCACGGTGGCGGTGCTGCCCTGAACTTGGTGCGCGGCTCGAGCAGCAGGTGCCACAAATTCAGCACCTCCGCGGGGCGATGCACGACATCGGAAGGCTTGACGCGTGGCTTGCGCAGCCTCGTGGAAGGCGGCGTACTTGTTCTCAAAATCGATGGTCGTGAGCTTCTGTGGATCTTAATCGTGTGATTCAGTCGGTACGCCATCGCCATACGTGTACTCACATGCTTGACGTGATCATCTGCCCGGACGGGCAATGTGTAGTTGCCACCACGAAGGGCAAGCCGAGTGAGTACACATTGATGGAGCCGATCTCGAGGAAACGCAAGTAGATGCCAGAGCAGTGGGCAAATCAAGTAATGCGCTACCGGCTCTGCATGGAAAACTCTGTCACAGCCGAAGACGCAACCGCGACGATAAGGCTGAACGTGGGGTCGAAAGCTGGTCGAGCATCCGCCAGCCAGCGTCTTCACCGCAGGCCAGAAGTGAGATGGCGGCAGCGCTGCAAGCTGCAGCCCTAGCTGTTGCCATGGGAAATTCACAGCGCCAGGAAGCTGGACAAGGCTAGCGAGCTCGTTCACAACGGAGGCGTCCTCTTGGATTTGGCTGTTGGCGTCGTCCATCAGCGTGGAGTCCGCGGGGTCGCTGATGGGGTCAGCGGCAAGAAGCCATTCGCGTCGCCGTCGGTGTTCAGCAACCGCAGCTTTGAACTCCAACTGCGCCTCTGCCGTCCGCGGTGTGCGTTCCCAGTTTTGTGCCCTCATTCTTCGGTTTGTCACAGAGTTGTCCAGCGCGCGCTGGCAGATGTGGTAAGCGCGGTACCGTAGCGCTCGCTCGCTGGTGTCGATGAACAGGGCATGGGAGTTCCGCCGCCGCAAGATCGCATAAACGTATTCCACACACCACGCGGCCCAGTTGTGCCGCCGGGCAAGCACCCCCTCCAGCGTGGCCAACTGTTGGCGGGCGGAGTTCCTGTCGTCATCATTGTCGTCGGGCGTGGGTGCTGGAACAAATTGTCGGACAGGCAGCCCCGCTTGCTGTTGATGCCTCCGATCAGCTACCGGGACGGGGGGAAACTAGGCACGCAGGCGTTTGGCAATGGTGAGGTCGAAGTTGCGTGCGTAGATGTGGCGCTGGAGCTCGAGCAAGCACGTAGACTGCGGCGTCTTCAGCGGCAGCTCTCCGTCTCGGCGCAGAGCTGGGGCTCGCGCTCGCTCAGCAGCCGCACGAGCACACCGATGAGCACGAAGAAGATGCTGTCTGACACGATCATGGTTGTGGAGCTGGCGCTGCACTGTGAGGAATATGGAGCCCTTGCGCGTGGGAAAAACCGCCCCCTGGCGTGCAGCATTGAGGCTTTGAGCGATCGAGGTTGTTGCAGCCCAGCATGAGGCGCACCATTTCCTTGCAGAACCTGTACCACGGGCAAGTGAATATCAGCAGCCTGTGTCAGCGTGGCGTGAATCTGCGGCCAGATCTCGATCGTGACGGAAGCGCTCGCCACAAAGTGGCACTGAGCAGTACTTTCCACGCTCGCCCACGTGCGCAAGCTCATGATATCGCTCTTGGAACACGCCGATGGGGTCGAGCGGATCATGTTGTACAAGCTGTGAATCCCCTTGCTTAGAAACCTCTTTAGTGCGGGAAAGAGTTGGCTCACGTAAGATAAACAAGAGAGCACTGCAGTGCTGTAAAGCTAGATGTGTTGTTGAATGGGTGCATGCGATTTTCCAAGAAGCATGGTGCAGAACCTCCACTTGGTCGCTGGGGCTGTCCACTTGGTGCGATCATCAGCTGCTGGACCACTGTAGACCCCCAGGTACTTGGCCTTGCCGTCCATCTTGAAGAGGGCCCAGTCGCTGTGTATGAGACCGAGGGTATGCTGGATGGACGCCACAAGCTCGTCGCTCAAGTCCGCCAATACGGGCACCAGAACACATTTGCGAGATGGAGGAGGAGGAGGAGGAGGAAAAGCATCGAGCTTGCACCCTGGAGACCTCGCGCTGGAACGTGCTGGTTGGAGGGTGGTCCGAGTGGATCGACACCGCGGCTTTGATGGGGCCCTGCATGGGCCCGTGCCCCACCCCATCCAGCAGTCCAAGTGTGCCGAGCTTTATGCCCTTCGGATGTTTTTGAGCAGATTGGAGGTGACTGCAGCGTGTGACTGCCAGGATGAGGGGCACGACTTGCAGACACTTCTCCCAGTCCTCCACTTTCTTCACATGTCAGGGCGGAAGGAGACGAGGAAGAGAAGAGGAGATTGAGGAGGAGGACTAGGAGGAGGAAGAGGAGGAGAAAAAAAACGCGACGCACGCGGCGCACTCGTAACGCCTCGAAGTTGTCGCCGACAGCCCCAGTGGCAGGCCCTGCACACGCCACCCAGTGGGTTTGGGTGCCGCCTCGGAGCCTGACTCTTGGAGGTCCCCCGGATGTCTCCGAGGCCCAGGCAGGGCGAAACGAAATGGTTCCCCCATGTTCCCGCAGCCCTCCTGTGGTGATGGGTTTTCGTTTGAAGCCGCAGCGCCGCGCGCGTCCAACACCTGATCATTCTTGAGCCCTTGGGTTCCAGGCGCACCACGTCTTGCTGCTGCACCACGTAACATAAATATGAGTAGTGCATACGTGCAGCACGCAAGCGGGGGCTCCATCTCGAATCGAAGGGGAAGACTTGCCGACCGCAACACTAGAGGATGGGTCTATCCCTCCTGCAAGCAGACTCAACGATCTACTCGCAGATGCATCATTGTGACCACGGGGACATCTTCATGGCTAGGATGACTACCTTCTTAGTTCTTGCTGCAGCAGCGCCACCTCCACGACACTTGGCATCGGCACTATCTCCGTGACATCTTCGCATCACGACGGCGGTCAGCAGAGCATGACGAGCAGCACTACGAGGGGCAGCACGTCGTCGTTGAGCATCGCGACGGTGGTCCGCCTGCCTGCAGATGCGCCCCAGCAGCGCGACACCGAAAAGCACGTCGGAGATCGACACTGCGGCTACGCCATCCACCCTCGAACGGCTGGTGCCAGCAGCACGGCCAGAACCAGCAGCTAAACTCGCAACAACGCCATGCTGCTCCCATACCGCCAACTGCGAATCTAACATCTGCGTACCCCCTCCCGCCGTGCGGTAGCGGATGGGCCAGCACGCCGAAAATCGTGTACAGGCCAGTACAACACACCCAGCGGGGCATCGCGCAGCAACACCGCGCGTGGCATGGCCAGTGCCACTAGCAGCGCGACCGTGACAACCACGACTGGGACCAGCAGCGCCACGTCCAGCAGCAGCGCCACCAGCAGCACCGATCTGGCCAGCATGCCCCCGACTTGCAACACTGGCGCAACAAGCACCAACCTGCGCTGCATCCCTGGCCCCTAGCGCATCTAGCAGCAGCGGCGCGCCTACGATGGCGTCGGCGGCAGCCACGCCCACATCCTTCGCGGACGACGCACTACTGGCCTCAGGCCACTACTGCCACGAGCTTGGAATGCAGTGCATACCATTACTGAAGAGTGCCTTGGACCTGCCAGGGCCTCCATCGACCTCAGCTCCGTTTACGTTGTTGTTTTGTATGACTTCCCCATCGCGCTCGCCTGGGTGTACCTGCCCTCGAGGTCGGAGCCACGACTGGGACCTGCAGTACCACGCGCAGCAGTACCAGTGCCACCATCAGCGCTACTGTGACCACCACGACTGGGACCAGCAACGTCACGCGCAGCAACAGCGCCACCAGCAACAACAGCGCCACCAACATCACCGCTGTGGCCAGCATGTCATGTCCTGGGTTTGCAACACTGGCGCAATCAGCACTTCGCTGCATCCCTAGCGCATTCAGCAGCAGCGGCGCGCCTACGATGGCGTCGGCGACAGCCACGCCCACATCCTTCGCGGACGACGCACTACTGGCCTCAGGCACCAACACAACCAGCAGCACCATTCATAGCAGCACCAGTGCATCCAGCAGCAGAAGCGCGCCTTCGATGCCGTCGGCGACAGCCACACCCATCTCCTTCGCGGACATCGCGCTCATATGCGGGCACCGCCTGCGTCGTCAGCGCGATGCTTGCGCCGACCCTCAGTCCGACACCGAGCCCGTCACCCAGTCCGACGTTTGCGCCGTGCCCCAGTCTTGAAATACTGCTGTTCTGGGATGGTTTTGGGGTGGTGCTCGGGATGGGTTTCTCCACGTTGCATCGACCTGGGATCTGTGACCTGATAATGCCGTATGGGGTGGTGGCAGGGCAGCCCACATGGACCTCATGCCCACGTCCTCCAGACTCGTCCTCTGAGGTCTGCCAGAGCGGCCCCCGCCGTTGCGCGAGCCTTCGAGTCTTCCTGCTATGGCCCGCCCAGTGCGAGATGCACTGGAGTTTTTGTTCTTCCCTCCTTCTCTCTTCCGCCCCCCGTCGATCACAGCTTTGCATTGCATGTTAGACTTCAAATGTTTAAAACATTGGAAGTTTTGTGTGTTCACTGGAGCTGGCCCCCGTTCCTCGGGACGGCACCCACCGCCTTGGGGGCGTCAGGGGCGGCTTGTTTGCTATAAGAGCTTCCCGTCTTTTGCATCCTCCAAGTCTGACTCCACAGTGTTCGTTGTATTTGCCTGGTCGCTAGCATCATCCCTCCTGCTCCCTTTTACTATTTGTATCCCCCTTTTCCGTGCTCTTCTGCGCTGCGCCGGCATTGTTGGCACGTCGTGCTCTCTTGTTTGACTCGCCCTCCCTTCTTTCTCTCTCTCTCTCTCTCTCTTTCTCGTGTGGGTTTTCTGCTCGAGTACCACCTCCGGCAATGCTCGGTGGTTGCGGTCTCCGCACGCACGAGATGTTCTTTCTCTGCGGACGTTGGTCTGGCTGTCGCTCCCGTTCTCTCTCTCTCTCTCTCCCTACCCCTCCCCCTTCCTTTCCTGGCTGCCGCTGTGTGGGTCATAAAAATGGCCGATTGGACAATGGGGCTCCCGCCCACAACGCCCCAGTCTCCTTTTCCAAGCCCGCGTCCTCCACCGTTTTGCTCCTCCCTCCTGTTGCACACTTCCTCGACGGCATGCTTCGAGAGGGGTCGGGGGCGTTTGACTTGCTTAACGCTGTCGTGCGGGGGACAGTGTGTTGTGGCAGAGCGTGTCCTTCCATTGTGCCAGCTGAGGCGTGATAACACATGATGTCGGTTGTGTTTCAGGAAAAAGTTATTAATGCAGAGCGCCCCACAATGACTGCACCACATGCGGCCTCCGTCACTGCTCCGAGGTCTGTCGGCGCGACGAGCCAAGCGAACGGGTCTGATGAGGCCAACACATCGAAAGGCGAAATCCGTACCTCTCTACCAACCTCGAACGCTACAACGTTCGCAAGCGGATCCCGCCGACACAGACGATCTCGTGTCCCTTGGGCTTGGGCACAAGTTCTAAAATATCAGGAAGAACCCTTCGGCTCGGAATTTACTGGCATCACACTATTCAGCTTGGACAAGGCTCCCTCGACTCCCGCGGTGAGCAAGGCCAGACACCGAACCTGGACGTCGTGGGCCTTGAGTTTCTCGAGGAAACGGGGAGGCACGGGATGCTGCCGAGCACCTGCCTTCGCAAGCCAGTCGGCCTCGCGGTTCCCACGGGAAGCCCGCCACGCCGTACTTTGAGATGATGTCTTTGCCCGGGACTGGTGGCTCCGAATTTGAACCAAAGTTACAATGCCAGTGGTATCTTCGAGATCGTGGAAGATCTGCCCCCGCAGCTCAATATAACCAGCATGGCCATAGCCCCCGCTGTTGCGGAAAAGAGTGAGGTAGCGCGGGGGGTCGTCGGCCGTCGGCGAGTCCCGAAAGCAACTTTGAAGAAGCCCGCCGCGGGCGCCGAATTTTCGTCCAAGCAATGTCGGTGGGTCGCGCGTGGATCGCTGGTGGGTCGCTGGTGGGTCGCGGGTGGGTCGCGGGCGGGGTGCGGGTGATCGCGAATTGATCGGGGGTGAATCGGGGGTGAGTCGCGGGTAGGTCGCGGGTGGCTCGCGGCCAGCTCGCAGGCGAGGAATGCTACCATACAACAGCCAAGATCTTCAGCGCGGAAGCCTATTTCGGGCACGCACCCAGGGATGGTTCAATATTGGTCGGCCCCCTCACTCTGACTTAAGGGCTGGTCGACCTTATCCTCGTCCAGGTCCGAAGAGGAGGAGGAGGAGGAGGAGGAGGAGGAGGAGGAGGAGGAGGAGGAGGAGGAGGAGGAGGAGGAGGAGTGCACGTACTCCAAGAGGAAGAGACGAGGGCAAGCGGGCAATACGCGAGACGAGGGCAAGTTGTCCGCGCGCGTCAGTCCACTGGCCGGCCTACTTCCAGAGCAATACTTTGGCGGCGCGCAATCCTTCAGCTATCGTGGCTGGGGTCGGCGTGGCGTGCTTCAATTTGTTGTACAGGTTGAAGGCCAGCGCAATCCGCTGGATCGACCGCAACAACGAGAGGTCGCTGTCGGGATCAGACTGATAGGCGGCGGCGGGGCCCAGGCCGCAGTGTGTAAGTGCGTTACGGAGCGGGGGAGGGTCGGGGGACCAGAGGAGGCTCAGGAGGCCAGGACAGGAGAGGTAGTGCGGGAACGAGTCGGGTGCAGCCTGGCACCCGAACACGCGCTGCTTCTGCTGGAGGACGTGCATGCGGTGGGTGGTCGTCCAACCCCCAGCGAGCGTTTTGAAAACCGCCCAGCGCCAACTGGGGCGGACTTTGTGGAGTACGTTGGTGAGGGCAGACCATCGCGTCGCGAGCTCTGGGGCACATGGTTGCAGGATGCCCCAGGCTGCGATGCGCTTCTCAGGAGTGACTGTGAACGGCGATGAAAGAGAGGGGCGGCGTAGCTCGAGCGCGACCGCACGTTGCACCTTAGGGCGGCGCGGTGGCTCAGCAGCTGGGGCCTCGCGGAGCTCGCGGGCAGCTGCGCGGTTTGCCGCGGCCACGGCAGCTGCAGACAACGGGGGGGCACACTTCCCGCAAGACAGGGCATGGTAGAACTGCACGATGGAGGTGTCCTCTTCCCAAAAGGGCGGCGACCACTGCCCTGTCTCCAACCGATGGAAGGAGTGAGCCGTGCTCTCCTCCCACGCGGCGTCACGCAGGCGCGCGTGGAATGGTTCCCTTTCCCCGCGCAGCGTGAGCGCAGCAGGACGAATTGCGGCAGCGACAACAGAAATCTGAACAGAACGTGGGACAGGAGGCGGGCGCCACTCCGCCATTGCAATGAAATCAACTTCGCGAAATGAGTTCGGCGGCAGGCTGAGCACGCTGTGAACGATGTAATGTTCACGGCGAACAATCTTCAAGTCAAACGTAAGGAATTGTGAGACACAACTGAGCGTCCAGACGACCGATGTGTTGCACGGGCGAACGGTGGCATCGCTGCCACTCTGGACAAGCTGGAGAGAATTGCCGCGCTGCCACCGTTCCTGCCCAGGGGCGAGCCATTGCGAGACAAGAGAGGCCGAGGGTCCAAGGAAGGTCCCGATGTACTTGGCCCGCCCCGAAACCGAAAAGCCCTCCCAGGAGGGGCAGCAGTCAGCCAGGAAGGATTTCGTTAGACCTGTGGTGGCAGGCGTTGTCTTCGCCCAAAGCGTGGCGACGACGCGCTTGCGCGGCTTGAGCTCGAGGAGCGCGAGCTCCTCCACCGCGCAGAGGGGCTCAGATGCGCGGCGCAGCGCGTCGAACGATGACGCGAGGAGGCCAGTGTCGTCCGCGCGCCCGCCGAGGCAGCCTTTGTCGTAGTCAGGGGGGCCATCGACCGTCTCGACAAACGAAGCGAGGTGGCACAACAGCTGGTCCATCGCGATCGCCCGCGCTGAGCCGCTCGCAGGGCAGCCCTGCGCCACGCCAGACCCGATCGGGAACATGACGTGGCGGATACCGTCGATCTGGAGGAAGCTGTCCGCGGCGTGGCACAGCCGGCGGAAAAGACTGAGCAGACCCTCAGGAACTCCAAAATGCTCCAGGGAAGCGAAGAGCCAGACCCGTCCAAGCGACGGGAACGCCGCAGCGAAGTCGAAGCTGGTGAAGACGGGTCTGTGCAGCTCGGCATCAGGGCGAACCCCTGCGCGGCGCATCTCCGCGTCTAAATTGGCGAGATGCTTGGTAAAGTTGCGGCCGGCGACGAAGCCCTGCTGTGCGTAATGCGTCTGCTCTGCCACGGCGGAGTATTTGCTGAGGAAATTGGCCGCGCCCGCGATGGCTTTGATATCAGTGTTCTTGAGGGGGGGCGGGCGAGTGTCCTCTGGCATGCGGTCCGTAGTGAGCTCGCCCGTGAGGTTGCCGCCCTCAGGGAGGAAAGCGAAGTCGGAGTCATTCAGATCGTGGACCATGTCCGCGTTGAAGCAGAGATGCCAAGCGAGGTCCTTGAGCAAGTCCAAGGGCGCGTCGAGGGCGAGCCAGGCGCGGCGCGGCAAGAGGTCGGGCCCAGAGGCAGACGGAGCAGCGCGCTGCAAGAAGCCGCGGATCTGGGCCTTGGCGGGAGCGTCAACGTTGGTGGGGAAGAGCGGCATGTGAGCTGCGATGCACTGCTTGGCCTTCGCTTCGTCGACCTGCTTGCGCTCGAAGACGGGGCGCAAGTGGTCGCGAAGTGCGCCCGCCATCGCGCGGCTCTCTCTGGCTGCCGACGGAAGGCCCGAAGGGTCGGTGGTTTCGATGCCCTGGGGGGCAAGACGGCGCTTCCAGGGGGCCCGCAGGAGGGCCCAGCGCTGGGGCGCGCGGGTGATCTTTCGGAGCTTCTCTGGCCCGATGGCCCCCGGCGAGCGCCTTGGCAACTGTGCGGCTCTTTGTTCCAGAGAGCGCTGCCGAGCCTCGAAGTCGCTGTGCAGAGCGGAGGACTTCATGGCGAACTCGGCGGCGCCCGACAGCGCGATGATGCCGCTGTCCAGAAGGATGTACTTTGAGCCGAGCTCGGTGGTGGACTGCAGACGGCGCGCCAGATGGTTGTCCTGGCGCCAGATCGCCCGCGAAATCGAGCGTGCCGTGACCACCTGGCCGTCGGAATGGTTTGTTTTGCCGATCTCTCCAGCTGCACGGCTGACCCAATCATCGCGCACAAGACGGGCAGCCTCAACCATGAGACGCTTGTGCGTGCGCCGGCGGTTCGCGATCGGCAGGCGGGTCGCGACGGCGCGGTCGAGCATTTGTTGGAGGTACTTGGCGAACGAGGGGTCGCGATAGCCTGGTCCACTGGCGGTGTCTTAGGCTCGATACCGATGGTGTAAGAGACGACGGCGTGGTCGCTGAGGAGGCGGTCCGAGAGGATGGCAGGGTCGTGGGCAACGCGGATGGCCGGTGCGAGTTCAAGCATGGCGGGCGACGGGATGCTGATGTAGAAAAGGTCGATGGCTGAGGCGGTGAAGTCGGACTTGTTGAACGCGGAGGTAGGTCGGACTCGAGCTCCAGCACGCTGCCAACCAGGGCCCTCCAGAACGGCTGTTGCTGCCGAGCGCTGCTGCCCAGCGTGAGGCGGGCGCGCTGTGGCTGCGGCTGGAAGAAGCTGTTCGGCGGGCGGCTGGCAGTGTTGAAGTCGCCCAGGGCAAGGGGGGGGGGGGAGGTGCGGTGCAGGTAGTTGGTTTCCGCCCACGTGCGGTGTAGGTGCCAGGCACGTTCAAAGCGATCGCGACCCCTGGCGTCGATCTCGTGATTGTGGACGTTCATGATGACGATGGTGTTGCGGGTGATTACGTTAGTGACTGCGACGATCTGGACGCGGCCTTTGACTAGCTCCTCATGGGCGAAGATCGGGAGCTGGGACGGATGCATCTGTTCCAGCTGTGCGTGCGTGAGCCACGGGATGAGGGCGGCCGCGCCCCCCGTGCCCGCGCGCGCGTCATCGGCGGACTCGTCGACGAACTGCGAGAAGAGGAGCGTGTGCGGGCAGGGCTGGCTGTCGACCCGCGCGCGGAGAAGCTTCTCCGAGCCGTGGACCTCTTGCAAGACAATGACGGCGCGCTGGCGCATGTACTGCTGCAGGGCTGCTTGTTGGCGACGGCATTTCGAGCGCTTCTGGGACGTGAGCGCGCGGGCGTTCCAGGTGATGAAAAAAAGCGGGGCAAGTTGTCCTCAACTGGCTTCCACGGAGCCCAAGGGTGGCTAAACCCGCCACGTGGCCTCAGCCGCGTCCGCGAAGAGCGCTTGGAAAGAAGCGAGGACGGCGCTGCGATCGATGTCGCGGAATTAAGTGGGCGAGCTCGAAGGCCTTCTCGTTCCACTCCAGGATGGCGGGGTCGGCTTTGCTCTTGGCGTCCAGGTGCGCGACGGGCGTGGCGCTGCGGTGGATCCCGCCCTTGGTGCGAAATGCTTTCCAGCCTTTTTGCGGATAGCGATGCTGGAGAAGCTGGGGGAGTTTCTTGCACTGGATCTCGGTGCGAATCTGCTTGGGAACTTTATCGGGGTTGAGGTGTATGTCAGTCGGCAAGCCCGTGGTATCTGTTGATCTGAATCGCTTCCACTTCCCTGCGGCGTCGCGATGGGCTCGAAAGAGAACAGGAGCCCGAGGAACTGCGATGGCGCGATCTCCTTTGACTTGGAGAATGAAGCGGCGTGAGGGCTCATCTCCATAAAGCTCGACGGCGTCCGTGTCCAGGCTGGCGGAAGCAATCCACTCCTGCAGGTCGTTGAGGAGCGCGCCGTGCGCGATGAGGCGTTGGGCTCCGATGGTGAAGATCGTCGGGTCGATCGAGCGGTCCCAGTCGGCGAGCCTGGCGAGGTCCGTGATCGGCACCTGCGACTCAGCGAGCGCGAGCGTCCCGCGCATCTGGTCGATATGCTGCCACGTCTTTTGCTGGTCAGCGGCTTGTCTGTCCTGTTCGCGGCGGGCTCTAGCAACAGCAGCATGAAGGGATTCGACTCGGCGTTCGGCGGCTCGAACTTGCTGTGCGAGAAGTTGGCGAAAACTTTCTCTGGAACGATTGAGTAGCTGATTGGCTTGCGCTTGGAAGGTGTTTGCTGCATGTGCGACTTGTGTTTTCATGAATTATTGTAGTGCTTTGTCCAGGTCAGGGTCCAGTCCAGGGAGACGAACGAACTCAAGTGCAGGTGGAGTGGCTTGGTCGGCTTCATCTTGATGCGCGGTGGTGGCTCCGAAGGTGGCGGCTCCTCCAGCGGCTGGAAACTGACTATGGCCGTGTGCTGCTGCGGCAGGAGCATGAGAGGCTGCGCGTCCTTCGCGCCAAGGACCAGCAGCTCCTGCCAATGGATCGGGACGAGGTGCGGCGGCTCGCTGCTGTACACGAGGTTCAGACCAGGCGCCATCTCGGTGTGGTTGAGGAGCAGCGTCGGCAACAGCGCGATCGGGGAACCTGCGGTTCTTCTTCTCCAGTGTTCATGGCAAAAGTGGGCGTCTGCTGCGCCTGGCGGGCTGAGGATCTGCCAGCTCGCGCTGCTTGTCCCGATGCTCTCCCCGATCGAGATCCAGCTGGCTGCGAGGAGAAGCCGTTGTCACCGTATGTGGCCAATGTATTACGGGCGGCGGATGCACGGAGGCCTTTATCTTCGCGTTCATGGGAACCCCGATGTGCGCGATCAGGTTCGGTGACGGTCCTTTCTGCGGCGGCTGGTAGAGGGAGTACTGCGTGATGTGGAACGTTCTTCACTGGAGGACATGGTGTCGACTCGGCGGGCACGTAGTTGTTCTGAACTGCGCCACTTACCAAACTGAATCCGATGCCACTGCGTGGCTGCTCCAGCTGTTGTTGGGGAGCGGGGGCGTCGATTTCAAGCGGAATAAGGGAGCGGGGAACGGCAACAGGGAGCTCAGGCGCGGGGCGCAGGAATGTAGGGATAAGGATACTCGGCACTGGACTCGAGAGAATATGGACGCTCGGCGCGTAGCTCACGAGGCACACTGTGATATGGAAGGCGGCCTGCAAGGCCGGGATGAAACGCAGGAGTGGACGGCAGCTCGTCCCCAGGTGTGGCTGCAAGAAGGTTGGAACTGGCCGCGGACTAGCGGTATCCACGCTGGGCTCGCGATGGCGTGCCATCTTGAGCCAAAATGGCTACGGAGGAGGAGGAGGAGGCTGCTCCTTCGCTGCAATGCTGCAATGCTGGCAGCATGCTGCAAGAGGGACGCGGCTCACACAACAGTCCCTCGTCTGCGCACCCCCATGTCGCAATCCAGAGAGACATGCCTCTCTGGCTCTTGTCCCACTCCCCACCAGCCCACCTCCTCCTCGCCCTCATCCTCCTCCTCATACTCCTCATGCCTCCAAACTCCTCCACCTCCTCCTCCTCCTCCTCTTCTTGCTCCCATCGTCCTTTGTAGACAAAATAAACAGACCCGCTGTTTCTGTGCAGCTCCTCCCTGGCTTGCCAACAGTGGCCCTCGCAGTGCATCGTCAGAGCAAGCAGGGAAACTCCTCAACAGAAGGGTTTGAAAACCAGCGAAGGAGGAGGTACTCAAGGCGGTGGGAGAATATACAGATATACTGCAATGCTCGCGCTTGCGCTGTGTGTCCTCCCCTGGGCCGCAAACGCCACTTTTCATACCCCGCCGGCAAACGATCTCGAGCTTGCCAAACTGGGATGGCGCAACCTCAGGCAGCGGCTCGAATATCTCAACATTGCTCCTCACCTTGAGCGACAACGCATTTCATAAACACAGCATCTTCCGGAGGTCCGCGCAGATGTTTTGGATCGGCGCTGGCGCGCTCCGCGCGCCAAGGAGGGGGGTCCAGCGCCGATCCAAGACATCCGCGCGGCCCTCCGAAAATTGTTGCATATGCCATTCGTTGTTCCTCGGTCACCGCCGCGTAGGTGTCGGTTACATTCTGGCCGTGGGACCGCTGCGGCGGGAAGACCCCGAGGCTAATTGCGGCCTGCACCAAGTTGGTGATCTTCACCTGCTGCGCGCCCGTCTGCGAGGTCGGCAGAAAGAGGCCAACAGGAGAGCAACCGCACGAGCAGGCAGCGCAGCGAGGCAGACGACAGAAGTGAAGCAGAGGCTCAAGAATTCAGATTTCCTCAGCGTCGATCCCAAACATGAGTGCACGAGCCAAATGAGAACCAATGGCAATATCAACAACAACCACGGCGGCAAAGCTAGCAGAGATCTCGTAGCATGCACAGTCACGACCAGGCAAGATACCCTTGTGCTGAAACTCTTGGAGAATGAGCTGGACTGCAGCTTAGTTCATCGTCTGAGCGGGTCTCCCTCCCTCTTCCACCCTCCAGGGGGACAAATACAGGGGGCGATTGGCTCAGGGTGAGCGGCATCAACCTGCAGGCGGCGATGCATCGCCGATAGAGCGCCAGCAGGCCCGGGGTGGCGCTATCAGACCCTTACCGGCGAGTTATGGGCGACAGGGGTCGGTCGTTGCCCCTGACTTCCGCGGCAGCGTCTCCCCCACCCCTCCCCGGTCCGTGCGCAGGCGCAACTTCGCTGCCGCGCAGCCCGCCGTGCCTTTTGACCGCGCGGAGGCCTCGCCGCTGCAATGCGCAGCGTTGCCTGGCACTGGTTGAACTCATCGCTTGGCATTGCTGGGCGTTGCTTGGCATTGCTTTGCGTCGTATCGCTTGCCATTGTTTGACATTGTTTGAAATGGCTCAACGCTGCTTCGCATTGCTTGGAACCGTCGCTTGGCATCAGGCAGCCCCGAGCATCTTCGGGCAACGCCGAGGAACGCCGAGGGCCGCCTCTGACGAAGGGCCCCGCGCCCACCAGTCCCTCTCGCAAACAAGTGACCCCTTAGGCAACGCCTCCCTGGGGAAGAAACGCTCCAGGACCCCGCTCCCCTCGGTACCCCTCTCCTTCACGGCGGGCCCTCGGGCCAGGGGGCACCTCTGGCAGCGCAAGAGCCTGCGGGGGCGTGCCTGCGGCTACACCTCGGAGCGGATAGCCAACGGGAGGGGGGGGGCACTGTGCACGTATATACACCAGGTCACCTGCCCTCGCACAGCGTGCCCCAGGCGCCACGCGCGGTCATCTTCGCGCCCTCGCGCCGCCGCCCTGCAGAAGGCCAGCCCGGCGGCCACGGCCGCGACGCGCGACACGTGGCCATCTGCGCACCCCCGAGGGTGACCCGGATGCTTCCATGGGGCGCAAGTCGTGCAGCACGTATCCGACGAGGTTCCCGGAGGGACGCAGTCCCTCCCCCTCCCCCTCCTGGACAGTCCGCTGAGGGACAACGGGCAACGACACGGGGGGACTGGCCCGGGGGGGAAGCGTCGACCTGTATGGCCGATTGATCGGCAGTCGGCCTTCGATAGCGAGCCCGCGCACTCCTGGGTGGGGCGGTTGGGGGTCGATGCGTTCCCCTCCTCAGCCTATGTCCCCCAAACGCTGCCCCTGATGGGTCACCCCCCCCCCCGGCCGCCGGGCCCTGATGTCACCCGGTAAGCTGTTGTCAATCCTCGCGTCCAAGACAGGGGCGTCCAAGAGGGGGGGGTCGCAAATCATGGCCCGAGGCATGTGCACGGACCAGGGGGGGCCCAGGGAACGCACTCAAATAAGAGGAGGGGCCCTGAAGGCTGGAGCTGGAGATATCATAGACCCCGCCATGATGGCCCCACCTTCCCAGTCATCACACCCCTTTTGGCCGGCCCCGAGATTGGGGAAACCAGAAGGTATCGATACCGCTACTTCCAAGGCCTCTCTCGGGGTGCGTTCTGCCCAGAATTTCGAAGCGGATCCAGCGGTGGCGACGAGGGCCTCCCAGGAGGTTCCAACAAGGGGAAAACGGGGCAAGGGTAGCGGTCTGGGTACTGTGTTCCTCCTCCGACCTCGTGCGCAGCCCCGAAGTCCGAGGCCCCGACCGCTTCCCGGGGGCTTCCCGCCCCCGATCCGCTTCTGATGGCCCCGGGGCCCCAGGACAGGCCCCCGCGGGCCGAGGTCGAGGCAGGAAGCACCGGATGGAAACCTCATTGGACGCCCGAAGTGGGTGCGGAAAAATTGGCACGAGACGCCGAGAACTCGGGCAGGCGTAGGACTCGGGTTCGGGGGGGGCTCGGGTCGGCCCTACGGTGCCGTCAGGAAAAGGATGGGGCCCAGCCTGAACTTTGGCGCGAGCTCCCGATGCAGACATGCCACGGAAACTGGACCATCAGAATTCAGAGACGGGCCCGTCAAGAGGCGTCGGCAAACCCGAGTTCCGGCGAACTCGAGTCTTACGCTTCCCCGCAACAGCAACTGGTGTCCAAAACCGACAGCGGCAGCTGTTGGGCAAGCGGCCTCCTGCCTCAGATGGGCAAGGCCCGCGGCGGCACCGACAGCAAATCCTGCTCAAGCTGAGCAGGAACTGCTGTCGGTCTTCGTGCCTCCTCTTCCCGTACCAATTTCGACCGCACCCAGAAGCAACCGCCTCGTCGAAGATCTGGCGACGTGGCGTGCGTGGGCGGCCGCCCCGCGGCCAGCTCCACGGGCCAGGGAGATCACCCGGGCACGGGCCAACATTTATTCACGAACAGCACGCACTCATAACCCATAGGAGCCCGGGAGGGGGCAGGGCAGGCTCTGGGTGTGGGCGCGGGTCATCGGACCTCGGGTGGGGCGCCCGTCCGAGCGGGGAGCACCGTTCGACAGCACGCGCCCATGGCCCCCTCCCGTCCCCCCGTGTGGGTAAGGGTGCGACTGGCTCGTTCGACGGACACGGATTGCGGAGCCCTGGGTCTGGCGCGGGGGCGCCAGATCCACGGATCGGGGAAAACACCCCTGGAAAAACAAATCCAGTGCCGCCTGGCTTGGCGACGGAGCGCGCCGATCCCGTGTGGAGACGGGACCTGTTGCTGATCTACGCGCCGTAATCCACTGTTGCTCCTCCTGGAGTCTGCGGCCACGTCGCGCTCACTGGCCTCCCGTGCTGCCATGGGCTTTTTCCTGGGCGGCTCCATGATTGCGGCTCCGCGTCGCCGGCCCAGCGGCGCCACTGCAGACATCCAGCGTCTTGAAAGGCGGGGGCGGATGCTGCGAAGCGGAGGTTTGTTCATTACTGCTGCCTGAAGGGGAAATATTAAAGGATTTCGGCAGGCAGCGAATATGGATATGTTTGCCCCCCTGGGACCACGTGGATCTATACATTTATATATATATATATATATATACATATATATAAATATATATACACACAAACAACATGCATCCACCTGTATGTAGCTAAAGACTTGTAGATCATCGTGACTTCAGCAATAAAAATAAAGAGCCCCAAGGATCATACAGTCGAACATGTTGAGGGACCTGAGACATACTGAAATTCCCGCAAAAACAACTTCCAATCCTGGGTTGTGTCGCGTGGGCTTTTGAAGCACTTTGCTTGCCTAACACTTCCCCTGGGACCCCCAAGGAGTGTCCCAACAAGTGGCACGCGTGCCATGGCTCTTGCACAGCAAAGAACCAGGAGGGCCCGAAGAGGCCAAAATCAGTGATTTTCCGTAGCTTTTCAACGGTTTTTCGTATTTGCTCCTTTTCGGCTTTCCGACGACCCAAGACGGCCCAAGATGCCCCCAAGATCGCCCCCACAGCGCCAAAGAGGCCCCCAAGACGGCCCCAAGAGGGCACAAAGACGACCCAAGAGGCCTCCAAGACGCCTCTAAGACGGAACTGGAGCACCCCAAGAGGACCCCAAGTCGGCCGAGAGAGGCCCCCCAAACGGCTTCCGACGGCGTCAGACGGGTCCGGAGCCCACCAAGATGGCCGAAGTTGGCTCGAAGCTGGCCCAAGACGGCCCAAGAGGCCTCCAGGAGGGCCTCCAGGAAGGCCAGAAAAGGCCAAAAACACTGTCTGTCCTTAGGTCTTTGAAGGATCTTGACACTTGCTTCTTTTGGGCCTTCCGACTGCCCGAGACGGCCCAAGAGCCCCCAAGGATCACCCAAATATCGCCCAAGAGGCATCCAAGATGGCCCTAGAACGGCCCAAGAGGCCCCCAAGACGGCCCCAAGAGGCCCCCAAGACGGCCCAGGAGGTTTTTAAGATGCTCAAGAAAGCCTCCAAGACGGCCCTAGAGCATTTCAAGAGGGCCCCAAGTCGGTTCAGAGAGGCCCCCTCCAAACAGCTTCCGACGGCGTCGGACGGGCCAGGAGCCAACCAAAACGGCCAACGATGGCCCTAAGATGGCCCAAGACGGCCCAAGAGGCCTCCAAGAGGGCCGAAGGCCCGAAAAGGCCCAAATCATTGATTCCCCATGAGTTTTTGAAGGATTGTGGCATTTGCTTTTTTACAGTCTTCCGACGGCCCGAGACTGCCCAACTGTCCCCAAAGATCGCCCAAGAGGCCTAAGAAGGCCCCAAGTGGCTCCCAAGACGGCCGAAGAGGCCTCCAAGACGCTCAAGATGGCCTCCAAGACGGTCCAAGAAGGCCAGAAATTGTCAAAATGGCCTCCAGGCGGCCAAGATGACCTACAAGATGCCCACGTGTTCCCCGAAGGCTTTCCAAACCACTTCGGGGAACACATGGTCCGATAGCTTGGCAGGTCTGGCCTCAACGTTCGGCCACATAGCCGCTTCCAAAAAGGCAGGGGGCGGCGGTGATTCGCCGTAGGCGTCTTCGATCCGCCGCCCCCTGTGATTCATCGCAGGGGTGCCTGGCGTGCTAGACGATTTCGGTTTTGGTTTTTGGTTCTTTACCAGAGGAACTTCCCCTGGGGCTTCGGCCCGTCCCGCCGGGGTCCTGGGAGGATTGCCCAGAGGTGGTTGCAAAGGTTTGTTCTCTCCAGACGGCTCCAAGACGGCCCAAGATGGCCTCCAAGATGCATCCAAGACGGCCGAGATGCCCTCCAAGACGGCTAAGATGGCCCCAAGATGCCTCCAAGACGGCCCAAGATGCACCCAAGACGGTCTCAGATAGCCTCAAGATGGTTCAAGACGGCCCAAGAGGCCCCCAAGAGCCCCCCAAGACGCCTCCAAGACGTCCTCCAGGAAGGCCCGAGGAGGCCAAAATCAGTGGTTGTCCTTTGGTTTTTAAAGGATGTTCGCATTTGCTTCTTCTCGGCATTCTGACTGCTGAGGACGGCCCAAGGGGCCCCCAAGATCGCCCCAAGATCGCCCACGAGGTCTCCAAGATGGCCCCATGACGGCCACATGAGGCTCCCAAGAAGGCCCCAAAAGGGCCCCAAGACGGCCCAAGAGGCCTCCAAGGCGCCCAAGATGGCCTCCAACACGGCTAAGATAGCCCCAAGATGCATCCAAAACGGCCCAAGATGCACCCAAAACTGCCTCAAATGGCCTCCAGATGGCCTCAGGCGGCCCAAGAGGCCCCCAAGAGGCCTCCAAGAGGCCTCCAAGAGGTCCTCCAGGAGGGCCCGAAGAGGCCAAAATGATTGATTTCCCGTAGGTGTTTGAAGGATGTTGGCGTTTGCTTCTTTTAAGCATTCCGACGGCTCAAGACGGCCCAAGCGGCCCCCAAGATCGCCCACGAGGCCTCCAGGATGGCCCCATGACGGCCCAAGAGGCCCCCAAGACGGCCCCAAGAGGGCCCAAGAGGCATCCAAAACAGCCAAACTGGCATCTAAGACGGGTAAGATGGCCTCAAGATGCATCCAAGACGGCTCAAGATGCACCCAAGACGGCCTACAATGGCCTCAAGATGACCCAACGCGGCCCAATAGGCCCCCAAGAGGCCTCCAAGACGGCCCTGAAAGCGTCCAGGAGGTCCTCCAGGAGGGCCCGAAGAGGCCAAAATCATTGATCTTCCGATGGTTTTTGAAAGATTTTGGCGTGTGCTTCGTCTCTGCATTCCGACGGCTCAAGACGGCGCAAGAGGCCCCCATGATCGCCCAAGAGGCCTCCAAGATGGCCCCTATGACGGCCCAGAAGGCCCCCGAAAAGGTCCCAAAAGGGCCCCAAGACGGCCCAAGAGGCCTCCAAGGCGCCCAAGATGGCCTCTAAGAACCCCTGATGTGCCCCAAGAGGGCCCCAAGACGACCCAGACAGGCCCCCAAGACGGCTTCCAACGGCGTCAGACAAGCCAGGAACGCCGTCAGACGGCCAAATATGCCCCAAGACGCCCCCAAAGGCCCCCAAAAACCATCCAAGAGGCCCCCAGGAAGCTCCCAGGAGGCCCCAAGAGTGCCCTAAGAGGCGCCCAAGAGGCCTCCTCCTCCTCCTCCTCCTCCTCCTCCTCCTCATCCTCCTCCTCCTTCTCATTATGTTTTCCTCATCCTCCCCCTCCTCCTCTTCTTGCTCCCCCATACGTTCCCCGAAGTCTTTCCAAACCGACTCGGGGAACAACTGGCCCGATAGCTTGGCCAAGCTCTGGCCCAGCTGTCGGCCACAGAGGCACTTTCAAAGGGGCAGGGGGGCGGCGGTGATTCGCCGTAGGCGTCTTCGATAACGCCAACGTCTGAATATGCGCTGATGATTCCTATCCGCCCCCGTATGGTGTTCCCAGATGCACCAAGGCAGCGCAAGGACGCACCGACGCGACTCCCAAATATCCCATTATGCTAGAGAGGGGGCCGGCGGCAAGGGGCGAAACCTTTACAGATAAAGTTGCAGTAACCTTTTTCTTTTGGTGTTCTCTCGCTTTCTTTTTTCTCTGTATATGGTTTCTCTCTCTCTCTCTCTCTCTATATATATATATATATATGTATCAATATGTATACATATTTATGATGTATACATGTCTGACGTTCGCTGTTAGCTTGCAACACGGGTGCACAACGTGCTAAACCTCAAGGTGGGCTGGTCCTTCTCAACAAGTCCCAATGGAATCTCGGCCTGACGCGCCCGTGTCCCACACGACTGGAAGTCTGAACAGCGTCCGCAGCCAAGGAGGACAAGATGACCCATGGTGGCCTCCAAGTTCGCCCAAGACGGCCCTAAAGGAGCCCACTATAGCTCTAGGATGTTTCCAAGACGGCCCAAAACGCCCCAAAGACGGCCCAATATGGCATCAAGATGGCCCATGACGCCTCCAAGCCACCCCAAAAGGCTCCAAGAGGACCTCCAGGCAGCCCCTAATATGCCCAAATCGTTGATTTCCCTGAGGTGTCGGATCGATGTTGGCACTCGCTCATTTTTTGCTTTCCAACAACAGAAAGCAGCCCAAGAGGCCACCAGGTGGCCCCAAGAGCGCCCAAGGGGTCTCTAAGATGACCTCCGTGACGGCCCAACAGGCCCCCAAGACGGCCCCAAGAAGACCCCAAACCTCCGAGACGGTCCCCAAATCGACCCGATAGAGGTCCGCAAGGCGGCTTCGAACAGGCCATGCACGCCCAATGCGAGCACAACGCCCGCCCCCGAGAGGCTCAAGGAGGCCTCCAAGGTGCCTCCAGAAGGCCTCAAGAGGCGTCCAGGAGGCCCCAACAGTGCCCCAAAAAGCTCCCAAGAGGCCTCCTTCGCCTCCTCCTCCTCCTCCTCCTTCTCCTTTTTCCTCCCTCTCCACCTCTTTCCCTTCCTCCCCGACTGCGTGCCACAATAGTTCCCCGCAACTGCTAGGGGGGGCCACAGTCCGATAGCGTGGCCGAGACCTGACCACAACATTCGGCCACACAGGCGATTCCAGAAAAAATCGGGCCGCAGAAATTCTCTGTAGTTGTTCGCGTGTACTCTCTCTCTCTCTCCCTCTCTCTCTATATCTTTACACATACTTGTATAGATGTTTGTAGCTGTATCTACACATACTCACATGTAAGCACATATGCATATACACGTATGTATGTATGTGTGTATGTATGTATGTATGTATGTATGTATGTATGTATGTATGTATGTATGTATGTATGCATGTATGTATGTATGTAGGTATGTATGTATGTATGTGTGTATGTATGTATATATGTATGTATGTATGTATGTGTGTATGCATGTATGTGTGTATGTATGTATGCGTGTATGTATGTATGTATGTATGTATGTATGTAGGTATGTAGGTATGTAGGTATGTATGTATGTATGTATGTATGTATGTATGTATGTATGTATATATGTATATATGTATGTATGTATGTATGTATGTATGTATGTGTGTATGTATGCATGTATGTATGCATGTATGTATGTATGCATGCATGTATGTATGTATGTATGCATGCATGTATGTATGTATGCATGTATGTATGTATGTGTGTGTATGTATGTATGTATGCATGTATGTATGTATGTGCGTATGTATGTATGTATGTATGTATGTATGGATGCATGTCTGTATGTGTGTATTTGTGTGTATGTATGTATGTATGTACGCATGCACGCATGCATGCATGCATGCATGCATGCATGCATGCATGCATGTACCTATGTATATACACACATATATGTATATATGTACTCTCCTGTGTACGATGTATAGGAGTGTGAGTATACACATGTGCATAGTTATACCAGATAACCATGTCAGATCCACATCAGCATCCACCGCCTGCCGGGAGCCCGAATCTCGATCCCCCAGGCGGCAGTGATGTACACATTCCCGCCAAGGAGAAGTGTCCCTGGCCCAAGGGTGTCCGCAGGATTTCCAGGGCGGCCCAAATGCTCGACATGCATGACAAGGGTCTTTAGGGACACATGTTGTTGGCAACTTCTGGCCTCCAGGGGCACTCACTCGCTGATCCGACGTTTCGAAACAGTGAGGCATCGTAAAAATGACGACTGGGACCCTAAACCTTATCATTCTGCAGCTTTCGCGCTGGATCGATCTGTGAAGGTCCCTGGGCCCGAAACCGGGCGAAAACGCCCGGTTCGAACAAACTGAGACGCCAAGATCTCAGGGCCCCGCGGGCCCCGCACAGACAAGCAAACGGGACACCGGATGCCTGGGCTCGGAGCGGACGCCGGCAGGGCACGGCGCCTCCCCGCAAAGGGCGCCTTGGAAGGAAGCCGCCTTCCGCCCAACTATTTTTGTACGACACAGGGGCCCCGACCTCTCTTGGGCGTCGCTGAATGGGGGGCGATGGCTGGGGGGGAAGGCGTACACCTTTCGCGATCCTTTTGGGCCTCAGGGAGCCCTTTTTAGGGCCCTTCAAGGCACGAAGGTGCACCTTTCCTCACTCCCTCATTTATCGCCCCCCCAAGACGCAACGCCCGACTCCCGACAACTTCCCCGGGTCCAATCTTTCGTCCCGAACCGTTTTTGTTGACAATGTCGGGCCCAGAACTGGCCTTCGAGACGCCGGATTTCTGGGACTATCTGCCACCACGGCGCCGCCTCGCGCCCTGTGCGGCCCCAGTCGCCGCCACAGGGGGGGCTTCGGCGCTGCGGAGTGGACGTGCTGGTGCCAGATGGATGCGGCTTCGCCGCAGCTGGCCTGTCTGCAGAGCGGCATCTCTTCGGCCTCGCAGAGGCGGCCTCTCACGTCGCACGAGACCGGGCGCCCTTGGAACCGTCTGGGTTCTTGTTGGCATTCCTCGTGGTGCGCGCCGTGGACGCTCCCTTGCGGGCAGAAGGCTCGTTAACCGCGTCAGCCTTCTTTGCCTTCTTTTTCATCCGCTCTCGCTTTCTTCGGCGCCTGGCGGCAGCCTGGTCATCCTCTGAGTCTGAGACATCGTCAGAGTTACCATCGTCGGGAAAGAGCTGTTGGAGCTCCTTACAAATCTGCATCACCTTGGTCTGGTCAGGGTCGCAAAAATCCAAGATGGCGTCGCAGACCATGCAACCGATTTCCTCAAGGTGCCGCATGGTGAAATGCTGGTCAGCCAGGGGGCCAAAGTCGGCTCCACAAAAGGACCCCTCCAAAGTGAAAGAATTGACTACCGAAAACTCTCGGTATGCCACCACACGGGCAGAGGACTCCTTACACCTTTGGATCTTGAAGCAGCAGTCGTCAAAGTTGAAGCAGCGTGACCCTTTGCATAACAGTGCTGGGAAAATCTTCTCACTAATCCCGGTGTTATCACAATTCCCATACAAGAACACGTTCTTCTTTCGGGAATGACCGTGGATATCGATGTAGAGAACTACATCACGATCCTCCAACAGCTGACGGAACATACTCTTCGCAAAAAAAATCGTTGGGTGTAATCTCCGGCACGGATCACCCCATAAACGGTTCAAGTCCTGGCCAGCTAATGAACAACGGTAGTTACCAACAACCACACCGTCAGGATTAAGCATCGGAATTATCTTGAATACGAAATTGTCCCGCAAGATCCGGGCATCCAAGGACGCGCCTGTTAAGTAATCAAGAATGCCTTTCATAATCCATGACGCATTGGATTCCCCCGGATGCACTCTGGCTGTGATTACCACTGCTCGACGTGATCGAAGAGCAGACGCGGGAGATGAGAAAGACGTCACTGTGATCCGCCACCATGCCCGCCGGCACGCTGAGGCGCAGTAGGCTGCCAGGTGTTGTCTGGTAGGGTGTCAGTAATCTGCTGGAGGCTCTCCTGACACTGTCCTGCGCGCGCGGGCCTTCTCTCCCTAAGCTCCCTTGGCGGCCCGACGCCTCCCTGGAATGTCCAAGGCACTCTGGAACTTCCAAAACGACCTACGAAGGCCAGCGAAGCCGCCACTATGGCTCAACATTGCCTCAAGGCGCACTCAACAGGCCCTCGTAGCCACCCAATGACCAATGCGGTTCCAAGGAACCCCAATGCAACTCCAGAGCGCCAGGGGGCCCTACAGAGGCAAACGACAAGGTTTGTTTGAACAGGTCTTCCACTGTTTTTCGATTTCCGCGCTCTTCGGTCAATGATCGGTCCACTTGCAACCTTCCAGGGTCCAAATCAGCCCACCGAGAGCCCCCAACGCCCAGAGCAGCTCCAAGAGAGCCCCAAGCTCCAAGAGAGCCCCAAGCTGGCCGAAGAGGGCCTCCCGAGTGACCCGAGACTGCCTAACAAGGCCTGCAGTGTCAGCTTGTGGTTAACAAATCAGTTGGGGGCGCGCGTTTTAAAAACTCGTTCCTTTGCTCGGGTGAATCGCGGGGTGGCGCCCGCCAGATTGAAAATCAACGGCGGCGGCGGTGGTGATTAGCGCCGACGCCCAGCCGCCAGCGGGAAGGCGACAGACAGCACAGACTGGGGGAGCGGAGGGGGGCGGGAGGCAAAGGCGGCAGAAGCAAGGACCGTGAGCCAAGGCGACACCTGCTCGAAATAAAGAAGAGCTGCTGTCGGTGCTCGCCCCCGCACTTACCGTGTTCTTTTCAATCGAACCGATGTACTTCCTCTGCCTTGGCCGCAGCAGGGGGCGGCGCCAGCTGCCTCGCGGGCCCGTGAGCAAGGCGGGCTGGATGAAAGGGGGGCGTGGCCAAGCGGGGATTTGCCCAGCAGCTCACATGGCTGATTTTCCGAACGCCCCCTGGCGCCGAAAGCGGCCATGCATGGAGGACTGGCCCCTCGGCGGGGCGACCGAAACCAGCTGCGCGCAGCAGGTTTTGCACCCCCCCCATTTTTTTCCCTAGCCTGGCATGCGACCCGAACAAGGCGGGCAGTCCTCCTCCCCCCTCTGTCGTGGTCTCTGTAGCCGAAGACCACGACGACAACGACGACGACGACGACGACGACGAAAACGAGGACGAGGACGAGGACGAGGATAATGAGGACGAGGACCATGACGAGGACGACGGACGGCGGACGGCAGACGGCGACGACGGCGACGCACTGCGGATGCCCTGCCCTATTGGGGGGGGCTGCGCAGGCCCGCTGTAGTCGACGACGACGACGACGACAACGACGACGACGACGACACGACGACGACGACGACGAGGACGAAGAAGACGACGAAGACGACGACGACGATGACGACGACGACGACGACGGCGACGGCGGCAACGACGACGACGCGACGACGACGACGACGCACTGCGGATGCCCTATGGGGGTGGCTGCGCAGGCGCTGTACTCGACGACGACGGCGAAAACGAAGACGACCGACGAAGACGACGAAGACGTCGACGACCAACGACTACGACAAGGACGACGAAGAAGCCGACGACGACGACGACGACGACGACGGCGACGGCGGCGGCGGCGACGACAACGACGACGACGACGCCTGAGAGGGGAAAACAATTCGCCTCGGATGTGTACGACCCCTACAACAACTTCTACACGAAAGGTAATTGTTTTGAGGCTGTCATGCAAGGGGGTACACGATCCCCTCGGCGGCGCCAGCGATGACCCCCTGACGCGCGTGATTTAAAGAAAGGTTTCGTGCCCCGCGGGGTCTATTCATCAGCCCCGAGGGGGGGGGGAGCTGGCCATTTGTTAATCACAAGCCGGCATCCGGCGGTTCAAGAATGCCACAAGACGGCCCCACGATGGCATCAAGGTATCCCCCCAGACGGCCAAGAAAGCCCCAAAGGGGGTCAATAGGACCTCAAGATGGCCCAAGGGGATCCCAAGGAACCGCAAGACTGCCCCAGCCCAAGACAGCCCCAAGATGGCCCAAACAGCCCCCATGCCGAGAGCTCTTCAAGGAGCGGATACGAGAGGTACCACATGCGACGGCCTTCTGGGCGGTGGCCAAAGGGTCGCCACGTAGAGTGCTTCGCTGGCGCGGTGGCGGCTTTGCCGCAGGCACCCGGATAAGATCGCACGCGTTTCCTGCGAGAGTGTCACAGAGCTTGCGCCGCCGAAAACGTCTTGCAATGTTTGGATCCGCTTCCAAGGCCTGCAAATCCTTCTGCAGGTCAGTGTACGTGTACGGGTAGCAGTGGGACAAAAACACAGTGTCGTAGTCGTTCGTGCACTGCATGGTGAACGTCAGCGTGTAATAATTCGTACCGCCCTTGTCTCTGCGCCGGATGCCATTCTGATAGTACGCAATGTTCTCTCCATGCCTTACCCAGCCGATGCCGCCGCGCTGCGCGTCCAGCATGGAATACATCAATGGCCGCATGCCCTCATTGTAAACAGACGTGGGCTTCACCATGTTGATGATGTTGAAACGATAGACCTGGCCTTGCCGCGTGTTCTGCACGCGGAAATGGTACCTGGAGGAACCGAACGATGCCGACACCAATGCTCCCCGGACCTCTGCTGGGGTGCGTTCTACCCAGGCTTTCGAGGCCAACCCAGCCATAACGACGAGAAGTGGGTGGCGGTATCCGTATCGCTCCTCCTCCTCGGAGTACCACTGCGTATGAGACTTTGTGTTGTAGTCAGGGTTGAGGATCAAGTCGTACTCGTAATCGTACACCTGCACCGCCCGACGCAGGTTCCCGCTCTCGAACCGGCTCTCGAACACGAGAGTGTGGTCGTCAGCACCCGCAGGGGTGTAGTAGGCAGGCAAATCCTCCTTGTACACGGTTCCCGGGCTCAGCGCGGGCTCCGCCTGGGCGGTGTCCACGCCAGCGGTGTCGGGCTGCTCCACGCTGTCGAACACGGTGAGATTCTTCACCAGCTCGGGCTTGGAGATGCGGTCCGCCTCCTGCCTGACGATGTCGTCAAACAGCGCCTCGGGAGCGTGGTAGATCGGCTCTGGCTGCTGTGGCACCGTCCTGAGAAACGAGGGGGGCCTCACCAGCATGGGCATGGAGATGCCTGCAGAAGAAAGAAGAGGGGCGCAAGCATCCACTTTCGGAGCTCCGCGCGGAGTTGCGAAAACTTACCAGTGAGCTGGAAGCACACGCGGCTGGATTAGCGTGTAGAACATTTGGAGGCCACTTGCTGGATACACGTGTGGAGGACCACCGTACCTGGCCACAGAAGGGCTGAGCGCTGAAAAGGCATCTGGCCACATGCGCATCCAACTCTCGCCCAGGCCAGCCTCGTCATGTGTATCCTGACGTCCGCCGGTATGATTTGTTTGAATCAGCGGCCGAAGAGGCCCCGACCACTTTCTGTTCTTGTTGCTGTTCCTCCCGGGCCCATTCTTGATGGTCCCAGGGCCCGATAGCGGATTGCGGGCCCCAGAGGGCAAAATCGAGGGAGGAGAACGGGGGACAACCCCTAAACTCCAATGGTTCTGCCACAATTCTGCTGCGCTTGATGTAGGCGCCAGCCGGGGCGGACAACCCCCACCCTCCCTGGACTTACAGACGCTGGTAGATCTATTTGTATGTTTCGTCTTCGACACACGGTCCTCGCCGTGACAAATGGGCTCCCTTCCTGGCGCATGTAGTCACACGTCTCCAGCTCTCGCCCAGGCTGGCCGCGTCATGTGTATCCAGCCTCCTGCGCATTGGGGAAATCACCGATACTGCCACTCCCAGAACCTCTCCCGGGGTGCGTCCCGACTCGCTTTTCGAAGCGAGTCCAGCCGTGGCGACGAGGGCCTCCCAGGAAGCCCCAAACAGGCTAAAGGCTACAACGAGGCATGGGTTACGGTATCTGTACCTGTTCCTTCGTTGAGTCCCGCTGGCTCGGCGAAAGCAAAGCTCTTCCTCCTCCGATGTATGTGGACGCCCGAAGTGGGTACGGTGGGTACGATGCCCGACAACACATGATGCGCGAAACCTACAACGGCCGCTGTCGGGCAGGCGACTTTGTACCCCAAGTGAATAACAAGCGCTGCGACGCCGACAGCGAAGCCTGTTCAGATTGAACAAATCTGGTGTCGGGCTTTGTACCCATTTCCCGTACTCATTCCTACCGTCCCGAACGTTTATGCGCTGTTTCTGTTCCTCTTCGAGCCTGTCTGTGGGGGCAGGTTCGCCTCGGGATACGAGGAGCCCGCTGGCGCCGGGTCAGCAGGTGCAGTCGCGCCTGCCACAGGCGGGGCCTCGTCTGCCTCCACGCCCGCGAGAGAGCGGGTCAGCGCCACGTCCTCGTCGGCGAGCTGGCCCGCCTCGGCCAGCAGCTCCTCCAGAGAAACAATACTCAGGCGACCACATGTGAGCAGTACCCCTGCAGGTCAAAGTCGCAGCCAAATGGACCCCAGTGGTGGTGTCCGATACCACAGCGTCGGTTGGACCCGCAGGGGTAGGGTCCCGATGTGGCTCCCCCAAAACACAACGTAAACATAAACTTCCAGAGGTCCGCGCGGATTTCTTGGATCGGCGCTTGATCACCCCCTCCCTTGCGCGCCTCCAGCGCGCAAGGGGCGGTGCCAGAGGCGCCGCCAGGGCCCCGCGCTGGAGCTCCGAAAATGGATGCTTATGCAGACACTTATTCTTCTTCTATCCTCGTCTGAGTGTTCACTGTCGCCTTGCGGGTCGGACGAGAACGGGGATAACAAAGGGATGGTTAGAAACATCAGCTCACGTTTAAGTCGCTGATTATCCCTGCGACTCCCGGCGCCAGGAGGCGCCCATGTCAACGTCAAGGATAAACACCCGGCGGCGGGGCCGAAACCAGCTGCATGTTTTTGTGTTTCCGCCATAACGTTACCGAAGCCTCAGCCCATTCCCCAAGGCATGCTTTTCATCCTGACTCGTTTTTGATGGTCCAGGGCCCGACTTGGTCCCCCTAGAGGGCGAGAGTGATAAAAAGCACGCCGCCGTTTTCTCCTAGACATTGGATGTCTGTGGGGGATGTGGGGGAACGAAAAGGTACCAACACCGTGGACCTCTCCGGGGGTGCGTTCTGACAAGAACTTCGCCGAGAACTTCTGACTACAAAGGCTCTCGAGCAACGGTATTGGTACCTTGTCCTCCTCGGAATCTGACCCTGTTCGTCCACGCCGAACCTTCCCACTCGTCGTCGTCGTCGTCCACGTCGGGGGAGATCTCAGGGTCCGACCGCCCTCCAGCGGACCTCTCCGCGCTGGAGTTGCCGTCCTGGGAGCCGCGGTCCGCGGCCGCGGGGCCCACCAGGGGCAGCCTGCAGAGGAACAAACGGAGGAGAAGGAGGAAGAGGAGTGAGGAGGAGGAGGAAGAGGAGGAGGAGGAGGAGGAGGAGGAGGAGGAGGAGGAGGAGGAGGAGGAGGAGGAGGAGGAGGAGTGAGGAACGCGGGGCGATGTCTCTCCAAAGCGAAGATTCAACACCACAGGATGGTTGGGAAAAAGACGCAAAAATATCGGGGTACTTTGGCTGTCTGGGAGGTCTCCCGCTATACGTAAGAGTGACCCTGGGCTCCGAGCGTGCCGGCCCGTGCTGGGGGGATGGGAACCCGCGCCAAAGGTCACCCTGGCGAAGGGCCACACTTTCTACGTGCAGTCGCCCCTGAGATTCGAAATCTCGAACGAATTGCAACATCGTGAGAACCACGGCTGGAGCTCTTCCTGCGCCCTGCTTCGAGCCAGATCCACCCGTGCGGGCCCCTGAGCCCGAAGCACTGGGCGACGAGGCCGGGCGACCCCGCCCGGCTCGGAAGCACTGACAAACGCCAGGCTCTCCAAGCGCGTGCCGCCGAGGCCCGCGCCCCTTCCCTGACCTTCCAGGAGGGCTAAAAAATAGCACCCGACCTAAAAACCTATCCTAGAGCTATTCTACGTCTTGGTTTTAGGCAGTTTCGCTCAGTCTTTTAGGTTTTTGGGTCTCCAGTGCTAAAAAATAGCTCTCTGGAAGGTCAGGGCCTTCGGGCCCTGCCTGGGACTCGGCGGGCCCTCCGGCGGCGGCGCGGGGCCGCTGCCCGAGGCGCCCCCCGCGGCAGCGCCCGGGCTGCGGCCCGCCGCCCGGCCGCTGCTCGGCCGGGCGGCGGGCGCGCCGCCGCCGCCGGGCGCCTCCGCGGGCTGCGGCGCGCCGCCCGCGGCCCCCGGCGCGTCCCGCGGCGCGCCCTCGGACTGCGGGCGGCGCGGCTCGGCGGCCATGGGTCAGAGGAAGGAGGCCCGGAGGTGCTGGCTCTCAAGCTTCTCGCGTCGGGCCTGTGGCCGCCCAGGGTCGGGCCCCGTGGGGCCCTCGCGGAGCGGTGCAGCTCGAGGAGCCGCGCAGGGAGACACGGTCCAGGGCTCCGGTCGTGATTCTTACCATGTCTCTCGGTTTGCTCACGCCGTCGGCCGTCGGAGCTCATGAGGGAGTGATCACCCATGCCGCCGCTCGTCGTGGAGAACCCTCGTCGCCACGGTCGGATTCTCCGCGATGCTCTGGTCAGAGAGCCTCCCGGGAGAAGCCAAGGGAGTGGCGGTACCGGTACCCTTCCCTGGCTCCGACGTCTCGAAGCAAGTGAGCAACCGTGCATAGTTATTACTGGTGCCTCAGACCCAACTTTCCCGCGCCATTTTCCGAGCCACATCGATCATTGAGGGCCCCACAATACCCGAATCTGGGCGAACACGCCCGGCCCGAAAATCTTGAGACGCCAGGATCTCAGGGTGTTTTGCTTCGACTGGGAGATCGACTGCGAAATCGATTAACCCAAAAATAAATTCTCCAGCCGGATATACAATGTTGGAACATTCGACGAGCAACATGCCAATCCTGGGGTACATCTATTTTGCAATTTTACATGAAAAACGAATCCTGAGGGAAACGGGTCCTGGACCCCAGGATCCCTAGGGCCAGCTTTTCACCGCCGCTTCCTGCGAATTTCAAAACGGCGAAAACCAACAGGACTCGTCTCCATCAGGACCCGCTCCCATGGATTGTCTTCCAGTCGATGGTGCCCTACAGACGGACAAACATCCAAGCGCATGGACCTGTCCTGGACGGGCAGACCTCGGCGGTGGCAGAACGCGGCAGACCCGCGAACAGAGAGGACGGAACGCAGGCAGCTACGGCAAGCACGCGGCCGCTCCCCCCCCCATGGCGACGATCTCCCACTCGAGTGATGCCTCCCGCGGCCCCGGGGCCGCGCGCGCGTGCCGGCTCAGTCGCGGGCGGCCATCACTGGCGGGCCGCCGCGCTCCGTCGGCCCGCGGGCGAGCTCTTGAGCAGGGGGGCCCCGCGGCTGCTCGAGCGGCCGGGCGAGGCCGGCAGCGGCTGTCAGCCTGGGGCAGCATGGCTCGAGCCCGGGCGACCGACGGCAAGAAACGGCTCTTCCCTGAGATCCTGGCGCCTCGATTTTTTCGAACCCGGCGTTTTTCGTTCGGTTTCGGGCCCCCCGCGCCTGCGGAGGCACCCTGTGGTCCTGGCGCTGGCGTCTCGACTGTTCCGAACTCGGCTTCACCCCGTTTCGAGCCCCGCGGGGCCCTCACAGATGGCTCGAGAAGTGGCCCAGAAAGATGGGGTTCGGGCTTCCGGCCGTAACTTTTCACGATTGCTAGTGCCTTTCGATACGTCGGATCTCAGGGGGCCATCGCATTGAAAAGAGAAGGGCGTTTTTTCCTCGTCGGTCTCGATATTTGGGGGCCCTCGCCGGGCCTCGGATCACAAAGAAACGGGTGGGGATGACAAGCCGGCCGTGTTGAAAGGCCTGGGTTTTCTGGCCCCCCCGCCCTGAAACAATCAAGACGCCGGATGCCGCGTGCCTGGGAGGCATGGGAGAGGCGAGAATCAGAGAGGTGTGTACAGTCGTTTGTTCCTCTCTCCCACCCCCCCGCGACAATGCAGCACGAAAAAGGAAGCGTGAAGTCCCTGAGCTTGCCACTGGAAACATGCAGGCGAAGATGCGAGAAGCGTGAAACAGGCCGAGGAGGGAGGCGGCCAGACGAAGAGGAGGGCGGAGTGGGGGAGGACACCGCAACTTGTCACCGCTGACCCTTTGGCCGCGCGAGGCGGCTACTGGAACACGGCGGTGGGGCGGAAATGCGTGCAGTTATTCGTCCTGGGACATGTCCTCCTCCTCCTCCTTCTCCTCCTCCCCCTTCTCATCCTCATCCCGCTATTCCTGCTCTTGCCCCTGCCCCTCGCAGGAGGATGAGCATGGCCAGGTCGGGACGTTCACAGTACGACTCCCGCAACTCCAAGGAATGATCATGCGGCGAAAGCCCAGAGCAGCACTCGTGGCCTTCCCGTTGGCCACTTTCGTGAGCATATAGATCTTCTCGACGAAAGGGTCCAACTGTGGCAGCACCTGTCCCCCTGGCACCCGAATCTCACTCAAACACACGCACACGAGCATACGAACGCAAAGGCCTACATGCAGACAAACAGGTCGCACCCTTGCTTGCGGCAGAAGGCCATCAACAACTTCACACAAGTCACAATGGGGGACCACGATGGGACACCGACTTCGGGAGCCGGGCATTCCTCACTCGGCGTTAGAAGACTAATTTAGAACCCTTGCAGACAAGCTGTTTAGGGAACTGTCCTGTCGGCGGGGCTAGGCCGCAGTCTAACGCGGCAGAGCACACAAGCAAGCAAACACGCATGCGGTCGGGAATTTTTGCTTAGCGTGTCACGGCGGCGGCCCGGTCGACACGCTATGCCCTGCGAGCTGGTAGCGTGTCGCTCCGTGCCGTGGGGCGGGAGGCTCGGAAGAAGCTTGCGACGTTGACGCTTGGGGACCAGGACGTGCACAGCGTGCCGCGCCGCAGCGTGGTGGGCCACAACGGTGGAGCGACACGATGCACAAACGTTCCATACCAGATATCTACCAAATCACAGACGCGCACACACACACAAACATACCGACAAAACACGAACACCATCTCTTCAGGGCCGCGACGAAGCATCGGTCGGTCATCGGCAAGCCGACCACCTCGTCGCACACCCAAACACATTCACACACATCCACATAACTACTTTCACATAGTACGCACGTGCACTACCACACACACACACACACCCTCAAGTAGACAAACTCGCACACATATAAAGAGTCCTCGATAACACACACACACACATCATACATCACACACACAAACGCACTACCAACAAAGAACGCACTCACGCCCACACGCGCGCGCCAACACAAACACACACACACACATATGTAAACGCCCATGCGCATACGCACAACGCAACCTGGACTTCGTAGGACCATGCATGTGCGAGCGTGCGTGTCTAAATCGGTTAACTGTCTCGTGAAGCGGTCCACGATGATAGCGTCGGGGACGCACTTCCATATCGTCGCTCAGCTGGGGTTCGATGTCTTCTCGGTCTCACTTCATCTGTTCAGGGTTAGCGGTTGGCGGGGATTCTCGACTGATGGAGAGCGTGTGCGGCGGTAGCACGTAGCCCTCGACCTCGGTCATCCACTCTGGTCAGGAGTTAGAAGGGGAAAATATATGCACTACAGGCCCAACTGTGAAGCATCTGCCTTCGATACTTCGCGCCCATCGGGAATCTTCTGACCCGGGCCCGGCAAAACCCTGCAAGATCCTGCACCCAAACCCGGGTCAATGCGAAGGATCCTGCAAGATCCTGCAGGATCTTGTACTCAAACCGGGGTCAGTGCGACCCTGGCCCTGCAGGATCCTGCAAGATCTGGCGCTCTGGCGGACCCCTGTTCGCATTGACCCCCGTCTCAAGGCTCCCGAGCCCAGCTGCTCATCGCACATCCGGCGCTGAATTTCGCCAACTTGGCGTTGTGCCGCCCGCCCTCTTGAGTGCGGTCAGTCTGTGTGTTAGCGGTGTGGCTCCCCTCGCGGGTGATGCCTTCGATCCCTTATGGGTGGATCCAGTATCTCCACGCCGTTTGACCTGGGCTGGCCCGCGCGCGTCTTGCTTTCGCTCGACCTGCACTACTCTGCGTCGCTGCGCCCATGGCCGCGCGAAGCCCCAATGAGGCGAGGCGAGGCGAAGCGAGGCGCCGGTCAGTCGTCCTGGCGGGGACGGCCCTACGAGAGCCCGGCGGCGGCGCCGGAGCGCCGAGAAAGACTTTTAGTCGAGGGGGAGGGAGGGAGGAGGAAGGACTCAGACCGTGAAATGGGAGTTTCGCACACAATCCCCACAATTGACATAAGCCAGAAAATTCGGCTCCAACGCCGACCATGCTTTCTTGTCCGTCGCAATGTGTATCCACCTTTTGTGGTCGTCGTCTCCCTCGTGTGTAGTGACTGTGCGTACGACTTGTGCGATTTCGGCATCCCATCTTTTCCATTGTCCTCCGTGGCGTCGTAGGGTTTGGCGTGGGTCGTGAGTGTTCAGGGTCCATTGTAGTGAGAGCCGCGTCCATCTGTCGTAGTCGTGGGCTGCGACGCGCGATGCCCACCGCCACTTCCGTGTGAAGTATACCGCAGGCCAGTCCTCTACGCCTGCGCGCCGAGCATGCTCTAGGGCTGCGTGCGTCGATCTTCGTACGAATTTTTCCCATGGTTCCAACCCGTCGTCGTCTTCTCTGTCGTCGGCTCTGTCGTGGTGGATGGGGGAATCTGCTGCGTCGGCGCTGGTCGCTTCGTTGGTGTCAGTGTCGCGAATGTGGTATTGTATATTGCGACGCCTTGGCATCCCGATGACAAGCCTGAGCATCCTCCGCTGTGCACGCCGTAAAGTGAGAAGCGTGTCGCTGGTGAGGGTCCAAGAGGAGCACCCGTACATCACTGATGCTGTGATTGTTCCGTTGAACAGCCTCAGTCGACTGTGGAGTGGGAAACGCTTGTGTGTCAGCTCGTATCTTAATTGGTTGAAGCGACCCCATCCTGCGGCAATCCGATTGCGTAGCTCTGTCTCGTGGAAGTCGTGGGAAGTCAACTTCCTTCCTAAATACCTCGTGCTCTGGTCGGAACACAATATTTCGATGCGTTCGCCGTTGATGTCGGCATGAGAAACTGTTCTCCCCTCTCTCCGGCTGACGTTCGTCAGGATCTTGGTCTTGTCCGGGTGCAGTGCCAAACCGCATGTCTTGGCTTGGGATAGTACATCTCGGAGCAAGCCCCAATGAGCGATGTGATGGAACGCTGTCTCACACATAATCTGGCAGGCCGAACTCGCGCAGACTGGCCGAGCCTCTGTGTGTGGGCTCCCCCGTTTACATCAAGGGCTCCCTGCCGCCTTGCGCTCCTTCGCTCGCCCCTGCTCTCCTCTGCAAGACTCCCCTTCGTGTACAGGCCTGCCGTTCTGGTCTTCGGCGCGGTTAAATGGGCACCGCTGATCCTTCAGTCCGACAACCGCACTTAATGGCCCTCGCCACCCCCCTGGCCACGCGCTGCACAACATCACACTCTCTCGGTGTTTTGGTCGTGCTTCTAACAGCATGTCTCCCTCATAATGCTATTGCGCGTCTATGGTAGTCCAGATGGCATGGAACTAACATGTGTGTGGCGTTGGTGGCTTCTGCACCCAATGTTGGTGCCGCAACGGAAACCCAACCGAGATAGAGTCTCTACGAACACCGTTCGGCTGAGATTGTGAACGCCCGTGGTGCCTCAGTTGCCCGCTATACCCAAGGAGTCGGGCAGTGATGCTTCAGTTCACGCCTACTCGCGCACGGCGTGCAGCTGTGGCCAATGCCCAGGGGAGCCAAGAAGAACCCCCACCACCACCACCACCCGGTCCCCGTCCACCAGAGGGGGGGGGGGAAAGGTGAGGATGGGGAATGCAGTTTGTCCCTTCGTTTCGAACCGTCCTTGCAGTTGGGAGCCGAAGCTGTTTGGCCCAACCCCAAAGGGGAACGAGGGCCAGGTGGGGGTGGATGTGCGCTTCCTTTCCCCAAACTCCTTCCATCCTTCTCTTTCCTCCCCTCCCCCCCGTCCTCCCGTCTTCAGGCGAGGGAGTGGAGTTCACACAGTAGCTAGGACAGGCCGAGTGCGAGCGGCCGCTGCCGAGCCAGGCCTGATGAGCCTCGAGTTCTCTGCGCTCACTGGCGATGCCATCGTGCTGCAACTGGAGTACCGTGAGGGCCCGGCGGCACGCCACACGTTGCAAGCGAGTAGCGTGTCGCCATGCTTCGTTAGGCGGAGGCTGCGAAAAATTCGGGACCCTCCCTCCTCCCTCCTCGCGCCTCCCTCCTCCCTCCTCCCTCCTCCCTCCCTCCCTCCCTCCTCCCGACTGGAACGTGGTTAGCATGTCGCGCCGAAGCGTGGTGGGCCATAGCCGGCGGCGCGACAGGCTGAGCGAGCCTCCCCGACCGAGAGGGGGGGACCAGAGACGACGCACTGGCCGTCCGTGGACGGACATGTGCAGACATCGGGGCGATGCTTGTGCACGCTGGTGCAGTTCATTCCCAGACAGGAGAGCTAAGAGAGCTCGAGATTAGAAGTTGGCAGCACAAGGCAGGCCGGCTTCCTCTCCACGCTCCCGCGCATGCAGCCCCGCAACGCCCTGCTTGAAGCTGCGGACTGTCCTGGCAACTTTTCCCCACTCGTTCACAATATGCGTGCCGGAAGCCTTTCCGCAGCTCCTTCGACGCTCCCTGGAAGCTTCTGCGAAGCTTCCTTTCCAGAGTTTGCACGCTCTCCTGGCATCCTTTCGAGCGTCCTTGCAAACGTCTCTCAGAGGCGTTTCGCGCGCTTTGCACTGCGTCGGTATCCGGGTGTTGGACGCCACAAGTCTGTTTCTGAAGGGCTTAAGACGGTGCGTCGGAGGATTCAGTGCTTCATCATGTGTACCAGCAATTGTAAATTTGTACAGCTAAGTTTCCTTGTGGATCTTCTGTAGATAGTGATGCTTTAGTGTTTCGGGGAGTGCCGAAGCGTCAGGGTTTAGTTTCAGGGAATATTGCCGGTAGAGATGCGCCGATTGCAGCTCAAGAGAGCCGTGCTGGTTTACCTGTATGTTGGATTCACCCGTGCACGGGCGAGCCTTGTCTCTCGTTTGGTATCTGTACCAGCTCGGAAAGACGCGGATCAAAAGCAGACGCGTGAGAGCGGAAAGGAGTTGCACCAGCCTGTTCGAAGACTCAGAGATGCATTGCTGTCCAGAGCAGGGTCCTACTAATTGAGGGGACGAACAAAAGCCAGCAGCGTCATCAATGCTAACAGGTGTTCTGCTGGATCTCCCTGTATCTCTCTCCTGCCCCCTACCTCTCCTCCCTCCTGTCGTCTTATGCTTCCTCCCCCCTGCTCCCTCCTGCCTTTTCGTGCCTCCTCCCCCTCCTCCCTCCTCCTGCTCCTCCGCCTCCTGCTCCTGCTCCTGCTCCTGCTCCTCCTCCTGATTCTCCTCCTCCTCCTCCTCCTCCTCCTCCTCCTTCTC